ACACATTAGAGGTGGCGTAAATCGGTTTCTCGCGACGTGTTACCCCTATATCTGATAGAAAATTGACGAGTTTTGATGAAAGATTTCTGCTTAAAAGTTGGTGTGTTATGAATATAGTAAGTGTAGTTGCGTGCTAAGCCTAAAATAGCATTGCTATACTTGCGCTTTAATAGCAAAAAGTAAGCAATATTAAGAGGCTATAATAAGTAAGATAAGTGCGTAGGTATATAAAAAAGTATAATATTCTTCTTCTTATAAAGATCTTAGAAATTAATAGAGTAGTAGCTCTTAACGTGGTTCACAAGTGAGTCGCTAACCCAAGCGAGTCGCTAACGCCCCACCACTACATCTACATCAACACGTTATCACAGTTTTTTATCACAGTCAATAAACTATTGCGATACACTAAATTAATTGTTAGAATCGCTACTATTACTTGCACTATCTATCTCAACTACGCAGGTACGAGCGTTGTGTCCAGTCTGCTTGCAACGCCCGCACCGCCGCTCTCCTCGCACCCTCTTCGACGCACTCTCACCATCACCACGACTGCTACCCGCCTGTTCAGCTAATACTTCTTGTACTTCGCCTACAGTAAGAGTCTCTTCTGTCCGTACGTATCGCCGCTTGCGGCTTTTACGCTTATTTGACTCGTCAAGAGCCGCTCGAAGCGTACCCATTTCCTCCATCATAAGCGTCATTTTATGTGCCATTTGCTGGGCCCCCTTACTCAGCTACGCGATCTGCTCAGTAAGTGAATTGGCAGAAGACCCACAGCGTTTTCTCACGCTCTCTTGAATGAGACCAATTTAAGACTCAACTTCGCGCGCGTTGCGTGGTGTCTGCGCCTGCCAGGCGGCTACCTGTTGCGGTGATTGTACAGGTGTCTGCACCACCACATCAAGCTTAGATAGCACAGCCTGTGGGTCGTGTGGGACTAGACCAGCGCCTCTAAAGCCAGCTTGGATATTCTCCTTCGTGATAGACTGCTCAAAAGCAGTCTTAAAGGCTGGTAGGAAGGTCTCTTTGCTGATATAGTAGGTGCGGTTGCGTGCCAAGCCTGAAATAGCGTCGCCATACTTGCGCTTCAACGGCGAGAAGCAGGCGACGTCAAGGGGCTACAACAGGTGAGACGAGTGCGCAGGCATGCAGAGAAGCACAATATTCTTCTCCTTGCAAAGATCTTAGAAATCGACAGAGCAGTGGCTCTCATGGCCATCAATAATAAGCAGTTAATACCCACCTACAGTAGAGCTCTTTGTATGGGTATTAAAGTGCTCTAACTAGGCAAGACTAAGCTAATTATTCGTCTAGCTATTAGGACTAACTTTAAGAACCTAGTTGGCAGGCAAATCCTTAAACTAGACGTTGATAAGCACCTTGCCCGCAAAGACAACAAAGGGTGGTATTCGGCAACCCGACGCGCCCACGCCTTGGATCACAGTAACCCACTTACGGTTGCCTAGCTGTATCCGCTTCTTTTTCCTATATCCTTCTAATGCTGTGATAACTAACTGTGATAAAATCTTGCCTATCATAAAGCCAGTCTCGTCAAAGTTGTAGATATCGTCGTCCACAATACCCCACTTCTGCCTTGTCGCCTAGACTAAGTCGAACCAGCGCTGGATAGCCACTGGATCCTCGCAGGCGGCTCGCTGGTGATCATAGGGACGGCTCCAGCGCGTACGGAGCTCAGGAGTCCGCTTAACGAAGTTGTCAACCTAGTTCTTGCCAACAGGGTTGCCACCACGCTCCTCCAATAGTTTATCAGCCATTACTCGAACGTCAAGCTTTGTAGGCGCAAATCCTCGCGCAGACTCTTCAAGAATACGCTCAACTATAGCCTCCTCTTCTAGCTTATCTAGACGCTTCGATTTCGGCTTGCAGTCGCGTCAAGGGCGCTTTCTAGCGCGTTGATCAGATAGAGTTCTTTGTGGGACGTTGTAGATAGTAGTAGCACAGTTTACACTCTAAACACGTTGCGACTAGACGTTAAAAAGAGCAAGTTGAAGATCAGATTTAGAATATATTAATAGACAGTTGCGTTGTTGAGACATCACGCGTTATAGTGATGAAGTTGATAGGCTAGTGGGGCGTTAGCGACTCGCTTGGGTTAGCGACTCACTTGTGAACCACGTTATAGCTATTAATAATAAGTAGTTAATACTTACTTATAGTAGAGCTCTTTATATAGGTATTAAAGTGCTCTAACTAGGCAAGACTAAGCTAATTATTTATCTAGCTATTAGGACTAACTTTAAGAACCTAGTTAGTAAGTAAATTCTTAAACTAGACGTTAATAAGCACCTTGCCTACAAAGATAATAAAAGGTAGTATTTAGCAACCTAACGCGCCTACGCCTTAAATTATAGTAACCTACTTATAGTTACTTAGCTATATCTACTTTTTTTTATATTCTTTTAATACTATAATAACTAACTATAATAAAATCTTACTTATTATAAAGCTAGTTTTATTAAAGTTATAGATATTATTATTTATAATACCCTACTTCTACTTTATTACTTAGACTAAGTTAAACTATGTAACGGGCTAGGTAGCCCGCTACAGTACAGATAGCGGTGGCTATCTTATGTATCAACTACGCAACGATATCAGCAGCTCTGATATCTTGTGCCAGCCTTTTTGGCGCGGTGGGCGCGTTGTAGTTGCGTGCGCAGTCTAATAGGACTCGACCCGTTACAAATTAGCGCTAAATAGCTATTAGATTCTTATAGGCGGCTTACTAGTAATTATAAGGATAGCTCTAGCGTGTATAGAGCTTAGAAGTCTACTTAATAAAGTTATTAACCTAGTTTTTACTAATAAGGTTGCTACTACGCTTCTTTAATAGTTTATTAGCTATTACTTAGATATTAAGCTTTATAGGCGCAAATCCTTATATAAACTCTTTAAGAATACGCTTAACTATAGCCTCTTCTTTTAGCTTATTTAGACACTTTAATTTTAGCTTATAGTCGCGTTAAGAGCACTTTCTAGCGCGTTAATTAGATAGAGTTCTTTATAGAACGTTGTAGATAGTAGTAGTATAGTTTACACTTTAAATACGTTATAACTAGACGTTAAAAAGAGTAAGTAAAAGATTAGATTTATGTAATGGGCGGGCCCAACGGGCCGAGCGTACGACTACTTACGCCATCCATAGCCAAAAAGGCAGTAACAAGACTTCAAGCTTCTTGAAGTCCAGGTAGTCGTATAGATATACTCGATCACACACACACTTTAGGCGTAGCCTCTTACAATTTAGAATATATTAATAAATAGTTGTGTTATTAAGATATCATGCTTTATAGTAATAAAGTTAATAGGCTAGTGGGGCGTTAGCGACTTGCTTATTATTATTATTATTATTATTATTATTCTAGTTTAACGTCCTTTTTCAGCCCGAAGGGCTATATAAGACGTGTAGGGTTTTTAGGCCTACAAGTATCTAAGTAGGTTGTTTCTAGTAGCGACTTGCTTAGGTTAGCAACTTACTTGTGAACTACGTTATGTATAATTTTTTTTTTTTTACCTTATTGTTTCTAAAAGATATAGTCACATGTAATAAACGAGTAAAGTTTTTTCTTTTCTTTTTTTTGAAGCAGTAGTATTATAGAATACTACTTACAGCATTACTTATACTCTCCGTCATGTATGTTTAGAGTACACATGTCCATGTATGTAGGGCCAGCGGGCCCCTAACGAAAACAACACCCCCAGGGTATCCCAAAAAAAAACCGAAACTATAAGAAAAAAAAAGAAGAAGATACCAGCCCAGCCCAACCCAGCCCAGAAAAAAGAAAAGGAAAAACTCCGATAACAGAGAGAGAGAGAAAAGAAAAAAGGTACAAATCTAATTGCCCCCCCCCCCACCACTCTCACAAAAAAAAGGGGGTCCACATTAGAGGTCTATTCTATCAACCCGGCGCCTCACCAAGCCCCGTCAGCATTCTCCAACTCCACATCCACCAGCCCTCCTTCTCATCAAGGACAGAATCCAGCTCCTCAAGCTTACGCTCGACAAACTCGACCTGAGTCTCGAATTCAGCAACGACATCTTCAACATCGTCGACCTTGCCCTTGAGGGCACTAATTTCATACTCGAGTTTATCTCTGATATTCTCGAGTTCGCGGAGATTGGCGGTGAGCTGGCCGCGGTTGTTGGTGACGGTGGCGTGTGTGTCGTCGCGGAGGCTGTGGTATGTGTCGAGGCGGGGGTAGTAGATAGCTTCTAGGGTTTCTATGTCTGTGTCGACGGCTTCGGAGAGGGCTGTCATTTGGGCGAGGCCCGTGTTGACCCAGTCTTGGTGTTTGGTGGAGACTTGCAGCATCTGGTTGTGGAGGCGTTTGAGCTGTGTGGAATACATGTTTTGGGCTGCGTTGCGGGCGGTGAGCGTGGTGACAGATGGGGCTGCTTCGTCGGAGATGGCGTCTTCGTCGAATAAGCCGGCGTTGATGGGGATCCAGCGGAGGACGGATTCTTCGGCTGCGCTGAAGGAGAGGTGGCGGGGCCACCATTCTGGGTTGCGAGGCGGTTGGTCCAGGTCGAATTGATCGCCTGATTGGGTGCGGCGTAGAAGAGGGGGTACTTCGTTGGCTTCATCGACGGGAAAGTTGTTGTCAAGGTCTATGCCGTGGTAAATGGAGCCTGCAATGGAACTGGCTACTGTCCGAAGGTGCTCGGGCTGCTCTGATGTGTCGCTTTCGGCAACCGAAGCGTGTAGGTTTGACGCCCGACGGCCATTGGCTTGTTTGTGCGTAGTGAGTGAGGTCACAGATTCACCTGGGGTCTCGGTCAGGACCTTGGTAAAAGCCGGCTCTTCGCCAGCCACGCTCTTGGGTGATATCAGTGAATACGGGTCGTCTGATTGGCTCTCATAGTCAATCGATGTTCGTGAATCAGTGTAGGGCGCACCGCCACTCTTTGTGCGATGTAGCCCATAACGCCCATGCTCCTCGCGGGAAAGTTTGGTGGCGTGAGTACGAAGGCCGACAGCGTTTTTGATGTGATGAAAACCACCAGACTCTAGCTTGGCTTTGATGGCAGCTCGTTTCGACGAAGGATCCTTGAAGTTATCCTTCTCCAAGCCATCTGGGGTAAAAGCCTCTGTTTTCTTCATGTCCGAAGACGCAGTGTCACGTTTTGTTATTCCGTGATCCTGTGCCGATTCCTGGCGAGTTAGTTTGGATCCGTGGTGGTCGTGCTTGTCTGGCGAACTCGATCGCGATTCTCCGCCAGGAAGTCGATCGAACATGCTGTCGCCAGATGCATTTTTCCTAGGCTTTCCATGCCACAGCCACTTTGCATGTTCACCCCTAACAAGTTCGACAAAGCGGTCGATATCGACGGTCTCGACTTCAGCAATGCCATCTTTCTGGCCAGCGCCCACAATGCCCATGACCATCTCACCACCCTTGCCTCCCAGCTCAGCCACCGTAGACTTGAAAGCTCGCGGAACAGCCCAGCCTTCTTTGCTGGCTGCCTTTGCCGAAGCTCTTCGAAGCTTGTCAAGCGTATGGCGATCAAGGCGGCGGGTTCTCGGTAGGTGATGGGATTTTTGAAACTGTGCAATGCCACGCTTGGTAGCCTCAATGTCAAAGACGTCTTTTGCGACTGCAACGTTGCACGCGCTCAGTCTGTTGCGGGCCCCCATCAACATGCCCAGCAGGGCGGCGACAGTGGTTGGACCAAGAATGCCGTCATGAGGCTCTACCGTGTAGTACTCGGACCCAAATTCTATCCACCAGTCGCCGATGGCTTTTTCTGTCACGTCGCACAGCAGCCCATCGGCATATTCTGGCTCCAGCTTTCCAAACAAGACGAGCGCAACCTGGCATAGCTTGACTAGCTCAATGACGGAAGCATTGAAGGGAATCTTGTCGCTTGTGCGGTACAGCTGCTCAAACTTGGCCTGCGTGGCACCACTGGGCGGTGTGAGCTGGATGCCGAGGCGGCCAGAGCAGCCCAGTCGCTTGAGGTTCTCGTTGACAAGAAAGGCCTCGCGGTACTTTTTCACGTCGCCTCCAGGGATGGGGATGACCGTCAGCGAAGAAGGGAAGCCGCTGAGATTGGTGACCATCAGAGTGCCATAGGGAGTTTCCTTTCTCTGGGCATGGTAGTCGGTCAGCGAGTTGAAGTACAGGCGCATCTGCGGCGACCACTCGTCCTCGTTCCTGGGCACGCTGAGAATCGTGGCCAAGACGGTGTCGTGGGGATTGCCCGTATACGTGGTGATGAGAAAGGTAGGGTGGGTGCGGGAGCAGGCCCATTGCTCGACCAGGTATATCTCATAGCCCTCGATTTTCTGGCGGCGGGCGAGGACGTGGCATGCAGTGGCAGAGTCCTCCTCGAGGTAGCGGGCGGCCACGAAGTCGGTCAGGACGAAGCGCTGGTGGGCGGCGGGCGAGGCGGGCGGCTTGGCCTTTGCCTCGTCCGGCAGCATGTCGGCGGTGGGAGGCGTGAAGGGAGCCTGGCGACGCGGTTGTGCTGTGCTTCTGTGGTCAACAGCCGCTGTCTGCAGGGGCGGCATGTGCTTCCGAAGCTCCTTCTCGGCGTGCGCCCGCGGCTGGGGAGCAGGCAGGGGGGAGTCCATGGCTTAGCGGGTGCAGATGCGTTGTTTGCACGTCTGGCTAGGCCGAGGGGCGACCAAGAGCGGCGGGTGCGAGCTCCTCATGGTCCCAAGGGAGGCGCACAGTCTCGCCGATGGCCGCGCCCCGGGCAGCCGGCGGAAGGTGACGAGATGGACGGCGGCGGCGGGCGCGGTGCCCTCTACGCATCGTTTGCGTGGTCGCGGGCTTGGCAGGGCATGTGGAGCGCATCCATCGAGGCCTGGCGACGGCGGCGCGGCGTGTGCAGAGATCGGGGGGTGACGAGGCGTCGTTGTCGTCGTGGTCGAGGCATGGGGAGTGCCGCAGTTGCTTGGTGCCCTGGTGGCGCCTGCGGAGGGCGGCCGGGCTCCCCCCCACACGTCATGCCGCCGCCGCGACGGCCGCGAGACTGCGACACGGCTGCCCATGCCACGACCACGACGGCCATGGCCAGCAGCCTCTGCCCGCCCACCACCAGCACCAGCGCCCCCCGCCCATCCTCGCCGCCGCCATGGACGACCTCCGCGAGCAGGTGGAGCTGCTGGAGAGCAGCGCCAACCTCTCGGCCAGCATCGACCACGTGCAGAGGGCCATTGACATGCTCACGGCAGCTCGTGCCACGATTGCAGCAGGTGAGAGTGCGCCCACGGCCCTCGAGACGGATGCAGCTGATGGTGGCCAGAGCCCAAGACGGCGCCCTTGACCCTCGCGCGCCTGCAGGACCCCTTCAAGCAGTCGCTGGACACGGTGCAGAAGGACCTCAGGCCCATCTACTCGGGCCTGAACAAGTACGGCAAGGCGCTGGACAAGGTGTGCTCCCTCACGCACTATCACGGCCACGCGCCTAACCCGACTGCTAGAAATTCAAGGACAAGCCGCTGCCCTCGGCCGAAAATGACGCCCTCTCGTCCCACCCCTCGCTCATCAACCGCGCCATTGCCATGCATCTGCTCCGCGAAGGCCAGTTCGACGTCGCCTCCACCTTCATACAAGAGGCCACCCGCCACCCGCCGCACCCCGAGCCCACGCCCAACACGCCCAACCCCTACCTACGCGAATCGTGGGAGAAGGACCTAGCAGAGGGCACCTTCAACTCGGAGGAGCTGCAGCAGAAGTTTGCCCAAATGTACCACATCCTGCACGAGCTGCGCATCCAGAGGAACCTCCAGCCCGCGATACAGTGGGCGCGCCAGCGCAGCGCCGAACTCGAGGGCCGCGGCAGCAATCTCGAATTCGAACTGTGCCGGCTGCAGTTTGTCTGTCTCTTCGACTCCCACAGCCAGGATAGCGATGCCATGGACACGGAAACCCCCAATGGGCCCCTCAACGCCTGGGCCTATGCGCGCCGCGAATTCGCGCCCTTCCAAAAGCGCTACCAGCGAGAGATTCAGCAGTTGCTAGGCGCAATGGCCTTCTGGCAGAACGTCCAAGACTCGCCCTACCGCCGCCTCTTCTACAACGACTCGGCGTGGGAAGAAGTAGCCCACTCGTTCAACAGAGAGTTTTGTTCGCTGCTGGGTCTCAGTGCCGACTCGCCCCTTTTTATAGCTGCCACGGCCGGCGCAATAGCGCTCCCCTACCTGCTGAAAATGCAGAGCATCATGAAAGAGAAGCGCACCGAATGGACCACGCAGGACGAACTTCCCGTCGAAATCCCCCTGCCAAGCCAGTACCACTTCCACAGCATCTTTGTCTGCCCAGTGTCCAAGGAACAGTCCACCGATACCAATCCGCCCATGATGATGCCCTGCGGTCACGTCATTGCACAGGAGTCCCTCGATAAGCTTAGCAAGGGCTCCAGATTCAAGTGTCCTTATTGTCCCAATGAGAGTCATCCCAGGGAAGCTATGAAAGTCGTACTTTAACAAAGTAGTCGACAAGTATACAAGTATTAAGCTGATGGCCTAACACAGCACAGTGCGTGTATAGGCCCGTGGAGATTTTCGGCCTCTGCAATTCTACGAGTTACACAATACTCTAGATACACAGCGTATATCGGCTTCGAGCCTCTTGGCTTCTGGCGGAAACGGGGCGTGTGGTGTTTAGGATTGCAAGAACATTTTGGATACTGGGGGGGGGGTTTTTTTACCGCTGGATTCAAGGCGTATGTAGTGTTATCCACTCATGAATACAAATATTATTTGACCATGTCTACTCCCCTCCCCCTTTCTCGCGTCATTCTAATCCTCCCAGCACTCGGATTATCCACCACCACCACCACCACCACCACCACCATTGTCACTTGCAAAAAAAAAGACTTCTACAAACCTACCCAGGCTTGTACATCCACTGCGACGGATGAAAGAAGACATCAAAATCCACACCGCCAAACACGCCAATCGCAGGAAACAAATCGCACTCACCCCGGAGTCCAGCGTTTCCCCCCTCACTCCTCTCATCCAGCTCCTCGTTTCCATCCCAACCCCCCTCCTTGACTCCATTGCGCGTGAAAAACACATCGGTGTCTAGAATCCGGCCCTGCTGCGTCTGCTCATACGACGGCGGGTTCCTCGGCACGCCGAACGTGAGTCCAATGCCGACGGTGTTGCCGGGCTTGAACGCAGTCGTAAAGTCGATGCCGCCCCACGCATCGTTGACGTACTTGCGGCCGTCGTCGCCATGCACAGCCAGACTGGCGCGTTCCCAGCCAGGCAGCCGGAACGTGGGATACGGCGGCGCGACGAAGCCGATTGCAATGCCGGCGTCTGCTTCTTCGAGCGAGGCCGCCGCGCCGCGTCCCACGCCCGTGACCTTGAGCTCAAAGTAGAGTGTCTTGGGGCGCTGCGTGGCGAGCGGTGAGTCGGCCAAGACGCTGTATAGCGGGAGATTGGTCAGGATGGCCGAGTCGCGGCATGCGGCGTGGGTGCGGCAGCGCCAGTGGCCTGCTTGGGGCTGTGGCAGGAGTTCTCCCGTGAGCGAGGGTGGTTTAAGGAGCGCCAGCTGCCCGTTTTGGATCGCGCCATGTGTGCTGGGATGGAGGCGTTGCGGCGGCCATAAAGCATGCTGTCTTGTCCATGCGAGTGCGCGGTCGCCTTCTTCGGCTGTGGCGTTGGCCGTCGGAGAGCTGTCGTAGCCCATTGATGGTGGCGGCGGGAGCAGCGCTGTATCCGGGATCACGGTCCAGTCATGGTATGGCGGTGGATCCCAGCTTGGGGGCGGTTGCTGCGGATAAGACGGTGGTGCGCCTGCTGGGGGTGCGTAGCCTGGGGTTTGGTGGGTTGGTGGGGGGCCAGGAGGCGCCGTGTAGGATGTTGGGGATCCGTGGTTTGGGGGAGGCCTTGGAGGCGCTGTGTACTCTGTCTTGGATGAAGACGCGGCTTGGTTGGGTGGAGGGCCGGGAGGAGCCTGGTACTTTTCGGTTGGGGTCGTGTTGTAGTGTGGCTGTTGAGAATGTTGGTAGTATGCGTTGCTTGACTGCTGGTTATGCTCGTCTGTTCCGTACGACGGTTTCTCGTCGCCTTTCAACTTGTCCTTCAACTTCTTGAACATATCTGGTAGTGCTTGCGGGTTCTGGAGCGGTAGACTACAGCTTTTGGGCGCAGGTGCTGTAGAAAGGAGGATTGATCAAGTACCTCGCCTGGATGAAGGGACTTGAGAACTCCAAATACCGCAGCCTGGTGATGAAGGGTGGTCGCCTGGTTGTGGCTGTGCAACGTCACGAAGTGCGAAGACATACAAGTCGTCTAACCTCTACGTCATCGTGGCTTGGCGGTAGCAAGACTGCTCAAGCACAAAGCCATTTAATGTTATGAATCAGGATTGATTTGGATACAAGTTTGAAATGGTGAGACTAAAGTATACTCGAGGCTCCATTGCATGCCTCTCAATTTTCCGTGTAATCATACTGTCAATAATCTGACCAGCATATCGACAATGTAATCGCTAACTAAGCATGCATCCTTCACAAGTAAGTCATACCTACTGCTTAGCTTAGTAGCCACTTTGGCGCAAGACGCCAGATTCGGAGGTGGTGGAGTGGGGCGTAAAGGCGCCCCACATATACTCAGTGTTGGAAAAATGGGCTTATGCAATTGACATCTGAGTAAAATGCCTGTTACTGCACTCGCTGCTAGCATTTGTATCAAACTAGATACCTTTAATGCCGGTTCTCGGTCTTCATGGCATACAATTCGTGCATCATATGTGCCTTAGTGTATCTTCAGGAACTAGTCTTTCGTTCCCATCATTCTTTTTGACTACCTCATGCTGCATTTCCCCATTATCTGCAATCCCGAGTAATATACAATACGAAATTTCCAGAAGTCATGTTGAATATCCATCGCTTGATTGCTTTCGTCTCAAGCCTGTACTCTTCCGTTCTACCTCTGAAATACAACCCCAGTGCAACAGAAACATCAAAGACCTCAATTCCATTCTTCCAGTACCCACTGGCGTCTCTCGATAAATATATGTGGGACGCGAGGAAATGAAGTGGACCAGCCGCAGCATAGGCTTGATGACTGAGGACGTTGCGTGGTGAGTCATCATGCAAAGCGGATGCAAAATCTCCACGCTCCCAGTGTTCTTTGGTATTCACGAACCCTTCCATAAGTATACCCTCTTATTCCCAGGGCAAACCCGAAGAAGCACGTAAGCCATGACGAAAAAAAAGTCAAGATGGAAAAAAATAAAGTGCTGATGTTAGCCAAGTACGCCTTGCAACCATGTCATCATACTAGTTTAACTATACATAGTACACCAACCCCGAAAACAACAATAGTTTTTTCTTTCCACTTCTCATTGACGAGATTGACTCAGCATCCTAGCATCCATATATAGACTAAATAGCTAAAATTGCCTTTGGATATTCTGAATGACTGAAGCACACAACGCTTGACTCATACACACTTCCATACATGCCACAAGCAGCCGTATAAATCCACCTCATCCCCCCATCCATCCACCCAAAATACTCTCCATCCCGGCCCCCAGGCCTGAACCCCAACCTCCCACCATGGCACCCCCTCTCCCCCCCAAAATCAGCACACCGCGCCTGACTCTCCTCCGCCTAACACACACCACGCCGCTCACGCACCCACACGTCCGCCTGTTCCACGAAAACTGGTCTGACCCCACCGCAACCGCATGGTCACTTCACGGCGCGACCCATTCTCTCGCCGAAAGCCAAGCGTGGATGACGGAGCAATTCACGGGGTCTGATAATATTTTCTATGCTGTGTTTGCACGGACGGAACAGCAGCAGCAACAGGAGGAGGAGGAGGAGGATGCGACAGTTGATGCAAAGACATATGATGCGGAATTGGGACTGCACATAGGCAGTGTGAGTTTGCGATTGCAAAAGGGAGGGCCGGCACTAGATCCGCGTCGTAGCTCGGTTTTCCGAGAAGACAAGGAAGAGCGGAAGGAGGAGGAGGAAGAAGAAGAAGAAGAAGAAGAAGAAAAGAAGAAGAAGAAGAAGGACAAGGACAGGGGAATGTGCAGGACGGCAATGAAACCAACCAAGACATAAATCTCCGCGTCCTAGGCTACGCCCTGTTCCCCTCATCATGGGGAAAAGGCTACGCAACCGAATCGAATCGCGCACTGATAGCTGCATATGGTGCTGCTGTTGCTTCTACTTGTCCTTCTTCCCTTCCATCTCCATCTCCATCTTCCCCAACCACTCCCACTCCCACTCCCACGCCCAAAGCCACCACCACCACCACCAAGAAATTCTACATCGAAGCCGCCGTCGACGACGACAACCCAGGAAGCATCCACGTGCTGCGTAAACTGGGGTTTCGCAGGATTGGCTGGAAGGATGAGGGCGGGGATAAGGTGTGGTTGAATGGCGCGTGGAGGGGGCCTGGGTATTGGGTTTATGGGTTGTTTGTTTGAGGGGATGGGAGGGGGGAGATGGAGGGACGGAAGAGGAGGGGAAGGAAGAAGAGAGGGAGAGTTGTTGGATTGAATATAGGATATGGATATAAGATATGGATATAGGATACAAGGTAAAAGGTAAATGGGTGGGGGGGTATATATACGCCTATCTACATGCCATGCCATGCCATGCTATGCCATCTATCTCTCTCTCTCTCTCTCTTTCTTTCTTTCTTCCCCTTCCTTCTTCCCCTTGCTTACTTCCCTTACTCCCACCAACCTCACCAACCTCACCAAAGTCCAAACAAGAAAGTTTTTTAAAAAAAAACCCCCCCAAAAAAAGTCCCCCAAAGAAAGATAGAATGGTAGGTAGATATCTTGTCAAAAAAAAAAGAGAATTAGTATACACACAGACAGACACACACACACACACAGACACATGCACACAAGATATCCCTTCCCTTTCAATGCCAGAACCGAAAAGCAAAAAAAAAAAATCTCTCACCCCAATAAACATGCCCAACACCATGCCCAACAACAACAACAACAACACACATGATTATCCTCTTCATCTCCAATAATTAGCTACTCCAAAACCCTACTCTCGCCATTCCCCACCTCCTGAAACCTAACATCCTCCCACTCGGCCTCGGGCTCCGCACCACGCACCTCCTTCAGCGCCTCGCTCAGCGCCTCCTCAAGCGTCCACACCTTCCTCCTCAGAAACCAGCTGATAAAGCCGCCACCACTCTTAACCTCATCGTGGGTCGCAACCCAGTACTTGGCGCGCAGCACGCGCTGGGCGCGGACGCCGTTTTTGGCCCCGAGATTGAGTGTGTGGGCGGCTGAGATGGACACGGCGTGGAGGCCGTGCAGGAAGGCGAGGGTGTGCAGCGCGGGGTCTGCAGTTGCGATTGGGGAGAGCGCTGTGTGCGGGATGCCGTGGGGCGTGTAGACGAGGCATTCGGCTGCTTCGGCGGTGGCGCCGTGCGCCAGGTCTTCTGTGCCGTCGCCGTTGATGCTGAGGGTCGACAGCCGTTTTCGGGGCGTTGTGTTGGAGAGAAACGGGTGGGTTGCAAAGGTGAAGAGGAGTGCCGAGTGGAAGTAGAGCGGGTCGTCTGCGGCCGTGAGCCGCGAGATGCTGAGCCAGGCCGGCAGCGGCGAGAGACTGTAGTCGTGCCAGTCGGCGTGGTCGGCGAATGTGGGTGTGGTTGTTACGGTGCGGAAATGGTTCCATGAGGATATGAGGGTTGCTGCTTGCTGGATATGGGCGTCCGTCTTAGCCCATGTACTTCTTATCCTTCTTCTTCGTCTTCTTCTTCTTCTTCTTTTTTTGCCATCACTCAAATATCAAGAAATAACTCACCTCTGTCGCGAAAACAGGTACATCACCATGGACTTCCAAGAGCGTCTCCTTATGACAATGATCTGTAAATTCATGGCTAATAGCCACACAATCGACATAACTCTCCTCGTCCGCCTCCTCCACAATCCTGCGCTTCCTCCCCTTGCCGGTCCGCGAGCCCCCCGCTACAATCTCCACTTGGCGCGCGAGTTCCTCGACCTCAGCTATGCTCTTGACCGCGCTCTCCGTGGCGTGCCATTGCTGGCTGAACCACCGTGCCACGTCGCTTTGGCCGCCCACAAACCACGGGTCGATGAGGATGTTGTAGTATATGCGGCTGCCGTGCTTGACTGCGTTGGCCGGGCGCGGGATTTGCAGGAGCCACGATGTGTCGGCGTTCAAGTGGTGGAGGATTGGCCGGCGCGTTGCAAGCGCGCGAACGACGGCGTCGCGCATTTCCGAATGCAGTTGCGACGAAGGCGCGTCCATGTTGCGTGTAGTTTTTCTTGTTTTTTTTTTCTTTCTCTTCAATGTTTGGCTGATTGGAATTCGACGGGCTACACGTACTTGTGCAGGCTTTAGCGCATACTCAAGGCGGCATGGCGCGGGAGAGGATGAATTGGTGGTGACGGGATGCGATGAACCATTTGCGTGCATGACAGCGTTCCCCAGCCTCTCAGCTAGCGTCATCCATGACGCGCACGGGTACCAGAGTCCAAGACGCCCGCCAAAGCCATGGCTGAACATATATCAGTATTAGCCTTGATTTGCCATGTTTATCTTTCACTACGAAACTCAAGCATTTAATCCCTGCCTGTGCTGTGGCAGACAAGGGCACACGTCACGACCCATTGTTATCCTACAGACGTCGATTGACACGACGCAAATCAGGACAATTCAAGGCATTCAGGAAATTCAGGGCATGAGAATGGAATTAAGAAAGCTGCACTTGGGTAAATTACATAAAAAGGGAATAGTCAATACGGCCCTGGTCATCGCTATTCGGCATCAAACGCTGGTCTCATCCATGATTTAACTCAGTCGGGAAAAGGCAACAAACAAACGCCAAGTCATGCAAACGCTGATTTCCCACCGTCAAACGCAGCATCCCTCTCTATAACAACAGCGTACAAACAAGGGCACACACGCTGAGAAACTGAAAAAAAAAGACACGCCAATTTTTGCGGGAAGATATGCACGCACAGGAAAGGTGAAGCCGAGCTGGAAAGCCCGACATAAAAGCATTAATGTGAGGGGAACGCGTAGATAGGCTCAAACACCAGTCTACCACTTACAAGCATGGATACCAAGTTTAGGGCGAAGGAACCGACTCGGTGTACTTGGCCGCCATCTCGGTAGCAATCTCGGGGGTTTTGACCGCAAAAATCACAGATTGCAGACCGCCTTCTTTCGCAGGCTTCGTTGCCATGACCATCTTCTTGCTAGAGCCGGTCACAGTAGCTGGCAGCGAAGGCAGGATCTGGTAGTTGAGAGGCGTAGCGCCACTGGGAATGCGGACTCGGACAGAGCACTTGCCCGTCTCCTTGTCCTTGAGAATCCAAAGCGGGCCCTTTGCAAGATTAGCCCACGTCTTCTCTCCGTCTTTCTCTACCTGGTGCTTGGCAAGCACAACTTCAGTGTGGAAGACAATGTCGTAAGCGTTAGTCTCTTCCTCGGTAAGCTTGGAGAGGTCAATTTGCTCATGCTTTTCACCGTCTTCGTCCTCTGCCCCCGAAGCCGCGCTGTTCTCGCCAGCTTCAGACAGGGGCGTACCGGCACGTGAAGAGAAGACCGACGACGTTACCGATGTTGGGCCAGAGGGGGCAAACAGCGATGATCCTCCGGTTGAGGGGGCAAAGTTGAAGATGGTAGACGGCGGCGGCTTGGCGGGTGTTGTCGACAATTCGCCTGCTGATGGCGTGGCAGGCTGAAACTGGAACTTGGGCGCCTCCTTCTTCTCCGTGGCAGGGGCTTGACCAAACTTGATGGGAGTACCAAACTTGAAAGTCTGGTCACCGGCAAATGTGTCCGACTTGGGTGGTGCCGTCTTGGATGCGGCGTTAAAGTCAAAGAACTGGAACGGCTTGTTGGTAGGCGTGGTAGTTCCGTTGGTCGCCATCGTAGAAGATGTTCCATTGTTCTCTTTCTCAGACTCGGAGTCGTTGTCGCGTGTCATCCTGGAAAGAAGACTGCCCTTGGAAGCAGTCGCTGACTTCTGCTCCTGCGTCTCGTCTGTCTCAGTCTCAGACTCACCAATGGTGTGTTTGGGAGTGGCTGGCTCCGCAGAGCCTACAGCATCCTGTTGCTCGTCGTCTTCATCCGACTCTTCTTGATTGTTAGAAGAAGTACCCGAAGACAAATGACCAAAGATATTGGAAGAAGGCGCTGGCGATGCAGCAGGGGCATTGAACACTGACTGGCTACCTGTAGAGGGAGCTGGACTAGCAGCCTTTGGAGTGAACCCCCCAGGCGTAGATGTACCGCTAGTAGGCTTCATGAGACTGGAGAAAGGATTAGCCTTCTCGGACGTGCCCGACTTTGATGGAGCAGGCATTGTAAATGCAGGCGTGGCCGCGGCCTTCTTCTTGTCCTCGGCGATGCGCTCCTCCTCGGCTTTGTCGTATCTGGCAGACCATTCCTCTTCTGTCTCCTCGTCAGAGTCATAGTCCTCATCCTTGGCCTTCTTCTTGCGCTCAGCAGCAAGCTCCTCATAAGTCTTGGCCGTCTTGGAGAATTGGGACAAAAATCCACCGCCGCTCTTTGGAAGACTTCCAAAGTTTGGCTTGAATCCTCCAGAGCTGGCTGAGTTGCCAGAATCCCCACCAAAGCTAGGCTTGAACCCTCCCGAGCTGGCAGAGCTACTAGAGTCACCACCAAAGCTAGGCTTGAATTCAGATGATGTGGTTGTGGTTGTGCTGTTGCTGGCTGACGCCGACGGGGTGAAGCCGAAGCTAGGAGCTGGGGCTGCCTTTGAGGGCTCTGCGCTAGGCTTTTCCGTCTCCTTTGGAGCAAAGAGATTTGTTGGTGGCGCGGAGGGTGTAGAAGGCTTGTTGCTGATTGCCTTGGCAAACATGTTCGATGTCGCCGTTGCTGGTGGGTTGAGCTTTGGGGTAGAAGCCGACGGCTGAGGCGTGGGACTACCAGGCTGAGCCGGACGAGCTCGCTTGATGGGCGAAGGATCACGGGCTTCAACATTATCCTCGCTGACCTTGCGCTTCGTGGATAGACTTGACTCGGTTCCGGTGACGCCTCGACTGGCTGCGCGTTGTTTCTTCGCGTTGTCAATCTTCTTCTTGATGTCTGTCGCATGCTGGTAATGCCAAAGGGATATGCTCGACCAGTCTGCCGTCAGAGGCAGATTGCCCAGCTGCTGTCGGTACTTTTCATTCAGGACCTGGAGCTGGGCAGTCAAGTCTGAAATCTGCTTCAAGAGACCATCACCGCTCTGCGCGCGGACAGCGCCCGGCACGGCCCATTCTTTAGGAACATGCACCTTGGGAACTTTGGGTAGTTCTGGTGATTGCTGGGATTCGGTCGACGGTGCCGCGCCACCTGTGAGGTTGGGCATGGCTGGTGCTGGAGAAGCTTGCGCAGGTTCCTTGGAAGCGCTGAACAAGTTCGGGCGGTCTGTCGAGGGCGTTGACAGAGAGGCAAAAGGGTTTGAAGCCTCTTTAGGCGCAGACGATGACGCGGTAGATGGGGTGAAGGAGGGAAAGCTCGACTGAGGTTTCTTGAACAGGTTGCTTGAGTTGTTGGTCTCGGGTTGGAATGTTTGCGAGAACATGCCGGAGCTTGTCTTTGGCTGAGCCGCACTAAAAAGCCCACCCTGCGTCTTGTCGGTGTCGGCTGTCTTTGCCGGCTGTGGAGTGCTGAAAGGCTGGAATAGACTCGATTTGGATGCCTCTGGAGCTTTAAGAGTTGCTGCACCAGAATCTTTCTCGGTGGTGCTAGTCGCCGAATCCTTGTCTTTTGCGGCCCCAAAAAGGCTAAATCCAGCGTTGCCAGCTGCTGGCACTGCAGATGGAGGTGTAGCCGGCTTGGCGAGAGACGCAAATGGATTTGACTTGGGAGTCTCGGCTGCAGCAGTGCTGCTGGGTTCCTCTGGCTTCTTCAGACTGCCAAACAAGTTTGTGGTGGAAGCTGGAGTCTTGTCTTGCGCCTGAGGTGCCTGCGATGTCGCCCCAAAACCACTAAATGGTGTAGATGATGCGCCCGTCGCACTCGGGAGGTTTGCGAAGGGGTTGCCTGCAGGCGTAGAGGGTGTGGCGCTCGGTGCAGCAGAAGTGGAAGTTCCAAAAAGATTGGTGGATGGCGCCGAAGACGCCGCACCCTCTGTCTTTTGCGAAGACGCGCCGAAGTTGAACAAATTCGATGCAGGGGCAGTCGATGTAGTGTTCGGTGTGGTTTGTGTAGTTGTGCCAAGCCCTCCAAAGATGTTTGGCTTGGGAGTCTCGGTTGTACTCTCAGTCTTTTGTGCAGTGGAGCCAAAGCCGCCAAACAAGTTGGGCTGGGGTGCCGCCGAGTCCTTGGGCGTCTCGTCCTTTTGCGCATTTGCACCGAAGCCGCTGAAGATGGTGTTCTGTGCAGGCGCTGCTGACTGTGTAGAAGCACCGAAACTGAAGACTCCGCTCGTTGCTGGCGTACTTGTGGTGTTCTGAGCAGAAGAACTTGTAGCGCCAAAGGTGAACGGTGTTGAAGCCGGAGCGGATGTTGTGGCAGCATTTGGAGCACTGCTAGTCGTGCCAAACAGGCCTCCCGAGGGTGTAGCGCTGGAAGTTCCAAACAGACCACCTGCGGGTGCAGCGCTCGATGTGCCGAACAGGCCGCCCGACGGTGCTGGGCTCGACGTGCTGTTCTGACCTAGCCCACCAAAAGGGTTGCTCTGGGTCGGGGCGTTGCCGAATAACGATCCGCCGAACGCGGGCGCGGGTGCAGGCGTACTGCCGTTGGTCGCGGGCGCCGAGTTCGCTGCAGCAAATGGGTTTGTACCGCCAGCCGTGAAGTTGAAGCCTGCGGATGAAGGCGGCTGGGGGTTGAAGCCGGTACTTGTGCCTTGATTGCTACCACCGAATGCTGGAAAGGATGAGCTGGAGAATGTGTTGCTGGGGGCGGCAGGCTGTGCTGGCGGGAAGCTGTTGGTCGCGGCGCCGCCGAAAGCATTGTTTCCTCCAAAGCCACCAAAGCCATTTGTGCCGCCGTTTGCGGGAGCGGGTGCAGATGCCCCAAAGTTGAAGGCATTCGGCTGTGGCGCGCCAAAATTCGCGCTCTGCGATAGACCCTGCGCGCGCGCGTTAGCCAATGCCTGCTCTCTGCGACGCATTTCGCGTCGCCCGGCTTGCGTATATCGATTTGCCGACATGCTTGCGCTGCAGTTGCAGTTTGCAGTTGTGCTTGTGGACGGTTTGTGGTGGTCGGGGTACTCACGGAGGAGGCGCCTGCTGGCCGTCGGGCTTTCGCGGTCTTGATCCTAAGGCAACAACGTCAGAGGGTCCAAGGCAAAGCGCGCCGGCGCGCGAAGCTTTCACCGTTTGGTGAGATGAAGTGCCGGTGATGGGGTGTCTTACTTTCGTGCGGCCAACTGTGCTGCCGTTGCCCGCTGAGGCACATCTGCGGGATCGTCGCGTTCTTCGTAGGGGCGCTCAGGCTTGCCCTGGCCGAAAATGTTGCCCCGCTTGTTGGTCGACATGGTCGCGCTCACTCAGGGTCGGTCAGTGATGAATGCGGTCGGAATGGATTTTTGGATAGAACCCCATGGGACGCGTATGGTGGATGGCCAAGGTTTTGGGAGGATGTTTTTGATGTTCCGGCGGCGGCGACCCGTGCCCGACGTCAGGGAGCGGCTTAGTCAGCGGCCTAGCAACGAGAATTGTTCTCACTGGACAGGCACGTGTGCATGGACCGCGCATCCCCTGTCGATGAGGAAGAAACAAAGAAAATGGTTCTCCATGGCAGAACGACTGACCCTCGCTCGCGGCTCGCGGCGTTCCCTGAGCTGAAGCTACGACATGTGCCAGAGCTGCAACCATGTCGCATTAACTGTTGGGCCGTGTAGCTGCAGGCCAATCTATTGCAGAAAAGCCAACCTGGTACTTTAATCTGTGCTAGCCCAGAATGCACACAGGCGCATATTCCCAGGCTGCTGCTGATCCCAGCAGACATCAGACGGCGCGGTGCTCTCTCTTGTTATCACGGCCGAGGACATGAAACGCGATCTGGAGAAGCCTTCGGCTTCGGCTCTTTCGCGCAAGAAAATAGTCCGATAGCAACTAAGACGGCGAGGATGCATGGCAGTTGTAATGGCGTCATCGGACAAATTGTTGGACCCTTGTACATTGATGCTAGCGCACCACGGCAACATGAGCCAGCGACGCGCTTTTGCGTCTATTGAAAACTCAACAATGCTACGCGGCCTTGTTGCATTGCTACATGGTAATACAAATGTCTTTCACCCCGCCTGTGGTAGGCTTGGCGTATGCGGCGCTGTTGCACGATGGCTGGGAGCAAGCACACAGCGGGCAGTACGGGTATTGGCTGCACATTTCACATGTTTCTTGCGAGTTGAGAAACATGCAGCCGTTGTGTTCTAGCGTTTCAGCATCATGGTTTAGGAGCTGAGGCGGATCTACAAGCTGCCGTTGAACCGGTGAAACACCATTTTAGCTTCCTGTATCTATATTTGCTTCTCGCGCTGTTAGAGTTCTGGCCCAAGCCACTTGCAGAGCGGTGAGGTTCGCCGGGAGGTCTTTTACTGTTAGTCGAGAAGAAAAGCAGTGTGGCCATATTTAGAAAGGAGGGAAAAAAAGATGTGGTTGCACACGGTAGGAGTTGGTGATGCGTGACTCGTCCGGGTCTAGGGTTGTATCAAGAGTCTCATGTTTGACAGAGGCGAGAGCAAGTGTAGCGACAAGTATAGTTCGGTCTCAAACAACGACGAGGCCAGGCGCGGAGCTATAGTGGTCAAGGGCAGATTTGCAGCGTGCAGAGACCCCGGCATCCATCGATATAGGCGGCGGGGTATAGTGTGGTTGTGGTTGTTGCATGTGGATTGTGCCGTGTTACAGCAGGAGCTTGTGCCGAAGTTGCAGTGGCTAGGCGGGTGCCGGGGTGGTTGGACAAGAAACAATGTGGGGTAGCAAAAGGCGTGTTTCAAAGTGCAGACGAGGCCATGAGTAGCGTGCACGTGAGGGGCGCGGTGCATGGGCTGCAACGGACGGAATATGCCCGATTTGTCATAGACAGACATGTCACCCAAGGCCGACTCGGGTGGTTGTTGGGAGCGGCTGGCGAGGCATGGGCTGTGAAGCTGGGCGGTGGCTTGGGTAGAGTAAGTAATGTCAGTCCGTCAGCCGTGGGCTATGGCGGGGTAGGCCGAGCGCAGGAGCAGGCAAGTGAGGGGAGACGACGATAAGGCGCGGGCGGGTGATTGAATGGCCATGTCACTCAGCTGCAGGGCGCCTGTGTGGTACGGGGCTTGTCACGGCGAGGTGGGTGGGCATCTCGCATCAGCTTCTAGGTTCAGGTTAATGTAATAATGGGCGTAATGTTCAGGTTCAGGTTCAGGATCGGGATTCCGGTAGAGGGTCAGGCTGGGGCGCGGACAGGCAGGCAGGCTGTGGCTCAGGTCAGGTCTAGGTCCAGCTCGTCTAAGCGGCGCATACATACCAGGTCGTGAGGCGCCTGACGTCTCATGAGTACGCGTGGCTCAGAGCGAATGCCGACGACGACGACGACGACTGCTGAGACTGCGGTGTGCTGCTGTGCCACGGGATTGCGCAGTAGCGGGCACGCATCGGGGCGGGGGCGCGAGAGGAGGTGCAGGAGCCGATGCAGAGAGAGAGGGAGAGGGAGAGGGAGGGAAGGGGAAAGGGAAGGTAGAGGCGAGGGGGCGGGCGAGGGAGAGGCAGAGGCAGAGAGGCAGAGAGTGAGAGAGACAGGACAGGACAGAATGGGCAAAGCCGTGGGGCTGCAAGCGGTGAAGGCGTGTACTGGAATGGGAGCCACCCGTCGCGTTGCCAGCCAGTCTATGTGTGGGAGGGGGGCTTATCTGGGCCCAAGGCACGACGGCGACTCCGCTCCAGCCGGCCTGTTTCCCCTCAAGTGCTGGTGCTGGTGCTGGTGCTGGTGCTTGTCGTCGCCGTCGCCTCTGCGCCTTTTCCCCTCTATCCAGCGCCACACAGCCTGCCTTGCCGTGTCTTGCATTTAAGCACCGCCCGCCCCCAATGCCCCAGGGCGCGACCACGCCCACGCCCACGCCTACGCCCGCGCCTACGCCTATAGTACGCCCACACCCACACCCACACCCACACCCACATCCGCGTCGGCGTCGAATGCATCTCGTTCCTTGCGGCACCATCATCGATCTTCAGAGCTCCTAGCCTAGCTGGGCCTGTTCGGAGCCGAGGCCAGCGCTCGAGGCACGCCAGCACCCCGGCGCACCCAGCGTACCAGCGAGCGTACCATTCCCAGCAACCGTCCCAGCCTGCCCAGGAGGCGTCCAACGGCCGACTGCACCAAACCATTGTCCTGTCCGGTCAATTCCACCTCCCCCCCCCCCGACCTTGGAACTGCCCCGGATTCCTGTCAACCCCCCCCCCCCATGTAATCCTTTCGTCACCAGTCTGTTACGTCGTCTGCCCTGCCGCGGATCTAGCGGAACCCTCCCGTCTTAAAGTCGACTTGGTGATGCCACTCCCTCGGCCTGTCCTCTGCTGATCTCATCTCCTCTCCTCCCACGCCCTTGGATACACACCACCCCGTCGACACCAGACTGACATGCTTCGATAACACGCGCCTGCCCCTCCTCTCTCGCCCACCATGTCTGCCCGGCATGCGCGCCTCCACAAACGCGGCCACTCGGCCTCTGCTGCAAGTCCCTTGAGCACCGTGGCCGACCACGGCGTCTTCACCTTTGACCGCTCCCACACGCCCAAGGTCTACGAGGAGTCGTGGCTCGAGACGCTGGAAACACAACGCCCCATGCCCGCCGTCATCTCTACCAACCCCCTCAAGATCAAGCCCTACCTGCGCAAGCTCTCGTCCAAGGAGACCAGTGGCCTGGACCTGTCACGCCCTGCCGCCGAGAACGACCTCACTGGCCTGGGCATACTCGAGTATGGCGCCTACTCGCGCTCCATATCCGACGTCAACTTCACCTCGGTCACGGCCCGCCAGCGACACCACCGCTCGCCCTCGAACCAGTCGCAGTACTCGACCTCGTCTGGCCTGCAGCGCCCGACCCCCCTGCCCTGCATCCGCCAGACCCCCCAGCCCTTCTCACCGCCAATAGCAAACTCGTCGCCACCCTCGATCCTGGGCAGTGAACTCGAGGGCGACGACATCATGTCCGACGACGAAGTCCGCCTGAAACAGAGTTCGTACGATCCCGCTCGCCGATCTGGTTCCATGTCCTCGGCCCAGGGCACATCCCTACGCATCCACACAAACAACTCATACACCCGCCTGGCCGCCAGCTACTCGCAATCCTCGGCCTCGCTCACCTCGCCGCCTGCCTGCCCGCCACGGGCACGCGGCGACACGCTCAAGTCGGTCGACACCACGTCGCCCAGCTCGCGCACCTCGTTTGACCAGACGTATCGGTTTATCCGCGGTGGCCGCGACTCGCCCGTCGACCCTGCGTCCAGAGCTGCCTCGATCCGCGCTGCACGGCAAAAGTTTGAGCAGGAGCAGCGCGCCAAGGAGCTCAAGTACGAAAAGGAGGCGCACAAGCAGCAGGAGCGCGAACATCGAAAGCAGCTCAAGAAGGAAGACGTCCAGCGCCGCAAGTCGGAGCACGCCGACCGCAATGACATGAGCCGCACGCGCACCGGATCCGACGGCGAGAAGACGCCCCGGCCTTCTGCTGTCGGCGGGCGGCCGTCGGTGGGCGGCCGCCAGTACTCGGACTATCGCGAGGCTCATTCACACTCTCTGCCCAAGTTTGTCGCCACCGTCGATCCGGAAAAGGCGGCGGCTGCGTGCGCGGCACCCAAAGTCACAAAGAGCCGCGCCGCCAAGGGCACGTGGCTGCGATTCGTCACATGGCTGCGGACGAGGCTGCTGCGCCTGTCGGGCAGGTAGATGCTTGACGCGCGCATGCACTGCCACGCATACATATACGCGCACTGCAGAGGCATGTTGCAGAGACACACACACACACACACAGAGAGAGAGAGAGAGAGGCACACCACCCGCCGTGTCTCTCTCCTCTAAACCACATATTGCTTACCATCGCATCCGGGGGCGCCCAATGGCTTTGCACACGTTGCCCCTCTTTATACCCCAAGCCATTTCTTTTTCCATATTCCCTTCTGTCATTCGTCTTTAGCACGGCGTCACGATCACGGCCTCTTACGATATACGCCTCCCCGATGCCCAAGCTGCATCTCTCGCCGGCATCACTGGGGACTCTGTCTTTGCGCGCGCATTTGCAAGGTTGGCTCCGGGATCCACCTACATCATCATTTCTGCATCTTTCTTCTCTGCACCGGCGTTACCTTTCTCTGTCAAGTATATGTCAACCTGGCGCGGCACGTCGGCAGACGTGGCCGCTAGAATGGGTTTTAGAGTCTGTCTTTAGGTTGGATCACTCGCTCTGGCTTCGACCATTGAGCTCGCAATTTCAAGTCGATTTCTCCAAGCCGGTTTCCGCTGCCCATGCCTGTGATGATCTCATGTACAGCTGCCCGCGACGCCACGCCCGGCAATGACGTTGGCATGTTTCGATTGGATGATAGTCGATGGCCTTCAAAACAAACCATGCATGAACTTCTCCACACGCGCATGGGTGAGATCATCTGTCATGGTGACGGACATGCTGCATCGACAGGGATGCGCCTGTCGGGTCCGACTTGACCTGGTCTTGGCGCGCCCAGCATCATTCGACGCTCCAAGCACGCCAACGCGCTCCCCGCATTTGCCGTCTCAACAGCTACGACATGAATTACGTGTGTGCATAGTCGCAATGCCTCTACCAAGCATGCCGCGCGGCTCCACGGCGCTGCGAAGCGCTCGAGCAAGTGCATTATGCAGACAATGCCGACCCAGCGCCGGTGCGGGCACATTCATGCAGAGGCGCTGGAAGTCGGGCGACCAAGAGAAGCCATTCTACCTGCAGTTGAACGAGAGCATCTTCGACCGTGTGCAGAAAGAAAAGGCCGAGCAGATTCGCATCCAGTCGCTGCAGCAAAGAACAGCCCGAGGCCAGTTCTTTGCCACCGTCTTCGGTACCGACCCCTCATACTCCTGCCTGTCGCAACAAAACTGACTGCGCGACAGCATGCCTCCTCACAGCAGGCATAGGCTACTACTATGGCCAACTCATACCATCCAAGCCAGATGCGAGCTCCACGGCATCGCTCGACAAGTTCGTCCCCCCGAAGCACAACATTTCCGAGGCGAATATGGAAGCGGCATGGACAGACTTCCGCGACATTGTAGGAAAGGAGAACATTACACTCGACAGATTCGATCTCGAATCCCATAGCGGCTCCTCGTGGTCATCCCATCCAGCGCAGCCAGGCGACATACCGTTTTGCGTGGTAAAGCCGGGAAGCACTCAGGAAGTCAGTGCCATTATGAAAATCTGCCACGAGCGCAAAATCCCAGTCACTCCCTACAGCGGAGGAACGAGTCTGGAGGGGCACTTTGCGGCAACAAAGGGTGGAATCTGCATCGACTTTAGTCGCATGGACCGCATTCTCAAGCTACACAAAGAAGATCTGGATGTGGTTGTACAGCCGGCTGTCGGATGGGAACTCTTGAATGAAGAGCTTGCCAAAGACGGTTTGTTTTTCCCACCCGACCCGGGCCCGGGCGCAATGATTGGCGGCATGGTCGGCACAGGTTGCTCAGGCACAAACGCGTACCGCTACGGCACAATGAAGGATTGGGTCATTTCGCTCACCGTGGTGCTGGCTGACGGAAAGATCATCAAGACGCGCCAACGGCCACGAAAGTCGTCTGCAGGCTATGATCTGACTCGCATGTTTGTTGGAAGCGAGGGTACCCTGGGCCTCGTCACAGAAGCTACTCTCAAAATCATCCCCAAGCCGCAGCACACAAGTGTAGCCGTATGTGCATTCCCAACTGTCCGCGCGGCAGCAGATTGCGTCTTCAAAGTCGTGGGCGGAGGCGTCCCCATTGCAGCCATTGAGATTCTAGACGACGTGCAAATGCAATGCATCAACGACGCAGGCCAAACCTCAAAGACATGGAAGAACGCGCCCACGCTATTTTTCAAATTTGCCGGCACACAGAGCTCGGTCAAGGAACAAATCAGCCAGGTCCAGGCGCTCGCCAAGAAAACCGGTTCCGTGAGCTTTGAATTCGCAAAATCAGAACAGGAAAAGGAGGATCTGTGGCAGGCACGCAAAGAAGCCCTGTGGAGCGTCATGGCCAAGACTGGCGGCGACCCCAACATGGGTGTCTGGACAACAGACGTTGCAGTCCCCATTTCCAAACTGCCGCAGATCATCGAAGAGTCCAAGGAAAAGATTCGACAGAGCGGCCTCCTGGGCAGCATAGTCGGTCATGTTGGTGATGGAAACTTCCACTGTAAGTCGACGACAATACATCTCCATGCCCATGCTCCATCTAACTCTCCATGTTCACAGCCATCATCCTCTACAACCGCCAGCAAGACTACGAAAAAGCCTCGCACCTCGTCCACGACATGGTCAAGCGCGCCATCGAGCTCGAGGGAACTGCCACAGGCGAACACGGCGTCGGCCTCGTCAAGCGCGACTACCTACCCCATGAGCTGGGCCAGGACACCGTCGATGCAATGAGGCAGCTTAAAAAGGCATTTGACCCCTTGTGTCTGCTCAACTGCGACAAGGTTGTGCGTGCAACGCTGCCGAAACAGGGCGAGGTGGCCGAGTGGTGATGTAGTGTAGTGTAGATATGCGTTGTAAGCTATGTGCATGTATCAAAGGCTTTGGAACGCGATTAAAATATCAGTATGAACGCTACGAACTGTTTTTCTCCTTTCCTAAGAAAAAAAAAAGTTCAAACTGTGATTCTTTTTTTTTCTAAGTATTATATGAATCAAGTGTCGCACGCAGTCTATATATATATATATATATAGTTATGTAGTGTCTTTCTTGTCGTACAGATTGAATATAACAAAAAAAAACCCCAATTCCTCTTTTTACTTTTTTTTTACTTTTTTACTTATCCCTCTTTTCCTCTCTCTCTCTCTCTCTCTCTATTCCTTTTAACGAGTAATTCATCTCTTTCTGTCTGTCTGACTCTCTCTCTCTCTCTCTCTCTCTCTCTCTCCCTCTCAACCTCTCTCTATCTCTCTCAATCAATCAAGTCGATTGTTCCCCATCCATCACCTTTTTTTTCATTTTCCTTTTTTTTCTCTTTTTTTTTCTGCGTCCCCTGTAAGCTGTAAGCAGTAAAAGTTTCTCTATCGCTCTCAACACTTGGTTAGTATACCTACCTAGTAGTAATATGGGTAAAATCACTCTTACTCATTATTTTACTCATTTTGTTTCCCCCCACTCCCCACCCCCACCCCTCCCCCCGTAAAATAGTTCTTTTTTTTTGCTAGGCTTATCTCCCAAGCGTTTTCTCGTGATTATGTAATGCTGGATAGCGCTGGAATAAGGCGGCGTTGGTAATTGTTTTGAATATGGATGAATGAATGGATGGACGGATGGATGGATGGATGAATCAATAAAAGGAGGGTTTCTAGGTAGGAGGCGGAGGATGAGCTGGATACGGAAAGTACTAGGCTGGAGTCGAGTATGTATATACAGATGAAGACTTTTTGTTTTTTTTGGGACTACTGTAGAGGTCTGAGTCTTGATGGACGAAGGGAGTAAGTAAGTAAGTGAGATTAGCTTGTAAAGAAAGCAGAAAAGAATGCGGGTAGGTGGAATATGAGGTGGGGGGTGGGGGGGGATAATGAAAGCTCTGGTATGGCTCTGGCTCTGTGTAGAGATGTTAGGGGTAGGGAGAAGTGGGTGGGGGGGTGTTTTTTTTGAACGTTTAAAAGAGAAAGAGGGCAAAGGCAAGGGGAAAGAGATGAATGTGAGTTGTTGTTCTGCGTACTTGTTAGTTCCTTTATTTTTCTTCTTCTTTTTTTCTTTCTCTTTCTTGGCTGCTATGTTAAGCGGATTGGGAATTGGGAATGAGGATAAGAATAAGAGTGGATTAGACACATACACACACAGAGAGAGAGAGAGAGAAAGGAGGGAGGGAGGGAGGGTAAGGGAGTAGTGTAGAGGGTTTTGGACAAGGTCTGTAGTTGATAAAGACGATGATGATAATGAGGAGGAGGATAGATGGATAGATGGATAGATAGATAGATAGATAGATAGATAGATGGATGGATGGATGGATAGTAAGAAGATGAGAGAAGGGGAAAGGGGGGACGAAAAATGAAAAAGGGGAAATATGATAGTTTGGATTGTGACTAACACATCTACACGCATGAGGTTCCTGAATGCATGGTTAGATTAAGAAATGGAATTTCTTGGGGTGCCTTTGGTAAGTAGGTAGAGTGTAAGAACTCAGAAAAAAGGGTAAATTGCATCACCATTACTTCTACTACTACTACTACTACTACTACTACTACTACTACACATGCCATTTCCTACTGCAGGTTACGGTATATCAGACCCCACGCATCTAATCGCGTTCTTGCAGGATATGTGTAATGGCACTGTGAATATACACTGCTATGCTGCATTGCTGTATATACACACTTTTTCAGCGAACAAAGAGAATAACAAGAAGGAGACATAACAAAAATGTTCACAGCTAAACAATGCTTGATATCCGGTTAGTGCATAAAGTCAAACGGACACGCGCCCTCTGGGTTGCATATGGTTCTTGGGAATGGTAGTTACGTTCTGCACGTGTGTATTGGCTCACGCAGACATAGGATTGAGAGATTGAGTGGATTAGCACTCAATTTCAAGGACGACGACGACGAGTTTTGGAGAGGTTTTGGTTGAAGAATTTACGTGGTGGAGGTGGGATTAGATTGGATTGGATTGGGGAAAAGAGAGGGGGAGGGTTGCTTGAGGGGTTCTAACATACACAGACACAGATACGGAGAGACACGCAGACAGACATACAGACGCACACACGCACACACAGAGAGAAAGGGAGAAAGTCGGCGTATGTCTGCACACCCACATCTCCCTCCATCATCCAGTATACACCTCGAACCCGCACAATGACATTCCACACACGCTACACACCCCCCGCCACAACAGGCCGACGCCTGACCCCCACCCGCACACACAACACCAGACACCTATATTTAGCACCAGTGGTCCCCGTATGGATGTCCCTGGCACAGCGGTACCGCCGCGTGGGCGATGAAAGATACTACGCTGACGACATGAGCAGCGTTACCGATGCCGACGAGGTTGCTGCTGAGGCAGCTGAAACAGATACGACGTCAGCATGTGGATTTGAGCGTGCGGATTCCGTGGTCGATGGTGATGATGAGAAGGAAGAAGACTGGAAGCGCCGGTTTCGCGATACGTCGGTGTCAGAGAGCGCGGTGCAGCAGCGTTCTGCTCCGCTGACCTTACTAGATGAATGCGACTACGCCGAGGTTCTGTTTGATGCGGAAATCCCTGGGATGGTAGAAACCGAGGAGAGGTTTTGCTGGGATACACGGATTGCACGTCCAAGGTATGATCAAGTATCTGTGCCGTACTGTGCACGGGAAGAGATGGTGGCGACGGAATTGCTGCCGGAAAGCGAGATGGAAGTTGTGCCGGTGGTTGCGGGAGATGGAGCTGGAAACGAAGTCGTGGAAATGCTGGGGAAATTGGCTTTGAGACCTGTGCAGCGGACGCCAGATACAGAGGTTGAGTATGGGCTCAGACGAGAAGGGCGCCAGTTGACGTATACGCTGTTATCGGCGCCAGAGACGGCAAGCGGGTTGCAGCAGCAAGACTATCCAGCAGTGAAACAGCTAGAGCGGCGACACGAATACGCTGAGCCAGAGCAGTTGGAGTGTGACTGGATTCCTCATGTGCCTGGGTCACAGTTTCTCCCTGGAATCGAGCATCTCACCAACATCAACGTTCGCTCAGCATTCATTACATACGACCGCGACGTCGAGGCTTTGTACGACGACTCAGTCTCGTTTCTCGACGACTACTACAAGGACTGGTACAACTGCCTAAACAAAAATCTCGACACGCTGCGGCTGCCTGGTGAGAATTTCCTGCTGGCGGAAAACGAAGCCGAGTTTGGGTTATCGCTTCAGCGCCCGACGGCGCAGTGTGTTTTTGATCTGATTGATCAGCTGGTTCACGCGGATGTCCTGGATCAAGATGGTATGGCTGAGGAGATTCCAACGACATCCTGGGACGAGTTCGACGAGTTTGTGGACACTGAGCCCGAGGAATCCGGACGTGACACGCGTGGAATGACGGCGGAGGAGCTGGATAGGATTTTCCTCGACGAGTATCACGCAGTTTACTCATCCCCGTCTAGCACAGCCTCGGAGCCTTTTAACAGCAGCGACGAAGACGACGTTCTGGAAATCGGTGAAATGCATCTAGACACTGCATATGCAAGTCATCCGTCTTCACTGCAGCACTACATGGATACCGGTACTCAGCAGCGCATCGCCTACATAGCGCTGGACCAGCTGCTCGCGGTACCCAGCGAAAACGAGCCTGACATGCATCCGGCCATGGTGCCCCGAGACATTGACGGCCAAGATGACCTCAGGTCTGACGCGGGTTTCAGCAGCACTTCGTATTTGAAAAGCAACCCCCATTATCACGCAACGCCACTTAATATTCCTCGCGTTTCCACTCGGAGCAGCAGCCCCATCAGCGCCTCTCAACAAGGAAGGCGACCAGAAATATCGCAGTGCGAGGACCCACTTGATGGTTTCCATGACTCCAGCTGCCCAACATGGCAGCCCCGAAAACGAGGCACGGAAATAGTAGCAGTGCAGGCGCAGGACGTGCCAGTGGCTCCGCTTTCAAGCCTAGTAGTTGCAGAGCAGCACTGTGGAAGAGTGGTAGGACCAGCGGATTCGATTTCTCCCGAGAAAGAAATGCTATTGCGTTCTGCAGTGCAAGACGAGTCAGTGGCCCATACCACACCACCACCACCACCGCCATCACCACTACTATCGGCGGTAAACCACCCGGATAACAATATCAAGCGCCTATATTCGCCCTCCACCTCGTCATCCCACCACACGCGCTATGACGTTCCCACCAGCACCAGCACCAGCACCAGCAACGACGACTGGGAAAAGGTAATATTCGCAAATGGCATTTGGCACGTACCCCCTCACCTCAGCCTCCCATTCTGCCGCCCTAACCCTTCCGCTCCACCTACTCCCCGTCGTACCAGTATTACCTACGACGAGTCTGTTCCCCCTGCTACTACCACTAATACTACGGATACTACTACTACTGCTGTCGTCGCCCAAAGCACGGCGGCTTCCAGCCATCTCGCGCTGCCGCACCCGCCGTGTGCCGCTTGCGGAGCGGTGCATGAGGGACCGGACAGGCGTGTTCAGGCTACGTTAGCGGTGCTGCTTGAGTGTATTGATGGCAGTGATGCGGGTAGTGTAGACCTAGATAGGCTGGCCGCGCTGTGTGAACAACTGCATTGGGCGGTGCGGCGTGTTGGTCTGGCAGAGCGGTGGCCCTGTGGAATGGCGGCCGTCCTGCAGAGTTTGGGGGTTGCGGTCGAGATGCTCGTCGAGTATGTGCTGGTGCTGGTGCTGGGTTTGGGTCAGGCACGGGGTTAAGGTACTGGGTTTGGGGCGGCACAGAGGAGCAGGGGGGGGGGGGGTAATTGGTGGGTGGGTTGGGTTATGGGTGCATGTCTTGGAGAGTGTGGGAATCTTTGCTTTGTCTGTTTTTTTTCTCTTTAGTTTTTGTTTACCCGTTTGTTGTTGTGGTTGCTGTCATTTTTATTCCTGATCCTCTGATCCTCTTCCCTATTCTGACATGTTCTCTCTCTCTCTCTCACACACATACATCCGAAAAAAAAGCCTCGAAATAAGCTTTTTCTCGGACAACAACGCAGGGGATGAACGGAACCAGAATACACCAAGTACACTTTGTAACTTGGACAACGCATACTCTCTGTGTCTGCTCTTGCACCACTGTCAGTGCCCGGAAAGATTATCGCTAGTACTAGCAGCACGCCCAAGGGATTGCATTAATCATTTGCATATACGAAAAACTGTCAAGTTAGCTTTTACCACAAGTTGTTGAGAAGGACAATGGCGGTGTCGCTGGCAGAAATAACTTGTCAGTGGTAATATTAGTGGTAAGGAAAGTAAGCGGCAGGCCAACGATAGCAGCAGCATCACGGGATCGGCCCGTTTTCGCACACGCCCTCTCGCGTGCACCTGCACCAGCTAGTAGCCCAGCACGGCGAGGGAAAAGGCAAAAAAAAAGGCCTGCAAGGGCTTACAGGACCCAGGGTGGACCAGCGCAATGATCGCAGTCTTATACCGCCATTGTCAAGTATACGGGCCATCCGGGCGGGCGGGAAGAAACCCAGCATAAACGTCAGGCCTCATGTGGAAAGGGAGGTGCGGCGCTAAGCACAGTTGGGACGGGACTGACTCGGTGGCATTTCCAGTAGCATACAAGGACCGGGACCGGGACAGCCTAGGCCTGTCATGTCAAGTTCTATTAATGGGCGGCTTGGTGGCAATGATCATGCTGATGCCTGTGTCAATCACCCACGGGTAATGCCCACGAAGATTTATTGATCCCAGCCCTTTGAATTTTTTTCTGGCGGAGTTGCGGAGTTGAGCCCGACGCTGTGTTGTGCACTTTTGTATCAATGCAAAAAATGCGAGGCGGGGGGGGGAGGGGTGGGTGAGTGTGTGTTCATATCGACACGTTTTCGCCTTGTGCACCTGAGGTTACATTTGCGCTTGCATGGTGCTTTGCCTTTTCGCACTAGTCGTATGTAGTCGGGGGCAAAATGTGTAGTGTGTAGTGTGTAGTGTGTAGTGTGTAGTGTGTAGTGTGTAGTGTGTAGTGTGTAGTGTGTAGTGTAGTGTGTAATGAGTAATGAGTATGTGTACCAGAATACCATTCTCTCTACCGGCAATTTCGTAAACGATTACACGATGGTGACAAGGCTGCTGGTCGGATCATGGGATGGCTCAACCGGGCTCCCAGGATACCGTGGTGTTGTAAGAATAGCGCACAGCCATAGGAACAATAGACATATTTAGAATCACATGACAATGACTGTCAGATGGCCGAGAGGAAGCAGTGCCGGCGATAACTTTGTTGCTCGTGCCATGGTAAAGTGGCCGAAAGTGTATGTCAGAAGCTTAACGGCAACAAACTTCGTCCAGGCCCGGTGGGCTAGCACCAAAGAGCAAATCACCAGCGTAGCATCGCACCAGTAGCCTGGCGCCAGTCGCTGTGCTGATGTACGTAGGTGGCTGCTGGGCTGTCCAGGTTGACGCTTGACCCAACCCAGGCGGACCCATGCCACTGACCGTGTCATTGGGTGCTTGTGGTTCAATACGAGGCGCGAAGTCTAAGGGCCTGCTAGCAGCATGGCTAGCGTCTAGGGTGCTGGTTGTCGCGTGGAAGGCCATGGAACCCGTCATGGCAGTCGTATGGTGGCTATTCTTTGTAGCACAGCGCCACTCGGATAGAACTACTGTAGGTACGAGATTGCCATGCACAGGCGTGGCGGTGCTGGCCACGGCTGCTGAGTCGGTTGGTCAGCGGGCGCGCTGCTGGTGTCGTGTGGGCAGAGTTCGTCGAGACGTCCAAGTGGAAATATAGTGTCCCACTGCAAGTAAGCATTGTGGCGTCGCTTGTTTTGGTCAGCAAACTTGTCGACCAGGGGCTCTCGAGGAAGCTCGTCACCAAGCGAACCGAGACTCGACCGCTATCAACTGCCAGATGAAGCATAGATGGCGGGCGGTGGGCGGGGTGGAGCAGGGCAGCATGCCAGCATGGCCGATCTTCAGGAACCGGACATGGCTGGTCTGCTGTCACTCGTCGTCGCACGGCGGAGGGCAGGGGGGCGGGCAAGACGGCGGCCTCTCCAGAGCGAGTGGAGGGGCGGCATCGGATGAGGTGGATGGAGTGACCTGGACATGGTCGACTTTGGGTTCTGACAGACGTGCCGCTGTACGCCGGCCGAGGCCCGGCGACGCCCAAAGCGGCCTAGCGCGGGATTAAAATAGCCTTCCACCAACGGTCGCCCACGCCCTTAGTGCCACGACGGTTGAGCGGTAGTCGAGTGGTAGGGCTGTGAGCGTGTCCATGCAACCCTTCGTGCTGACGTTACTCTTTGGGATGTTCACGCTATCGACTGTCGTATCCCAACAAAGCGGTGCCCGCCGGCGTGTGGAGCGGGTGTGGAGCGTGCCTCTGCATGGTGCCATCGTCGCCCTGGACGAGCGAGAGCCATCTCGACGTCAGCCCGGGCGGACACTGCAAGGCCATGTGGTATAAAACTTTGAGGCCTTCGCTCCCAAGATATCCATCCTCACCACTACCGCCAACATCCTACCATCACACCTTCGCTTTCCCTCCCGTCTTTCTCCAGACCGACACTCACTTCAGTGCCCATCTCTAGAAACCATAATACTTAATCTCGCCTCTCGACAACCTCGCACCGCCAGATAGCAGCACAACCACCACACCTCTCAAGATGCGGTACTCTCTTGTTGCTGCCGCCATCGTCGGCTCGACTTTTGCTGCTCCTCAATATGGCTGGTACCCCATGGTAACACCGAGCTCGTAGAGTCGGTCGAGCAAGGAGTAGAGCTTGGCGAAGGGCTCGATGCTGGAGAGCTCACAGGCGTAGAGGCGACTGGAGAAGGGCTCGAGGCTGGGGAGCTCGTAGAGTCGGTCGAGCAAGGAGTAGAGCTGGGCGAAGGACTCGAGGCCGGGTAGCTGACTGGCGTAGGGCTGGAGACCGGAGCACTTGACGCAGGAGTCGAGGCTGGGGAGCTTGCGGGCGTAGAGACGTATCCAGAGGGCGAGCCCAGCCTCGAGCCCTTCTCCAGTCGCCTCTACGCCTGTGAGCTCTCCAGCGTCGAGCCCTTCGCCTAGCTCTACTCCTTGCTCGACCAGCTCCTCAACTCCTGGAGTCAGCTCCCCTGTCTCCAGCCCTTCTCCAGTCGCCTCTACGCCTGTGAGCTCTCCAGCATCGAGCCCTTCGCCAAGCTCTACTCCTTGCTCGACCCATACTACCGTGTCCGCAAGCTCGCCAGGCTACCCGGCCTCTACTCCTGGATCGAGCGCTCCGGTCTCCAGCTCCACTCCCGTCTCTCCCGCATCTACTACTCCTATCAGCTCTACGGCCACTCAGACGACCTGGGTTTACTCCACTGATGTTCACAGCTCGGCCGCTTCTTCGTCTTCCACGACCGCGCCTCACACTGAAGACATCACCACCGTCATCACAAAGACCAGCACCATGTTTGTGCCATGCTCCACTTCTGTTGGCACGGCCGACCGCCACTCGGTTGTCTACTCTACCTACCTCACTCCATCCTACGTGCCCATCACCGTCACCACCGTCATCCCTGGATGCAACGGCAACTGCCCCACGCCAACTTCTCAAACCCCCCAGGCAACCACTTCCCAGCCCGCACAGAGCCAACCTGGCCAACCTCAGAACACTCCAGTTGTGCCACCTCCTCAGCCCAACCAGCCCGCGCAGAGCCACCCAGCTCAGACTTACCCTGGCTCTCCTATCGTCACACCTGCTCCCAACTGCCCGGCTGTTTCTGTTGTGACTGTCACTGTCACCCAGACTGAGACTGAGACTGTCTACCAGGGAGGCGGATACACTCCCGTTCCCTACCCGCCCTCTTCCTCCCCCGCAGGCACCAAGCCCTCTGGTGCTAAGCCCAAGCCTTCCAACCAGCCTTGGTACCCCACGTCGAGCTCGACTGCTGGCCAGCCTCACCCCACTGGCTACGTGCCCGGCCCCAGCCCCGACACTGGCTATCCCGCTAGCACCTTCAGCCCTGTGCACGGCATCCCCGCCACTCCTCCTGCCGGCACTCCCACCTCCAAGCCTCAGTCCACTGGCTACGTCGCCTCCTCGCCCAGCCCCATGAACGGCTACCCCGTTGGCACTCCCAGCCCCGTGCACAGCTCCGCGTCCTACCCAACCACCTCATCGTCGCCCACGCCCGTCCCTACCGGCGGCTACGGCAGCTACGGTGGCGGCTACGGTGGCGGCTACGGCTACGGCTACGCCAACTAAAGTCTTTACGTCGCATGATTTGACTGTAAACGCCTTCACCTTCTCTTCATCCTCAGCAATAATTAACTTTTAATGGCGGCAAAGGTCTCTTTTATCATCACGCAGCTATCTTCTTATTTAAAGCTGTATGTAAAACGCTCTCATTGTATAGCGGGAGCAACGTCATTCCTTGAACCTTGCACAGCCCACGGCGTTTTGAAGAATGTTTTTTTGCCTTTTTTTGTGTCCAGAACTGGACCCATTGGTACCTAGTTTGTTAGTGTCTTTTTTGCAATTGTTTTTTTGTTTATACACGGCTTTTTATGGTTCATACAATGGAGGGGGGGCGGATAGTGGTTTTTTTTTTGGCGACGGAAATTCTCATGTGGATGGGAGGGGGTTTCCGGCAGTAATCTTTAAAGTAAAACTACATAGACAAACGCTAACCAGGGCAATTGAAAAATCTAACTTTTGTCACTCCTTCAAAGTGTTTCTTTGTTTCATCACCCACACTCTCTCGTCTTCTGCATCACGTGAGCAGCAGCAACAACAACAACAACAAAAAAACATGGCGAGGTGCGGTGAGCCATGACATTAGTGGCGCCGCGCCATAAACAACCAGTGTCAGACTCAGTGTCATTCTCAAAACCAGATCGACATGCAACAACCACGTTATTAGGCCACCAATCACTCAACCCCCCTCCCCTCCTCTCTACACACTCACGCTAATGCACCACTGGCTCAGGCACACACGCTTACACTCACATGGGCATGGGGTGCATTGCATTGGTAGTAGCCGAAGGCAAAAGTTATTCGTCCTACCACTAAGCGGCTATCTAGCCTACTACTTAGTAGGGGTCTACATTAGTGTAGGCGCATTTAAACTATATAAAGTTAGCACTATAATACAAGAATTTTGTACTAAATATCATAACTAAATTAGTAACTAAATGATATTTATTTAGTATAAAAGTTTAGTATTTTTATTTTAAGTAAGCTAGTAGCTTTTAAGGCACTCATACTATTACTATATAATATATATAGATTATTAAAATATTGTTAATATTATTTAATTACTATATTACTTTTAAGTTATAATATCACTTATATTCTTAAGACTAGTAAATAGCTAAATTACTATATAATTAAGTTAGACTTTAGTAAAGATATATCTATTTAAAAAGGCTTTAATACTAATTTTCATAGCTTTAGTAGATAAAGTAACTTTAATAAGCTTAATAAGCTTATAGCTTTAAAAGCTACTTTGGCTTTAGCTTATAAAGCTATTACTACTAATAGTTTCTTACTTTAGTATACTTAGCTAGTTAATGAGTATAAGCTTTATTATAAAGCTTATAGTAAGCTTCATAGTATTATAAGCAATAATTTTAGTAACATATAAAAAGCTTTAATACGCGCTTAAGAGTATACTTTACTACTAAAATTACTATATGATAGCTTTATAAAAATAAAATCTATAGCTAAAGTATTAAAGAAAATATATTATTCTATAGAGTTAAAAAAAGTAAAAAAGTAAAAGTAAATTTAACTTTTTATAGTATATAACTACGTAAGTAACGCTGAAAAGCTTTAAGATAGCACTGTATTAAGTATATAAGCTAGTATAATGTTATAAAAAAAAGCTTTAAAACAAGTTTTTAGATTTCAATCAAAAACTACTTTCATTAAAAAATTTAGTAAAAGATGAAAGAAAAACAAGTTTTTTTTAAAACCACTTACTAGTAGAGAATATTGAAGTATTTTTAGAAAATTATTCAAAGGCGCTAGTAGTAGTACTAGCTAAAAAGCTAAAATTAATTTAAGCTATATTATAAAGCTCAAATTGAGCTATAAAAATACTATATAAGTAGTTTTAAGAGATTTTTATATTATGGTAATATATTAAAAACTATTTTATAGTTTGTTATTGTGAAAAACTAAGGCTAAATACTTATATAAGCTTATTATTAGAAAAAATAAAGCGAAATAGCTATTAGTTTTAGTAAGTGATAATTTTAATAGTTTTTTAGTATCTAAGTTTCTTCAAGCATATAAATATCCAAATACCTAATATTAATTATTTAATTAGTTAAAATTATCACGCTAGCTTACTAGTGCTATTTTTGAAAAATACTAAAATTGTTTAAGATATTTTTAGGTATAGTGTTAATACTAAGAACTATATTACTTATTTTATGTTTACTCACTTATACTATTCTAAGACTTCTAAAAAGTTACTAAATATACTTATGATTAATTATATATATAGAATAGACAGATATAATTACTTTTTACTTAATTTAGTTAGTTTGAATAAGTATAGTTATATAATATACTTAAGTATTATACTTATTTATACTTAAAATAAAGTTTATTTAGCTAAATACTATACTACTTTAGAAACTTATTTAGAATAAAAAAAATTACTTTACGGGTTTAGCTAAGTAATTAAAATTAAGTATTTCTTAATATCTTCAAAGAAGTATTTAATAAGCCTATAGTTATTGTTTATTGGTAGTATTATAATGAAGACTCTATAAGTTACTTATAGCTTAAGCTATTTACTAAATTTACTAAGTTTAGTAATAATTACGTAAGTAAAATCTAAGTTAATCACTAAGTAATATATAACTTCTTTAAGCTTTATTTGAAGCTTTTTAATCTACTATTAAAAGCTGATGATTATACTAACTGAGTAGCTTATAAGTAGTATTTAAAGACTATAATAGTATACTTAGAGTAATATTAGCTTGATAATTATTACTATAAACTAGTAAGTTATTATATTAATTACTATACTTACTTTAGCTTTACTACTACTAGTTGTAACGGGCTAGGTAGCCCGCTACAGTACAGATAGCGGTGGCTATCTTATGTATCAACTACGCAACGATATCAGCAGCTCTGATATCTTGTGCCAGCCTTTTTGGCGCGGTGGGCGTGTTGTAGTTGCGTGCGCAGTCTAATAGGACTCGACCCGTTACACTAGTAAAGCTAAAAGTACTTACTAACGTGGTTCACAAGTGAGTGGCTAACCCAAGCGAGTCGCTAACGCCCTACTAGCCTATTAACTTTATCACTATAACGCGTAATATCTCAACAATATAACTATCTATTAATATATTTTAAATTTAATCTTTAACTTACTCTTTTTAATATTTAGTTATACTGTATTTAGAGTGTAAACTATGCTACTACTATCTATAACGTCCTATAAAGAACTCGATTTAATTAACGCGCTAAAAAGCGCCTTTAACGTAACTATAAGCTAAAATTAAAGTGTCTAAATAAGCTAAAAGAGGAGGCTATAGTTAAGCGTATTCTTCAAGAGTGTACGTAAGGATTTACGCCTATAAAGCTTAATATTTAAGTAATAGCTAATAAACTATTAAAAAAGCGTAGTAGTGACTTTATTAGTAAGAACTAGGTTAATAACTTTATTAAGTAGACTTTTAAGCTCTATACGCGCTAGAGCTGTCCGTATAATTACTAGCAAGCTACTTATTAGAATCTAGTAGCTATCGAGCGCTAGTTTAACTTAGTCTAGGTAATAAAGTAGAAGTAGGGTATCATAGATAATAATATCTATAACATTAATAAAACTAGCTTTATAATAAGTAAGATTTTATTATAGTAGTTATTATAGTATTAAAAGTGTAAGAGGCTACGCCTAAAGTGTGTGTGTGATCGAGTATATCTATACGACTACCTGGACTTCAAGAAGCTTGAAGTCTTGTTACTGCCTTTTTGGCTATGGATGGCGTAAGTAGTCGTACGCTCGGCCCGTTGGGCCCGCCTATTACAAAAAGAATATAAGAAAAAGAAGTATATATAGCTAGGTAACTATAAGTAGGTTACTATAATCTAAGGCGTAGGCGCGTTAGGTTACTAAATACTACTCTTTATTATCTTTATAAGTAATGTGCTTATTAACGTCTAGTTTAAGAATTTGCTTGCTAACTAGGTTCTTAAAGTTAGTCCTAATAGCTAGATAAGTAATTAGCTTAGTCTTACTTAGTTAGAGTACTTTAATACCTATATAAATAGCTCTACTATAGGTAGGTATTAACTACTTATTATAAAAAGCTATGAAAGCTACTACTCTCTTAATTTCTAAGATCTTTGTAAGGAGAAGAATATTATGCTTCTCTATATGCCTGCGCACTTATCTTACCTATTATAGCCTTTTAACGTTGCCTACTTCTCGCTATTAAAGCGCAAGTATAGCAACGCTACTTTAGGCTTAGCACGCAACCGCACCTACTATATTAGTAAAGAGACCTTCTTACTAGCCTTCAAGACTACTTTTAAGCAGTCTATTACAAAGGAGAATATCTAAGCTAGCTTTAGAGGCGCTAGTCTAGTCCTACATAACCTATAGGCTGTGCTATCTAAGCTTAATATAGTAGTATAGACACTTATACAATTACTACAATAAGTAGCTATCTAGTAGGCGCAGACACTACGCAACGCGCGTAAGGTTAAGGCTTAAAGTACTCTTATTTAATAGAGAGTAAAAAACTACCTTAGGTCTTTCATAAATTCTCTTAATAAGAAGGTTGTATAGCTAAGTAAAGAGGCTTAGTAAATAGTATATAAGATAACGCTTATAAGGGAGGAAGTAGCTACTTTTTAAGAGGCTCTAGATATAGCAAATAAGCGTAAGAGCTGTAAGTAGCGATACGTATAGATAGAAGAGACTCTTAATATAGGCGAAGTACAAGAAGTATTAGCTAAATAGGCGGGTAGCGGTTATAGTAATAGTAAGAGTGCGTTAAAGAGGGTGTGAGGAGAGCAGCGGTGTAGGCGTTGCCAGCAGACTAGATATAACGCTTATACCTGCGCAGTTAAGATCGATAGTGCAAGTAATAGTAGCAATTTTAATAATTAATTTAGTATATTATCATAGTTTATTAACTATAATAAAAGACTGTAATAACGTGTTAACGTTAACGCGCTAGTGGGGAGTGACTAACTCGCTTAGGTGACTAACTCGCTTATAAACCACGTTAGCCTTACTTATGAAAGCTTTATAATTAGACTCTAAAATAGGCTTTTAAGTATTTATTTTAGCTACTTTAACAACTCAGTTATTATATAATATTTTTATTTTTTATACTACTTGCTTTTTTACATAAATTTATTACGAAACTTAAGTAGGAAAAAGTATAATGATAATTAAAAGCTTTCTTATAGTTAGCTAATATAATTATTATATTATACTAGATATAGCTTTTTTAGTAAGTAGCTAAAAGCTCATTTTAAGCTAGTTTTTAGGCTATATAGAATACTAAAAATTAAGTAATATAGCTAGTTTCTAAGCTTTACTTTTTTTCACTTTTATAACTTTTATTTTAGCTATATAATACTACTAAATTTCTATTAATATACTAGTTAGTTTTATATATTAAAACTTACTATAGTTTAGCTATATTATAGGAAGTAATAGAAAATACTACTAATGTTTTAGCTAAGCCTACTAATACAGACCCCTGCTAAGTAGTAGGCTAGATAGCCGCTTAGTGGTAGGACGAATAACTTTTGCCGTAGCCGAATGTTGCCGCCCACCCACCTGTCTGTCTGCTTATGCAGCAAGGGCAAGGCAAGACCAAAAAAAACCAATACTGCAACCCCGTAATCGCCCTGAACGGAATGGAATGACTTGATGCGGTAATTCTGCCGCCTCGTTTTTTTTTATCGACAATCGATAGTCGCGCTCGTATCAGCACGGCACGAGTTATTGAGTCACACACACACACACTCTCTCTCTCTCACTCACACTCATGCGCGCGCGCACCCACTCCGCTCCGCCGTATGTGTTATAGTTTTAATTTTTTTTCGGGATGGGCCAGCGCATGAGGCTGCGCGGAGGGAAGGGCGGACGGAAAAATATGAGAGAGATAAGTAAGTAGGCTTCCGATGGGTGCCGCGCGATAGCTGATGTATACGAGAGATAACGGGAGTTCGTGTGATTGTGGTGGTGCGATATATGCGGTGGATAAATGGAGATTTGTGCGTGATGAGGCTTGTAAGTATCTGGTGATGTGATGCTGCAAGTTGGGTCTGCCATGGCGACAAAGCCGCACACAGGCACTGCCTGGATACCCAGCCCCTCTCTCTCTCTTTCGCTCTCGCTGTGTTGCGAGACATGTCACGTCAACCAACTACGATAAGCGCAGTATGTCTCATGCACTCGAAAAATGATGGCTGTTATTCCCGGACAACCTCTCGGCGGCGTGGGTTACCACCTACTCGCCAGCTCAGTGTTCGCAAGTGTCTCTCTCTCTCTCTCTTTTGCGCAAGGAAAACTTAATCGTTGCGGATCTTCATAGAACTCTCTGCTTTTAACCTTTTTGCACCTACAGTCTGAGTAATATGACCCGCCTGGTATACTCTGGGAAGCTTGCGATGCTTGTTCTGTGGAAATCTTATCTAAGATCATCTTTTGGGCAGCGGGAACGAGATGGGTCGGGGGAGGGGGGCTGTTTTTTTCTTTCTTGTCTCCTCAAGTGACACACTCACTAGCCATACACTAGACGTTAGCCCTCACTGACAATCTAGTACCAAAAGCTCTGAGTCATGGCTTTACATCAAGCGTTGGTAGGAAAACCCTGCAACCAGTCAGTCGTATGCCGTATTCAATCTCGATGGTCTGTCCAGGCAGAAGCGGATATCTAGATGCCGCCAAATTAGCTCTATTGCTGTGGGGATATGGCAAACAAAGTTCTGCCGGTCCTTCCATGGCACATTTCGTAGTGTGCGCCTACTGACTAGAATTGGAATGTTGAACGCACCAAGGACGTGTAGCCTTGCTTTACGGTACTCGGCATATACAAGGTGGGCAGCTGTTTACACGGATGATCGCTGGAGACGGCGGCGCTGTCATGTCGTAATTTTGGGTGACTATTTCGTATTCGGAAGCTCGATTCTGCACTCCCGACGAGAATGGACAGCCAGCGAGACGATTATCTTAGTACATGGCTCTTTCGTATTCGGAACTGTTTACTCCAACTCCGAAGAGTACATATCGACACAGCGACGCTTTAGACTGGGTTTCCATGGCAGGAATATGCATATGGCCGGTTTTGGTTTCGTTCAATGAAATGCAAGAATGCCAACTGACGTTTTTGGCGCTTGCCGTACCAGCCATCCAATATTGCCAACGGCCGGGAGGGATTGCTGACAGCAGTTAGCTAAGGTAGAACGGTGATCCCATCCATTCCTGATTCTGCCGCGCTTGACAAGTCACTCTGTGAGAAGACAACAGAACGGCATAATCCGTTCACTTGGCAATAGAAAATACATTAAAGCAACCTTCGTGGAAGAAGTCCCCGCAAGCTTCCACAAGGGTATTGGTTCCAGACTATGACGTGAGACGGAGCTCTTCTCAGAGTGTATTAGTACCGAAGAGGGGTAGCGGTGACATATTTTGTCTGAGTAATATCAGCTTTTTGCCGATTGTAGATAACAACGTGGTACTGCTGTCCGTCAGCTCCAGTATCGCTCTTTGACTCGTCTTTCTTGTCGCCCTCCACAGTGACCGCAAATTTCCCATCCTTGATAAGATGCTTGTCACTGCCGTTTTCCACTTGATGCCTGGTGCTTTTTTGAATTAAACCGAGCCCGGTCCCTTGCAGAAATGTAAAGTCTTCACGTTGGTCCTAGAAGCAAGGCCTCAGTTTTAAGTTTGTAAGCTACCATCGTAAGGTCCCGATATGCACACATCTTTGATTGGCGACACGATCGTCGAATAAATCCATGCGACGCAAAGGCCAGCGATAAACATCTCATGCTTTGAGCATGGTATCATTTCTACGACTTTTGAGTTTTGATTAGGCTGAAAAAGCGTCTTCTTATCTTGGAACGAGGCGCTAAGCGATCTGTGCAATCGTTCCGTGCCGTCTTGACAGTGAAGACGCGTGTCAGTAGCAATGGATCTTCTCGAACTATACTTCAAAGAACATTCCTGTAGATCATAGTTGAGTCCCGGACGGCAGTTCGGCAACGGTATTGCGGGTATTAAGGGTTCAGAGTCGGATGTGTGCAGGTATTCGCGATTGACTCGCGTCGGAACCTCCGGAACGCAACTGAAGATCTTAGACTAGCTCAGAAAACACAAAGCCCGAGTAGGCAGAGGAATGGATTATAAAGACGGTAGATGGCAAGTTTGATGTCAAAACAAAGACAGCCATTCATCTTGGGTAAGAAATGGCAATATACGACACTTATCTGTTGTTGTAGCACGGTTTCCTTGAGGCATACCTCAGCTCCGATTCATGATGTTGGCAGAATCGAGGGATGTAGCCCTAAGAAAACCGAATATCAAAGAATGAAAACAACCGCAAGATTCTCTTGGACATATTAATGAAGCAAGAGTACCGTCTCATAGACAGGCCAAAGTGATGAAGCATTCTGGTGTATCAACGCGATACAACCAACACGTTAACCCGCGCTCCCACAACCACAAAAACGCACGGACCATATAGCGCACCACACGCCGAATTCTTGTCTCGAACGACATCATCGCCCGCAACCAGCCCAAATCCGACGTACCGCACGACACCACATTGCCCAGCCCACGCCGCATATTCCAGCGATACTCGATACAGCCAGTCGCCAATTGCAAGCCCTGAATCCTCATAAATCTACACTGGGGAAGAGAGAGAAAAACAAGCCGCCAAAATGTCCATGTTCTTCGGTCAAAAACCCCAAATCTCTTCGGAGCAAAAGATTGCGCAAGCAGAAGCCGAGATTGACATGGTCTCGGACATGTACAGCCGGTATGCGATACTTTCCGCTTTCCGTTTTTATCTTTTGCGTGAAACGTATTACCTTGTCCGGATCTTCGTCTGCTTTGGATGGAGCAAACACAGCATGAGCCTCTATGCTTCTCATCCATGGCTTCCGGAATTGTCTATATATGTCCCTTTTCCAGCGCGTACAAAATGGATGGAAAGAAGCTTTTTGTATTTTCGCTAACGCGTATACCCGCCTCACAGCCTCGTCAAGTCGTGCACCGCCAAATGCATAGATACCTCGTACCGCGAAGCCGATCTCAACAAGGGCGAGTCCGTCTGCCTCGACCGCTGCGTGTCCAAGTTCTTCGAGGTCAATGTCAAGGTTAGCGAGAAGATGCAGGGAGAGGCGCAGGGAAAGCAGGGAGGAGGAATGTTTGGCGGCATGTAAAATGTGATGATGAATCGAGAAAGAGAGAGACTACTGGAAACGTATGGGATCTCGCGCAGTGGTATAAGCTGCTGGTTGCTGAATTTCAAGAGACGTTCGCGTGCGGAAAAGCATATGGCAACTGCCTATATTGCAGCTGTTTGAAGGCTTTGGAGGTGGGAGGTGATCAACACACTCCGCTTTGGATCCGGCGTGCCACATACATATACTTTCAGTCACGATCACCATGCTCGGAATCTGTACAATACAAGCTTTATGGTTTAGTTGGTTCACCTATGTAATCGGCGCATTCCCGATCGTGGCACCATACGCTTTGATGCGTAAGTGCTGCTGAACATCCCGTGTTGGATGCCAGTATTCGTTGATCTCGAGTCATCATGCATCAATTCGTGCATATGCCTTGCAATTAGGCAAACAGCATCTGGATCGGGGTCGTATACAAGTGGGGAAGGGGCAAGATCGTCAAGTATTGTACAAGTGTTTCGCCATGATGAATTCCGGCGCCCAAGAAGGTCCATGCAACTCCTTGTGTTTCGCAATGATCCAAGACCCCATGATTATTACGCAAGATGGCCATGCTGTAAGTGCAAAGACGTTCTTAGTCCGTCATTGCCAGCGTCGGCACATCTACAACGCACAAAAGACAGAGGTATCCTACAGCAGATGACGTGTTCGGTGGAAAGCATACTCTGACCCGTTAGCGCTTTTAGCCTCAATGATTCGACATCGACTTCTGAACATACCTTCGGTATGGTAGAGACACTGCAAGTTAGGCACTTCAGACGAGGCGGGACTTTCCATCAAGTGCTCTCTCTTCAAGAATGGCCTTGATAGCTTTCACAGTCTCCGGGTCGAGACCTGCCTCCTCGAGCAGTCCGTATAGACGCATAAACTCAATGCCTGCACGGTCTGCATGTATATCGGCATCGCGGTTGTTCTTCTTGGCTTCCATTGCACAGATGTTTGCATCGCGGCAGGCCTCCGCGGCATTCACGACACACTGTTTTGTATTCGTGTTAGATGTAGTTCTTGAAGCAGAAAGGTACGTAGCAGGAGCTCTCTACGGACCTCTGCAATCTGAATGTCACGCTCATTATACGGCGAGTCTTTGGAATCTCCTTGGACGCGATTAAGTATGTTGTGAACCGCTGTGCGCGTCTTCTGACGGTTGTCGGGTATGAACGCCCTCGTTGGGCTGGCAGTCGCACCGGCAAACCTGAAAGCAGTGAGAGGCATGGGTGGACTCCGCCTCTTAATTTTCGAGCGGGAAACATCAGTCTGGGACTTGGACTCTCCCATCCAGGGGAGGTGGACTTTGGAGCGACTCTTAGAGTCTCGCATGGCCTTAGCGAGCGAGCTGCGGGCGGCACTCATAAAGCCTTGCTTGGCTGGCAAAGACTCTGTTAGGTCCATGCGCGACTTCTCTCGGTTGAACATGTTGCGAATGCTGCGTTGGGGTTTGACCTTCTTCTCCGACCCCGCATCTTCTACGGGCGAGGGGGCCGTGAGCGACGCAGAGGACTGGTTATCTGATAGAACCGACTGGTGTCGATTTGGTACTTCGAAACTCACCGTGCTACCGAAACGATTGGAGGCGACAGTGTCCGGAACCTTCAGCTTATGGGGATCTGGATTGCGAACAGTGCTGTAGGAGTGCATAGTACGGGGCAAGGAAGCTGAGTCTTTGTTGCCGGCGTTGGGGTTGAAGTCCTGATGGTTGCTGTAGGAGCGAACAGTTGAGCCTAGCGATGGATTCTTGTTCAAGGCGTGATCGACCGTCCTCCTGATCTTCTGGATATGCAGAGCTTGTTCATCTTTTGGCACTTCCGCTTTCTGAAGAAAACATTAGTACGCTCCATGAAATGCTTGGACATACACACCTTGTCAGCTTCTGCAGTTTGGTCGGAAGCCTGGACTGCCGTGAGGTCGGAGGCGATGCGCTTAGACTCAGGAACAGGCGATGTGAGTTCAATGGGCTCGTGCGAGCCACTTGGAGTGCTGGAAGCAGTTGGATGGGCTGCCACACTCGCCTGACTAGTGGTAGGTCTGCTCGCGGCAGATGGAGCAAGCGGCGAGGGAGACTTTGGGGAATAACCATCTAGGCCGGTGTTCCTTGGGGGTTGCATAGAGCGAATCGGGCTTATCTTGACAGCAGGGCTTACTTTCCTCATAGCTTCAGTGCGGTCTGCCTTTGCGGACGGAGGCGTGGCGCTCAGCGATGTCTTGGATCCCATGGCCCTGATACCGCGGCTGCCGAGCGCGCCCATAGAGCGTGGCTGAGCGAGACGCGTGGGAATGACTGCAGGGATAGACGGGACTTCAGGAATGGAGTCATCAGTACCGAGAATAACAGCATCGGCGTCAGCGGAGATCCTCAGGATGGGTCCAGTACCAGTGCTGGCGGCTGAATGTGTTGAATGCCACGAGAGACGCCTAACTCGCGTGCCGTCATCGTCACAAGCTCCATCATAGGGCGGTGGAGTAGTGAAAGCAATGTCGCTCGAATCAGGCAGTGAGCTCCGCTCCTCACCCAGGCGGGGGGCAACGTTCTCAGGGTGGATGATGGGCCAGTCGCTGCTCATGGGGCTCTCAGAGTACTCAGCATCTATGAGGGTACGCTGGGCCTTTGGCGGGCTGTCTGGATTCACCACTTGCGCGACCGGTGGGCTGGGGAGAGGCTTCTGGGTCTGCAGCGGACGAGGGAGCCGAGAGGTGCATGGAAGCGGCATACTCGAGCGGTTTGACAGCGAGCTTGCTTTCTCAGAGAGCATGCCGTCAGTACCTACATACACTGGCTTGACGCCTGGCATACTGTTGTTGTTAGCAGTGTCCATCTTTCGTATCCCGCCGAGCAGTCGATCAATGCGGCGGAGGTTCGAGGATGGTGTTGGCAGGTGGATTGGATAGCTGGGAGGAAAGAGGGGAAGTATCTGAAGTTTCTATTGTGGCTGCCTGAGTGTGAGGGCGGCGCACGGGCGCATCTGCCCCTCGAGACGCAGTGAAGGTGAGGTGAATGGTGATTGCGCAAGTCCAGACACATGGCACGTGCAACGTGGCCCCCCTCCCTCTATCGTCCCAGGCAAGGAATTATCCATTGTCGAATACGTGGTTTCTGTCAATACTATTGTTTCGGCGCCGTCACTACCTGGCAGTGTTGTGCCGTGGACTCGCTGAAGAGAGGCGTGGAAGTCGCGATGTGTGAGGTCATTGACGCTTGGGCCACCCATTTCGGTCCAGAAGAGGACAGCAAACGCGTCGAATCTCCCGAACAATTGCATGCCAATGGACAAACTCAACCAACGCTCATTACACAGCCATGGCCAAAACATACAAGCAGTTGAAAGAGGCATGGGTTTCAGGCCACACGGGGAGCTCTGTGGCAGACGTGAATAATGTGTCGCTCGCAATGCCTGTACTGCACACGAACCTTATGTCTGAGCAATGAGAACTTACTAACAATGATCAGCTGAGCATCCTGCTATGGTCTGTCATACAGTCGCGCATGCGCTTGTTCACGCCGTATACACCGCCAGCCTTGTTCCTCGACTTCCTGCTCAACTGCGGAGCCACGCTGTTCGCAACCACTATCTACTCATCTTCTCCATGGATCCTAAACCTCCTTCTGTTGCTACCGGCAATTGCAGTATACGCCCTCGAGAAACCAGTTCCAGCCAGAGATGCTCCAAGACCACCCAAGATCGACAAGTCTGGAAAGGACTCCAAGCTCGACGCGCTTCCCGTCAAGCCATTCATCACAAATTACCGCGGCGCAATGATGGTCATAACGTGTGTTGCTATACTCGCCGTGGACTTTCGCGTATTTCCACGGCGATTTGCAAAAGTCGAGAATTGGGGTACGTCGCTCATGGACATGGGTGTGGGGTCTTTCGTCTTTACCGCTGGCGTGGTTTCCGTTCGGGCTTCACTCAAGGGAGGTTCCGGCCGTCCATCATTATCTAAGCGCCTAACCGCATCGCTCAGACACGCCATTCCTCTGCTTGTCCTTGGTGTCATTCGGCTCATTTCCGTCAAGGGATTGGACTATGCAGAACACGTAACTGAATATGGCGTGCATTGGAACTTCTTCTTTACCTTGGGTTTTCTGCCACCGTTTGCTGCCCTGTTCCAGGCAGCATTTGATCTGGTACCTTCTTATGCCTTTCTCTCCTTCATGTTGGCTGCCATCTACGAAGTGGCCTTGGACTGGACGTCTCTCGGGGCATATATACTGGTGGCCGAACGCAAAGATCTACTGTCAAAGAACCGAGAAGGCGTCTTCTCCTTCTTCGGATACCTTGCGATATTCTTGGCTGGCCAATCCCTGGGTATGTCTGCACTACCCAGACAACAACAGATCTCCAAGGATGCATCATTCACCGTCAAGCTCAAGAAATCCACGCTTGGAAAGCTTGCGACAATGTCTGTCATCTGGACCACACTTTTCTACTTTTGTACCAGCTACTACGGCCTTCGCCTGACTGTCTCAAGACGACTGGCTAACCTTCCATACTTTCTTTGGGTATCCTTGTTTAACAGCTACCAAATCACCATATGTTGCGCCATCGAGACATTCCTCTTTCCGAACTTGTACAAGGCTGCGAACAAAGAAGAAGAGGTTCGACGCAGCAGAGATGCTACCAGTACCGTGCTGTATGCGTTCAATCGCAACGGCCTGGCTGTATTCCTGGTCGCAAATCTGCTGACGGGCCTAGTAAATATGACGCTACCAACTCTGGACATGACTATGATCCAGTCCATGGTGGTGCTTACTGCATACATCGCAGCCGTGGCCGGAGTCGCGATTGGCCTCGATTATTACAATGTCACAATAAAGCTCTAGGTACTATAAGCCTTGCGCAGAATGTCACCAAAATATCATTTTTAGTTCAACGTCTTCACGAATTTGCCATTCCCTGACACGTTTGCGACTTGACTTAATCATCTATTGTTGACTCTGATACTCGATGCGATCAGAAAAAGGCAGCTATGAGAGACAGCCTACTATTTTTCAGACGCGGCTTTGCGTGGCTGCGCATACTCTTGTCGTAGCTTTCTCGTCACAACACCTAAGCAGTCAATTGAGTCTCTGGTACTTCCTATTTTGTCCTGCCCACGTGATAGCGCGAAAGCGCGACTGCCAAGAAATGAGATGCGGGAAGTGGCCGATGACATCGCCGCGCTTGCGACATTCATCTCATCAACACTCTTACAGTGACCATACACATAGCTGATACCAATGCTCACTCAATCGAAAAAATGTCGACTCCGCAAGCAAAGCGCCGTCGGTTGAACGAAGCGGCGAAGACTCTCCAGAAGCCCTTCAAGTCTCCTTTTCGGACACCATTGAAGCCCAGCATAGGCGACGATCTGCCGTCTTCGGACCCGCCTGAGATCCAAGTACCTGCGAAGAAAAATCTGGAGGAGAGTGGCGTTCGCGCGAAATCTATCACCCCCATTGGCGATAGCAAGCAGCAAACGGTTACCACAACACAATCTACATCAGTACCAGGACCGTCCACATCAAGAATCTCGAAGACTTTCGTGTCGCGTCCAACCTCAACCGCGACACCTTCACGACTGATATCAAGGAACACACCATTTAAGCCTTCGGTCGCACGCGAGATAATGCAGCTGCGCAATGAAATACAAATGCTCACACAGGCACAAACCCTTGCTACTTCTACAAAGGATGATGACCTTGTCGCATTGATAGACAAATGGCGGACAGCGAGCCGTGCCGCTGCGGAAGAGCTTTTTGGCGTCACCAGAGACCGAGTCAACAGGATGGGCGGTGTTGGTGCCTGGCAGGAACGGGAGAAGGAAGCAAAGCAACGACAAATGAAATGGGATCAAGAGGAAATCGAAGCAGAGCGCGAAAGAATGGCGGAAGCAAAGGAGAACGGTGAAATTTCAGAAGAAGCTTATGATCAGTATGCTGAGATGGAGGGTGAGAGGGAGAAGGTAGAGGAGGAGAAAGAGACATTCAAGAATGCGGACGATGTGAGCGAGGCGATATTTTCTCGCGTTGAAGAGATCGCTAACAGCTAACAGTCATTTACCATGGACATGATGCTTAAGACACTCAACATCGACCTACAGCTCATAGGCTACAACAAGGAGGCGCAGAGGTGGGAGGGTTAAGGCATCGCTTCCATGAGTTACAATAAACATCAAGATCCTGCGATACTCGTATTTCAGCAAACATCCATCAGCCTCGATCTCAGCACCATGGTGCTCAGCACATAGTCAACTATCCCACGATGCCATGACCCGATATAAAGGGTGAGTTCATGCCTTGTATCTACACTTTTACCCTAGTAACTAACCCTGGCAGGATGATTGTTTACACGTCCACTGCCATGCACTATCGCTTTACTATAAGCACGAAGCAAACCAGTATAGATATCTCAAATGTAATGACGTCATACCTACTACGTAGTGTCTTGTCCAACATTTGTAAGCATGTGTGTAGTATTCAAGTCCATTGCTCTTTCAGTATTGATACGGTATCCGTTTTCCAATGAACACCTAATTCCCCTTTCCATCAGCATATTCGACTTATCCCAACACCATGTCCCTCAAAGACCAGACCGTCCTCATTACCGGTGCCTCCATGGGCATAGGCGCAGCCATTGCACGGCGCCTGGCCCAAGAATCTGCGACACTGATTCTCTTCGCGCGCTCAAGCGACAAACTCAGTGCTCTTTCCACAGAGCTACAAGCGCAGCATCCAGGCCTCAACGTCTACACCACAGCCGTCGACATCCAAGACCACGCCGCGCTCAGCACCGCCATTTCAAATGCAGCCCAGCAAGTCTCGCACATTGACGTCTTGATTAACAACGCGGGCCTCGCTCTCGGCGCCCCCGCACGCTTCCCCGACCTCAAAATCCAGGACGTCATTACCATGACCAACACCAATATCAACGGCTACATGTTTGCCGCCTACGCGGTGCTGAATGAGGGTAAAATGATGGAGCGGAAAAAAGGAACCATTCTGAATATCACTAGCACAACGGGATTAGAAGTGCCCCCGTTCCCCGGCGAGGCCGTGTATCACGCCAGTAAAGCGTGCCAGGAGGCATTTACAAACGTGCTGAGGACAGAACTCGTGGGCACGGATATCAAGGTTCTTGCGCTGCGGCCGGGGGTCGTGGCTACGAATTTCCACGAGCTGAGGTATGTCCTGAGTATACAGCATTCAAGTCTGATTTTCTCTCTTTCCCCCAGCCTTCTATGTGGTTGGTGACGCTGGAGCTGATGGTGATGTGTTAGAGTTGGATATCAAAAGGAAAGCTACGATACGTTCATGTCGGGCTTTGAGCCGCTGGTTGCACCCGACGTGGCGGAGGCGGCGGCGTTTATGCTCAGTCAGAAGGACAGGGTGAGCGTTAAGGCGCTGGATGTGGTACCAACAGCACAGAGGAGCCTGCAGGTGTTTGACCGTGAGTGGAATAGTCGGGGGGAAGGCAGGAAGGCGGAAAGGATGAATTAATGATGACTATACAAGTTAGGGGGCTAGCTATGCTAAACCTCATAGTTTCGAGCTAGGTGGAAAGATGTTTTGCACGAGCTCTAGGACGCGCTCGGCAGATCCCCTGGATATATTAGCATTGATGCAGGAAGAATGCGGACATGTTCGTTTTGAATTTAAAGAGAAGAACTTACCAAGACGATTGGAATCCTGCTCCAGCATGTCCATAGCAATGCACAACAGGGACATTCCACTTACCCGTCTCCGTCTCAATCCTCATACCGCCTTTTCTCGACGCTACCGCCAATCCAATGTCAGCACGCGTATATCCAAAATCACGAAAAAAAGGGAAAATGGAGAAAAACTCACGTCTCAATCCCACATTCTTCGCAATAACCTGCAAGTCCTCAGGCCGACCCAACTCCGGACACAGGGCACAGCATCGCTGCATAATCTGCTGGCACAGCTGCTCATCCCACTCTTCGCTCCAGTCGTTGTCCTGGCGGCTGCCACCGAGAATCACGCCGCCGCCCAGCGCGCGGGGAAAGACGTATGTGGTTGTTGGATCGAGGCGGTGGGCAGAGCGGAAGTACCTGTGGACGCCAGAGTGTTAGCACACATACACAGTAAAACACACATATATACGTAGGTATACAAGATATAACAGCATCCCACAGCGGTCAATTACTCAGACAATAGAGGGAAGAAAAGTGAAACAGGGAAAGAAAAACCAAGAGACAAGGGGCAAAAGAAAAAGCCCCATCATACTTGACGCGTTCAAATTCGTACATTCGGTTAATCGGTGTCTTTGGCTCCGCAACGAGGAGCGTTTGTCCACGCGTCGGATACAGCGTTTCATCTCGGATATCCGTGAGGTGCAGAGAGCCCAGGCCGGTGCAGTTGATGAGAAGCGTAGTCGAAGGCAGGTCTTGCAGCAGCTCGGCTACAGAAGTGTAGTGTCGACGCACGAGCGTGATGCCTTTGCAGAGTGCTTGTTGTTGGAGCCTGGGAGGGGTTTAGCTGGGCAAGTCATAGTGAGAGTGCGACATGGGTAAGTAGACAGGAGCAATCGTGATGACGATAGCCCATGAGACAAACTGAACTTACCACTGCAAATAAACCTGCGTATTAATCCGAAACGTCTGCGGGACTTCGAATCCAAACACTGCATCTGCAGGTAACTCTTCTTTGCCCAGATTTCTCAGCCCACCCACAAGACTGTCATACCACACTTTGCCCGTCTGCTCAGTCAAGATACCCGCGTCTTCAATCGGAGCATCGAAAACAGCCCACATACCCATGCGGCCCAGCCCAATCTCGTTGCCCGCATTGCCGCCCTCGGAGTTCTTGGTTTCGCCTGCTTTGAGCGTCTGGCAGCCGAATACGGGCTTGCCGTCAATGAGCTCGCCGAAGCGGTTGAAGGTTACTTGGTCGTATTTTTCCAGGGGGCCGTTGTCTTTGGCCATGGACGACCAGTTAGCTCCGGCCCATGGCGACGCGTATTCTATTGATCGGTCGCCGGGGAAGTGCTTTGCTACGACGGTGATTTTGGCGCTGGGATACGTGTGGGCTAGCACGAGAGAGGTTGTCAGGCCAATGACGCCGGCGCCTAGGACAAGGATATGCTGGGTTGCAGATGAATCTGCCATTTTGGCAAGGCTGGAAATGGAATACGATCGAGTTGAAGAAAGGGGAGGGGGGACGGGCGTGAAGTTTGAATTTATGATATGAAATAAACGAGAATATCCTTCTGGACAGATACTGATTTGAGCTGATAGCTGAGGCTATGCTTTCGTTTTTATAAGTATGCTTTGACTTTGACATTTATTTAAAGGCGGCTAGTCAGAGCGCTCTAGTGTCATACGACCATGCTATCCCGAGGTAGCAGAGGCTATTCCGATATAGCAATGCCTATTCCGACGGCTAACGGCCCTTCTGGACGATTTGGAGATAGGCTGAGATTCTCCAACTTTACGGGAAAAGATATTACGTAAAAGAGTATGCGACGCGTTACTCTACTCTGTGTCATCGATTAATTCATATTGATTGGTGTGCAAACGAGATGCTGCAGCGTATGACACAAAAGGTGAAACCATTTCCGATATCGGAATAGACATTCCGACAGGCGCTCATTGAAAAGAACAGGGTATCGCTCTTGAATTATGGGGGTCGTAAAGCCTTTAGGAGCTAGACCAGCAGAAATTACAAAGCCTACATACCAAGAAGAATGAATCATATCTTACATACCGCCGACCCATACGCCAGACACCTTTCGCTAAGAATAATTATGCCGTCTGCTTCATAAACCAATCGGAGCTTGCATCAACCATATAATTCGTAATATTGGACTCGTTCCCAAACGACCCATCAGGCATTTGCATGTTGCCGTCAGGCGCAGGGTAGGTCATGGCACCATCAATGGATACGGGAAGCCTGGGCATATTGAAGAAATCGAACACATCCAGATACTCCAGCTCATTTGGCGCCGGCGTTCGTGCTGGAGTAACGGACGGTATCCTCATACTTTGGCTATTACTGAGTTTTGGCTGTCGCGAGATGAGGAAGTCCAAGTCGTATGCACACCGCCGCATGTCTGCCAGAATCTTGACCGTCGAGGGCGTGACGCGTTCGCCGTTGGCACCAGTCGGGGCTTGTTGGCTTTCTTGATACTCTGACAAAACACGCGATAGCAGGCTTGCATAACGTGTGCCGACCTCCCAATACTGGCCCATCTCCCGGAGGGTGCTCACCAGCAGATTGATCGACTGGTCGACCCGATGATCGATAGTTGACCCATGGACCAGGAGCACACGTGCAGCAACCCAGAGAGAAAATGCAAAGGGCGGACCGAGTTTGCTCAGCAGCCCGTTGTCCCGCACAGTAGCGCAGAGAGCTGTAATGTTTTCTACAGCAGTGAGACACCTTTGACTGGCGCTAAAAGACGGCGTAAAGATGGGGGATCTATGAGTGGGGTACGCCGCAGATGAATGCAAGCGGATTACAGTACTATGGGAGTCAGTGCGTCCACTTGCATGGAGAAGGGTGACTCACGTATGGAAAGCTGCGTGCAGCATAACCAAGCCGCTGTCCAGATTTTGTCCCATGCCCGGTTTGGCGAATAGTCTGGCCGAGTTGCCATATTCTGGGGGAAGATTGTACTTCCACTGTTCAATGGCATTGTCCAGCTCTCGGTATTCGCTCTGCCAAGTTTCTACATCCGACAAGGACGTAATGTCCACTGGCTTCTTCAGAAACTTGTGTATTCTGGTGAGAATGCCCAGGATCTCAACATAGTATGAGAAAGACCCCAAATTCTCCGGTCTGTTCATGCTGTAGTCGGATCTTGTCGAGGTATGAAACCATCTCGTCTCCACCGGCACATTTCGTGCATACAGGTCGTCGCGACACGGCAAGCGGCGGTCGATTTCCTTCTCGTCGAGGGCGAATTCGAAAGCGGTTGCGACAGTCGCGTATCGGTCGAGGACGTAAATCATCCAAAAGAGCCTGCGTCGACTCTCCTCCTCGATCCAGTCCTTTGGTTCGGGCAACGTCATGGCGCGCAAGGTATAGATGGATGCAAACTGAGGAGCAACGCTCGGAGAGTAGCTCTCCACCGACAGGCCGAGCTGGACCACGGAACGAGTTATCAGCGCAAGCAGATTCCACCCAGGAGGGCCATTGGAGCAGCCCACGACATCCAGTGCAAGGATGACAAGGGCCTGTAACGACTTGACCGAACTGTTCTCAATTCCATAAAGCAGGACCTTTTCCTTTGAATTTTTGTGGTACCGCGCGCGCTTTTCGGCTGTGAGGCGCTGGTCTGTGGAAAACTTGACAGTGGTTGCAACGACAGCGTGGAGTATAATTCGGTCGGCTTCCTCGAGGGTGGTGTCTCCAAAGAGCGAGTTGAGCGTGCTTTGGCGGTGGAGGATCGGACACCAGGTGTTGATGTGCTTGAAGAAGAGGTCAACCAGTCCGTAGAGTAGGTCGTAGGGAGGGAAGTCTGCATCGGCATGCCCTAGATTCCGCGCCATGGCGGGCTGAAACTGTTCATGGTAGGGTGTATAGACGTCGCGTGCAAGGCCCCCGGTCACGCTGCCCATGTCTTCGGTCGAGTAGGAATGGCCTGTGACCGAGGTGGCAGGGTGATTGTCTGTGACGCCATTGCTGTATGGCGTGTGGATGGCATTCTGCGAGGGAAACGTGGGCTTCTGGATGAAGAGGGCTGTCTCGGGACGGGGTATGTGCGGGGTTTGGACAATGGGCGGGCTGCGAAAGGCCGTCACGTCCTGGGGCGAGGGGTTGGAGCTCGCGGCCTGGTTGCTTGAGAGGTGGTTGATCTGGGCCTGCTGCTGCACAAGGAGGGCTTCGAGCTTGTCTGCAGCGTGTACGTGGTCGTGGTCAGCTTGCGCCGGCTCGTGTGGAAACCTCGGCTACCTCTGCACACGGCCAAGAGGCGGCAGGACTTACCAAGTCGAGACTCGAGCTCTCGCCCGTAGCCGGCACGGAGCCCCGGCTTCTTGCGCGGGAGATAGACCTGGGCGTGGTTGAGTATGTGGCGGCTACCTGGCGATGCGATGCGCAACTCACGCATGCAGAGTGGTTCTTCAGGCACCACGAACACGCTGGCGACCCGCGGTCGCACTTGACCTTGCGCTGCTCTTGATGGCAGCGTCAGCAGGCGGCGTCTCTTGCACGCTGCGGTGGGGGACTTACTGCACGTCTCACAGCTCACCGAGAGCGGCCGCTTGCGCTTGTTGGATGCGCCAGGCTGGCTGCGGTCGTGGGCCTCGTCGTCGCTGGAGCGGTCGTCGGCGCTCCAGTCGTGGTGGCCATCTTGCGGCGAGTGGTTGGAGAGCTTTGCGGTGCCGTTGGGGCTGGCCGTCTGCTGCTGGGCTGCACTGGCGTCCATGGGGTCCATGATGCGACTGTCGACGTGCAGCAGTGCGCGAAAGTTCGGCAGAGAGAGCACCGAACTGCAGCCCCGCCCGCGGCCCTAAACCCTTACCCCAGACGCCCGCCTGCCCGCCCCCATTGGCTGCGTGTCGGTGATCTGCTGGCCTTCGGTGCAATGCCCTGGTGCTTCAACATATGCTTCGGCCCTGTACACATTCCGGTGGCCTCTCCAAGACGCAGTCCTCCACTCTGCCACGACCGGACCCTCGTGCAGTCGTCGCATGTCGCAGCGAGATGGGCCGAGGCGACGTCCTCGGAAATGCCCATGACGCTTCGACTGCTTGCTCTTAATTGAAGTGCCCCTCTACCACGCCTCCACGCCCCGTCCACCTGGTCAGCATCCTCTTCCTGGATTCACCATGGCTTCTGGCACGCCCCGCTCGTTCCCGACCATCCAGCATGTGCGCACCTTTGTAACACAGGGCCCCGGAAGCGGCGGAGACTACCACAATGTCGCTGGCGGGCATTGGCTCATCGACAGCAAAATCTCCACGCCCATGAGCCAGTATGAGGAGTACCGCAGGTCGAGAACCAGCTGGGGCATCAACGTCCTTGGCTCCTTTTGCGTCGAGATCGAGGCCAGCGATGGCACCAAGGGCTTTGCTACGGGCTTCGGAGGACCGCCCGCCTGCTGGCTGGTCGCTGAGCATTTCGAGCGCTTCTTGATCGGCCAAGGTGAGAGCCGCCCACCGAGCCCCCGCACACGACGAGGCTGTTAACGTGATCCAGACCCCAGAGACACCAACCACATGTTTGAGCAGATGTACCGCGCGTCCATGTTCTATGGCCGCAAGGGTCTCCCCGTCGCCGTCATCTCAGTCATTGACCTTGCCATCTGGGATCTGCTCGGTCACATTCGGAACGAGCCTGTGTACAAGATGCTTGGTGGGGCAACCCGTGAGAGGCTCAACTTTTACTGCACCGGCCCAGAACCGGCGGCAGCAAAGGAGATGGGCTTCTTCGGTGCAAAGGTGCCGCTGCCGTACGGCCCCGGCGAGGGTGCCGAGGGCCTGAAGAAGAACGTAGAGTTCCTCACCAAGCACCGCGAGAGCGTTGGCCCCGACTTCCCTCTGATGGTCGACTGCTACATGAGCTTGAACGTGCCGTACACAATCGAGGTGGTCAAGGCAACCGAGCACCTCAACCTGAACTGGTGGGAGGAATGCCTGTCGCCAGATGATTCGGATGGCTTCGAGCAGATCAAGCGTGCCCATCCTCGCATGAAGTTCACCACCGGCGAACACGAGTACTCGCGCTATGGCTTCAGGAAGCTCATCGAGGGCCGCAACTTGGATATCCTGCAGCCAGACGTCATGTGGGTTGGCGGCATGACTGAGCTCATCAAGATCTCGGCCATGGCGGCGGCGTACGACATCCCCGTGGTTCCTCATGCTAGCGGCCCATACTCTTACCACTTTGTCGTGTCCCAAGCCAACTCGCCTTTCCAAGAGTATTTGGCAAACTCGCCTGACGGCAAGTCCGTCCTGCCTGTTTTTGGCAATCTGTAGGTTCTGATGACCGTGGTTGTCGATATACGCACTGACAAGCCACAGCTTTACCAACGAGCCCATCCCGACCAAGGGCTATCTCGACGTCAAGACGCTCGACCGCCCCGGCTTCGGCCTCGAGCTGAACCCAAATGCTGGATTGATTGACGCCACCCGCATCCTCAACCCGGCTCCACAAAAAGCGCTGAAGCCCGCTGAGCAGGAGACGCCCAGCGAGGCCAACGGCCATTCGTAACCGATTGCATACCATCGAGGCGTTCAGGGAGTTGCGTTTCCAGGTTCATTTTCGGGGCCTCTTGGCTTGATGCATTGCGGCAGGGCTGCAGACCTTCTACTTCGTCTCCTTGTTGTTTGTAGATTGGGTGGCTGGAGGCGGCTTTGGGGCTGAGGTTGTATGTACGCGCACAGCTGGCGCCAATAGTAGCTTGAAATGCTGGGCTGACGACAGGGCCACGCCTCCCGAAGAAGCAATGCGTGAAACATGTAGTATTATTAGTGGTGACATGGGGGCGCTGGCCATCTTGGAAGGCTCCATCTGGCCCATGTGCGGCAGCGACGCACGCCGAGTGGGGCAACACGAGCGTCAGGGCTGTGCTGTAGTTGAATCTTCCTCGACACGCCAACGCGGTGAGGCTGCAGCTCTACGCACGTCTTCTTCTGCTACCGCTCTTTGTGTACTTATAGACGTACACCCCACTCCAGTTCTGCAATTGTTGCTCCCATCATCCCAATTACCCCGCCACAGCCCCGCATCACCATGGAGGCCATCAAGGACACTGTCAACAGCGCGCTCGAGAAGCTCCACATTGGTGGCGGAGCTGCCCAGGGCACGCCGGCAAAGGAGCCTTCAGAGGCCGAGTTCAACGAGCTCAAGGCCAAGTACGAGAAGGCTGGCCAGGCCCAAGTCTTTGTACGTACACACGGTGACGTCTTGGAGCACCTCAGTGGGCTTTGTGGGCACTGGATGGACTGCAAAGCTCAGCCGTCTGCTGCGACATTGCCAACGCTGCTTTTTTGCTTTTTCCCACAGAGATACTAACTACAAGTGCATAGGCTTTCTATGACAAGCTCTCCACCGCCGAGAAGGCCGCTCTCTACGGACAGCTGAGCAACTTCAACCCCGACTACATCAACGAGATCACCGAACGCGCTCTCCACCCGCCACAAACCGAAACGACCGAGAACAAGATCGAGCCCCTCCCTGAGAATGCCACATCTTCCGTCCTCGACTCCTCGCAGGGGGACCTCGACCAATGGTACAACAGCGGTCTTGAGTTCATCGCCAAGAACCAGGTCGCCGTCGTGCTGATGGCTGGTGGCCAGGGCACCCGTCTGGGCAGCTCAGCTCCCAAGGGATGCTTCGACATTGGTCTTCCAAGCCAGAAGAGCTTGTTTCAACTGCAGGGCGAGCGCATCAGGAAGGCAGAGATGCTGGCTGCAAAGAAGCACAACAAGGAGGACGTGACCATCCCATGGTACGTCATGACCAGCGGCCCTACCCGGGGACCTACCGCCGAGTTCTTCGAGAAGCACAGCTACTTTGGACTGAAGAAGGAGAATGTCATCATCTTCGAGCAGGGTGTGCTGCCGTGCATTTCGAACGAGGGCAAGATCCTCCTGGAGAGCAAGTCAAAGGTACGCATATACACTCCAACCATGTTTTGACAGCGCTGACATGGTACAGGTCGCTGTCGCCCCTGATGGCAACGGTGGTCTCTACCAAGCCCTCATTCAATCCGGTGTTGTCGCCGACATGGGCAAGCGTGGAATCCAGCACATCCACGCCTACTGCGTCGACAACTGCCTTGTCAAGGTCGCTGACCCTGTTTTCATTGGCTTCTCTGCGTCCAAGAACGTCGACATTGCCACCAAGGTGGTGCGTAAGCGCAACGCCAAAGAATCTGTGGGTCTCATTCTCCAGAAGAACGGCAAGCCCGATGTCGTTGAATACTCGGAAATCTCAGCCGAAGATGCAGAGGCCAAGGACTCCAAGGACTCCAACCTGCTCAAGTTCCGTGCTGCCAACATTGTCAACCACTACTACTCGTACAAGTTCCTCGAAAGCATCCCAGAATGGGCCAAGAAGCTGCCCCACCACATTGCTCGCAAGAAGATTCCCTATGTCAACACAGAGACTGGCGAGACTGTCAAGCCCGACAAGCCCAATGGCATCAAGCTGGAGCAGTTTGTCTTTGACTGCTTCCCCTTCCTGACGCTGGACAAGTTTGCGTGCATGGAAGTCAAGCGCGAGGACGAGTTCTCGCCGCTGAAGAATGCGCGCGGAACCGGTGAGGATGACCCTGATACCAGCAAGCAGGATATTATGGCGCAGGGCAAGAAGTGGGTGCAAGCCGCCGGTGCCACAGTTGTCAGCGAGGACCCCAAGGACGGCATCGAAGTGTCGCCGTTGATCTCTTACGTAAGTCGTCCCGCAGCCCCGACGCGCGTGTGATTGCGCGGTATGCTAATTGTAGTGCAGGGCGGCGAAGGGCTCGAATTTCTCAAGACGAGGACGGTCAAGGCTCCCGCCGTCATCGAGTCGGAGGACTAGAGGGGACGCACGACTCGGCACCATGTCGGTCAGCGCATTGGCCCCTGTACTGGTCGCGGTTGCGAAGATCCAGTTCCCACTAGCAGGCAGGTTGCAAGCTTAGATAGAGACGAATGTATATGAATGTTACGGCCAGCATGTCGCGTGTGCAGCATGTGCACCAGCGCTTTTGCGCCGAGCAGCTTGTCTTGCTCGGACTGACTGCAGCAGCTAGTTCGCGCCATGGCGACCGACAGAGGCCCAATGCTGCTTTGCAGGCCTGGATGGTTTGGCGCTAAGACGGGAGGTGGAGGGGGGCTGTAGCTCTCGAGTGAGCGGCAGCGGCGGAGGGGCAGACACTTAGAACGCGGCCCCCGCGACCGCGAGAGCGCGACAGATGTGCATGCACGGCGGTGGAAGACGAAACACGTCTAAAAGGAGCACGCCATGGGTCCGCACCTATGGGAGGCCGCACAATGCCATTACGAGCGGCATACGCAGTTTCGACCTCGGGATAGCCAAATTGCGCATCTCGCTAGCGCAACCGAAGCAGGGACCACAGCTGTAAGAGGTGCATTTTGCCCCAACCCGACACCTGTAAACTCTCACACCACTCACATTGTCGGAGGACGGCTGCAGAAGCGTTGCTGAGGGAAGGTCTGGCAAGTCGAAAGTATGTTGCGTCCCTCCACGAGCCATGGCTGCGGTTCTTGCGCTCCTAGTCCCGCTCGGCGCATGTTGCCCCGTCGCCCTGCTCTGCCCCTCGACGGCCGCCCCTCGAAAACTCTGCGACTGACGGCAACCACAGGTGAAGGAATCTGACGAAGAGAACGAAGCAGGTACTGTGCGCCCCATCACCACTGCCCGCCGTGTGCGCATCCTCTCCAGCAGACAGAGGACATGGGCGCTGGAGCGAACGCGCCACTGGAAGCCGCCCCTCGTCCTGCGACCCACTGCGCTTCTCGCTCATCGCACCACCACCACCACTACCACTGATGATATACTCACACCCGACACAGATATACGCGGTGGAACAAGCAACATGTCGTCTCTATCTCGTCGTGCGTGCTTCAAGTGCGGAAATGTTGGCCACTATGCCGGTAAGCTACGTTGACGCGCTGACCTGTGGCTCTCGCTGCAGTGACACCATTGCGAGATGTATGTCGCGAGACGGCATCTGCAATGGTGGAATCTGCGTCGCGAGGCCATGGCAAGGGCGGCACTGCTTGCACGGATGAATGCGACTGACGCGAATGCACAGAGGTCTGCTCCTCGTCCGAAAGGCTCTGCTACAACTGTAAGTCAGACTCGCGGCCTTTACATGCAACCGTCCTCTAATGCGCAAGCAGGCAAGCAGCCAGGACATGAGTCCAACGGATGCCCACACCCCCGCACTACCGAGAGTATGTCATTCTGAACCCACGATGATCGCTGCCCGCTCCACACGGTACCACGGTTACCATCCTTACATATCTGCAAAGGCCCAGCAATTTGGAATTGCGCAAGAACCAGAACACTGACCAAGCAACAGCTAAGCAGTGCTACCACTGCCAAGGCCTCGGACACGTGCAGGCTGACTGCCCAACACTGCGGTTGAGCGGAGCTGGTACGAGCGGACGCTGCTACAGCTGCGGTGTTGCTGGCCATCTTGCCCGCAACTGCCCCAACCCAGGAATGGGCCGTGGTGCTGGCGCTCCCCGTGGCGGCTATGGTGGCTTCAGGGGCGGCTTCGCTGGCGGCGCTCGCCCTGCTACTTGCTACAAGTGTGGCGGACCCAACCACTTTGCCCGTGACTGCCAGGCTCAGGCCATGAAGTGCTATGCCTGTGGCAAGCTGGGTATGCATGATGACGCAATTTCATTGTATTGGGATTATGATTAACTTTTGCAGGGCACATCTCGCGTGACTGCACCGCACCCAACGGCGGTCCACTCAACACTGCCGGCAAGACTTGCTACCGCTGCGGCGAAACCGGCCACATCTCCAGGGACTGCACTCAGGCTGAAGTCAATGGCGACGCCACTGCTGCCCCTGCTCCTGCGGCTGTCCCTGCGGCCGTTGCTCCCACCGCTGCTGTCGCTTAGGCGACTCGCGAGCTCCGTGAGCTCGCTGTTCCGCTACGAATAGCATCCTGGCGGGACACTGACATTTATGGCATGCAGTTTCATGTCATTCATTTAATTCGACATCTCATCACAATCGTTCCTAGCCTATCTCAGTATCATTTCGGCAAATCTCACGCATTCACGAGCCATCAACGGATTAAAAAAAGTTCTTCACGATTCTTACACTGATACCCACAACGTTATCCCTTACTTCAACCATTCTACCATTATTTCGAACAGACGACGGCTTGGCGATTTGGATGGTTGTACTACCTCTTTGCACGTGCTCGTATCAGCTGCGTCTTAAGCAGAAGAGCGGCTGGCACTCATGTGCTTGGATTAGTTGGTAGTGCTTCCTATGGAGCTTGAAGGCGGCTGTGGTGGTTTGGGTGTAGAAGTTTGATCGGAGGGATCAAGGTGGTATGGAGGAGGAAGAGTGAAGGAGAGTGTGTGTTTGTCGGGAGCTGGGTTAGCATCCATGCCCGTTGTTCACCCTTTTTTATCCATTTCCGCTGTTCTTGCATATGATAATATATTCATATGGTCTATCGAGCTTGTGAGCTTGTCTGCGGTTGCACGTGCTGTATCTGCCTAATATTGGTGTATATGCATTCAATGAGTGCATGTGCAGTGGTGGGATGCTTGTGGATGCACTCGTCTCCATAAGCTATCTAGCCTGTCTACTTGTGTTGGTTAAGTAAAAGCTCATTCTTGCTACTTGTTCCTCTGTTGAACTCACTGCGCCATCACCACGGAATGTAGTTTGTTATTTGATGCTTGGTAGGAATTCTTTACATGTTTGAATTAGCTGGTAGTATAGTAGCCTGGCATGATGCATTCAGGCAGGTGGCACCTTCCCATCGTTTCTGCGCACAGAGCATCGAGTCCAGCGCCACCTTCCATTGTACCTTCCTCTCGCTCTCACAAATTCCTCTTGTTCTCTCCACCCATCCACTCATCTCCCTCTCCACGCTCTGCCCACACGGCATCTATTCATTCGCTTGCATCGCATCATCCCACCTAGCACAACCGTTATCAAACACTGTTACAATGGCTCCATCATCAGTGGCCAGTGACGACGACAACAACGATGTAGGTGACTGAATTCTCGTACTGAGCAACTCACTAACCTGATTTTTTAGGATGGCTTCATTGTCGACATCGATGCAATCCAGGCGCATGGCATCGGCGCTGTCGATATTTCAAAGTTGAAATCCAATGGCTACTACACCATCGCTTCGGTGCACTCGGCTACCCGTCGCAACCTGCTCAAGATCAAGGGCTTCAGCGAGATCAAGGTGGACAAGGTCAAGGATGCCATTGCCAAGTGCCAGGTATGTGGTAGCGCGGTGCTCGTTGCCAATGTTAAACTAATGTACGGCAGCCTGCGGGTGGAGGCTTTCAGACTGCTCATGAGCTTGGGCAGCAGCGAAAGCGCGTTCTCAAGATTTCGACGGGAAGTAAAGCACTCGATGCAATTCTCGGAGGGTGAGTGCACGCAGCTTTTCTTCTCAAATACTTCCATTAACACACTGCAGTGGATTCCAGACCATGAGCATCAGCGAGGTATTCGGCGAGTTTCGCTGCGGAAAGACGCAACTCTCACATACCATGTCTGTTATCACACAGCTACCGAAAGACATGGGCGGTGCCGAGGGCAAAGTAGCGTATATCGGTATGCTGATCTTCTGTGATGGCTGGCTCCTCTGACCATGGTCCAGACACTGAAGGTACCTTTCGACCAGAGAGGATAGCTCAAATCGCAGAGCGTTTTGGTGTAGACCCTGAGACTGGTATGCAGCCTGATCTCCCCGTCTACTTCCTATTGACGTTTCCTAGCACAGGACAACATTACGTATGCTCGCGCTGTCAATTCGGAGCACCAAATGGAGCTCTTGAACAAGGTCGCCGAGTTTTTCGTCAGCAACGAGTACCGACTCTTGATCATCGACAGCATCATGGCTCTCTTCCGTGTTGACTACACCGGGCGTGGTGAGCTCAATGAACGGCAGCAGAAACTCAACCAGTTCCTCTCGAAGCTCACCCATGTTGCTGAGGGTCAGTCACAACTGTCCTGCTGCTAGTAGCCATGCTGACAAAATGCAGAATTCAATGTTGCCGTGCTTTTGACCAACCAAGTCCAAAGCGATCCCGGGGCAAGTGCATTGTTTGCCAGTGCTGATGGTCGTAAGCCGGTTGGAGGTCACATCCTGGCCCACGCTTCTGCTACGAGGATTCTTCTTAGGAAAGGACGCGGCGAAGAGCGCGTCGCAAAGATCCAAGACTCTCCTGGTATGGCTTCACGCATATTTTCAATACCAACTTCTAACTTTCCTCTTTAGATATGCCCGAGAAGGAAGCCACCTACATCATTACCAATGGTGGAATCAACGATCCGGAGAAAGTGTAGGTAGCAAGCCGCCTCTGCACATCTCTAGGTGCATTACACGTATCTTCGGGCGGCCATGTCTGAGTGAGGGCTATGAAGCCTATATGTTGTTTGTTCCATGATGCTTAGCATCTAGCTACGATCTGTGCGCAGTTCGTTCGAAATGTACTTGATAAAATTAGAAGACAGAATTTCCTGGCCAGCACATGGCATGACCCTCCCTCGCCTTTTGTTCAGTAATCCTGGCTAATCAACGGGCTCGCCGTGTCCATGTCGAACGCCCGCGTGTCAGTGCAACCTCGGCCCCTTCTCCCCCGCATCATCACCGCTTAATCAAGCCGCAAGCATTCCCCAAAGCGGCAGAAACAAGATGGACAAATAAATGGCGCGGCCATGCACAATAACGGAGAATAGAAATTGATAATACCTGATTCCCCACTCTTCCACATTCGACACCAACTATAACCACACGTGCCATTCTTGCTTCGCTGTTTAGGTGTTCCCCTTCCAACCAACCAACTACAGCAGTCATCCATCATGACCACGCGCAAACAATCTCCCCGCCACACCCCAGACATCTCCCTCCCTGCCTCCTACAACGACACCAGCACGCTCTTTACGCAAATCCGCACCCAGCACCACGCCGCCAACCCCTCCATCATCATCCTCACGCTCTTCCGCCCCCAAAACCACAATGCCTTTACCGATACCATGCGCGCCGAACTCGAAACCGCTTATGCCATGTTCGATGTCGATGACCGTGTCAAGTGCGTTGTTGTGACGGGGCATGGACGCGTGTTTTGCGCTGGCGCTGATCTTGAGGAGGGGTTTGGGGACGGCGCGTATGGGGAGGGGGCTGAGGGTGTGGCGGAGCATAGGGATGGGTGAGTTTCTTTTTTTTTCTTTCGCTGTTTCCTTGTTAGTATTTATTTGTGGTTGAATTTGTGTTGTGTTGTATTTGTTCTTTTCCAAGATACAGGTTTGGGAAGAGGAGTTGTACGTACGTATACTTACATGAGCGAGCATCATCCTTATGCTTGGGGGCATACATACATACCACACACTCACGTTCCTTACTCCCATTCAACGACAACCAAAATGTATATATATATATATATATATCACGAAAACTCGCTAACACCTAACCAGAGGCGGCCGCGTATCCCTCGCCATCCATCACTGCCGCAAACCCAGCATCGCCGCGATCCAAGGTTCCGCCGTAGGCGTCGGCATCACCATGACGCTGCCAATGAACATCCGGATTGCAGCGGCGAGCTCGAAAATCGGGTTTGTATTTGCGCGGCGCGGCATCGTCATGGAGGCGTGCTCGTCGTTCTATCTGCCGCGGCTGATCGGGTACTCGCGCGCCATGCAGGCGGTGACGACGGGCAGCACGTATGCGGCGACGCACAAGGTGTGGGACGGCTTATTTGCGGACGTGTGTGAGAAGCCCGAGCAGGTGCTGCCGCGGGCGCTTGAGATTGCCGAGGATGTTGTGCGCAATACGAGTAGTGTGAGTACGTACCTGATGAAGGAGTTGATGTACAGGGACCGGGGGAGCCCCGAGGGCCAGCATTTGCTGGATAGTAGGATCATCTATGAGCTGTTTGGGTCGCCGTAAGTATTGCCCACGTGAGAGTATCATGTTGATGTGCTGATGGTGAGTACAGGGACAACAAGGAGGGCGTCCAGTCCTTCATGGAGAAGCGACAGGCAGCCTTTACAGGGACAATGGATAACACACGCGTAACTGGATACCCATGGTGGGTGCCGGTGGACACGTTAGGAAGGCCAAAAGTAGCGCCTACAGGAGGGCCAAAGATCTAGTTACATGTTAGAATACAACGCAGAGGCGCAATTGTGCAATGCTACATGTTGACTCTCGGTTTCATGAGTTCATTGTCTATCATCCGCCTCACACCGTACCCTGATTTGGTAGTCTGAGGCTTGCCCTCTTTTGTGGAACCCCCCGGCCAGCACCCGGTTGTAGCATCACGCGCCGCGACGACTCGAATGGAGGTATCAGGGGATTTTCATTCGTTCCTAGTGTACTTCTTTTCGTGAAGCATGCATAACCGAGGGAAACCCATAACAATCCTTCCCATCCAGACCGCACTCCGTAATGAGAAACACGCTTAGAAGAAAGTGGATGGGCGGTTGGCAGAGAAGACCTTCTTGCCCGCCTTCTTGTTGATGCGGTGGGGCAGCGGGAACTTGAGGTTCTTGGTGAGGAGCTGCTTGATGTATGGTCGGCGGATGTCGTCGGTCTTCTCAACCTCGACGACCTTGAGGATCTGCAAACAGTGTGAGTGTGGTGTTGCAGGCTGCAGAGGTAGACTGATCATACCTGGACGGACCTGAAGCGCGTTCGGTGACGGGCAGCCATGTCCTGGTAGAGAGCCTCGACGGCAGCGACACGGGACATCTCACGGTACTCCTTGTACATGTTGTGGGTGCCAGAGCGCGAGTCGTACTTGATCCAGATACCGAAGTTCTTGACCTTTTGGGGCTTCTTCTCGTGGATCTGCAAGCGGGTTAGCGGCAGGGCGCTGCGTGTGCGTTTGTGAAATGGCGTACCTGGTTTACGGAGACGATCTCACCGTTGGCCTTCTTGATCTTGCGGAGCTTGCCAAGGAAGTACCAGAACCGTGACTTGGCGACGACCTCGTTAGGCGCAAAGATGCGCATACGGTAGATCTTGGGCGCAGGGTTGGCCTCTGAAGGCAGATGGCGCCCGATGATCTGGTATTCCTGGAAGCGAGCTGAGGCATCGTCAGTACTGCTTCAAACATGTTTGGTAGTCTCGTTTCCAGCAATTGCAGCAGTCATGCGGAGCGCAGGTCGGTCGTGGTGATACGGTTGGAGTGCGGTCGGGAGAGTCCGAGTAGGCGCGTGGGGATGCTCAATTTTCTTCCTTCGCCATCGTCGCGGTTGCTTGATGCCCTCGGCCCAGCAAGTACAGGCGAAGACACTTGCAAATCCGCCCCTCGTCTCCTCCCGCCGCTCGTCGGTTGTCGTGTGCCGCCGTATTCTTGTCGGTCTGTGTGCGCGGGCTCGTGCGAAAACTCCATGGGCTGCAATTGCTGGGCGAGAAGGGCGATGCCGAGGAGAAAATAGCTTACCCATCTGTGCAGTGTTAGCAGGCAGGAGGCGTGTGGGCAAGCAGAGGCGACTGACCGTAATTGTGCTGTGGTTAGTACCTTGGGTTGAGAAGTTCAGGTCGTCTATCGCGAATTGTGACAAGCCTGTCGAATTCGAGGTCGCTTGTGGGCGCTAGCCGAGAAAGGGAGCCGCCTTGACTTGGCGGAAGGCGCGAGCACGAGCACGAGCTGCTCGTCGGCGAACCCGCAGCCCAAACACCGACACGACCCCCCAGCAGCCGTTGCCATCGTCAGAACACCAACAGCTCCGCTTCCGGCACGAGCACACCGTGCCGTGTCCAATGGTGGAGAATAACACCGGACGCCGCCACCACTGCTGAGACGTCCCAAGGCTCCCTCTCCAGCTGCAGTCTTCACAGCCTTACCACAGCCCACCAGCCCAACCATGCAAGCCGCACTCGAGCCTTTCCACGAGGCATATGCCACAGGACTGGCGCAGCCTGTCGCAGACTTTCTCAGCCCCATCCCGCCGCCGCATGACCCGGGGCGGCTCTATGACTTCTACCGCGCATCCAGCGAAGACAAGATCGAGGGCGATGTCCGCTATGCGCTCAAGTACAACAAGAGCGCGCGCATGACCAACAAGGAGAGCGGCGCGTGGGTTGACATCATTGCTGGCTATTGGCGCGCCGTCAAGGAAATCATAAAGGCAGATGAGGCTGCGAACCAGGGCAAGCTCAACGAGCGCCATTACGTGGCCGTCTATGACACATGGAAGGACTTGACCGGCAGCTTCATTAAGCACATATCGGCCGGGCTGCTGCCGCCGTGGGCCATCTTTACTTTGTATTTCACTGCGAACCATCTTAGGAAGATAGCTATCCAAGCAGACGAGCAATTGGCCAAATCGAAGCCCGCGACCCTCAGCACAGGCTACTCAGACGATGTCGTGAGCGCTGTGCCCCAGAACCAGAAGCTTGAAGAAGCCGCGCGGGTCTTTAACAGGATATTTGCGCTGTGCCTTGGTGATAGGTGTGCCATACCTCTATTGCTGTCTTCAGAGTGTTGTCTTACAACGTCCCAGGAATCCAGACATGTCAGAGTCGCGTAAATGGGGTGTTTACTGCATAGCCAATCTGCAGTTCAAGACGTACTTCAAGGCAAGAACAACGTGAAGGTGGATTCTGGCATGTACTGACGGGAGATTATAGTTGAAAGCCATCAGTTTGTCTAAGAACATAGTGCGATCAATCGAGGCACAGTCTGACCTACCTTCATTCGCATTATACCCGCGAGCCCACAGGGTGACCTACAAATACTATCTCGGAGTGCTGTCATTCCTGCAGGAGGACTACACCAAGGCATGTTCAAAGGTCAGAAGAATAATCACATCTAACATTCACTAGGCGGAAAGTAGCTTGCAGGAAGCATGGGACTCGTGCTATTCGCGGTCACAACGGAACAAGTCGTGAGTTGGGCAATGACATCTATGCGTATGTACAAAACTGACTCCTCTAGTCTGATCCTCACCTACCTCATTCCCTGCCGCCTCATCACGAAGCACAAGATTCCGACACCAAGTCTCCTGTCAGAAGCCCCGCACCTCGAACGCACAATGGGACCGCTCGTGACGTGTATAAAACGAGGAGACCTAACAGGCTTCGATCGGGCTCTAGCACAGGGTGAGCCTGAGTTTGTCAAGCGGCGTATATTCCTTACTCTCGAGCGAAGCCGCGACATTGCTCTGCGCAACCTTCTCCGAAAGGTATACCTTGCTGCCGGCTTCGACGAACTCAAGGAAGGCCAGACAGAAAAGGACAGAATACGAAGATCACGTATACCCTTGGCACATTTTGCGGCCGCGCTTAGAATGGGCACTGCAGGCGAAGGCAGCGGCCAGGTCGTAGAGGACGATGAGGTTGAGTGTCTATTGGCGAATCAAATCTACAAAGTCAGTACAAAGCCGTCTTCACATGGAAGCAGGTTAGGCTGACACTATCCTCAGGGCCTCATGAAAGGCTATATCTCGCGCGATCATGGCATAGTAGTCATGAACAAGAAGGGTGCATTCCCCGGAACTGGCGTCTGACGCAAGCTGTCTGCTGCCTTGTCAATAGTAACCACACGCCTATTCCTATCGCAAAATGCCAGTGGCTCTGCGCATATGCATCATACCATGCACATTTAATTCAGATAAGGGCTACACGCAGAAAAGCTCTATCAGGCCGATGGAACAGTGTCTCAAAACGGAGCTTTAGAATCAAAAAGTAGTAAGTAGTATACCCGAAACAGATGCAGCCAAATACTTGTTTTCCTTGCACATCCGTGCAACGTGACATGGACCAGCTATACCTCGCATGTGAATAATGCCGCCCTTTCCAACGTCGCGTCCCGGGCCCAGGCAACGCTGTCGCACTACTGATTAGCTGATATCGCGTCTGGACGCCCTGATAATCTATTTTTCAGCTCAACGCCCCTGCCCTCGTCTCTGACTTCACTCCCACACACACACATATTTTCATGCTAGTGAAACTAGGCAAATGCATCGCGCCTATTTGTCTTGACTATGTATCGACTATCGACTATTGATTATCCGGGACATGGCACTAAGTAGCGCAAAGGAAGGAATGAAGATGGCTAAGCTAGGTTTTCCCCCCCTTCTCGTCGTACGAAGTGCAGATCAGGTGGAATTTGTTGGGAGAATGGTCAAGTGGCTAGTACGTTGAGTCAGAGAGTTGGTCTTGGGGTCGGTACATTGGGTATGGTGTGGATATCTTAGCTAGTTACTTAGGCTGGGTTGGCTTCGTTGGTTGGAGCAGTGGATAAATGCATGCATGCATCGTTGGTAGGGTGAATAAGGCACCGGTGTACCAGGCTTCGCATTTTATCTTTCCGGATCATTTCAACGTGCTGGCACAGCGATAGATTTTGAGTCGATAAGACAGTGTTGTAGGAGCAAGATTACGAGTGCGGATTTGGCAGGCTGGGATTAGGATGTGCGATGGACAATTGGATAGTGCGTCTCTTTACTTTTCGTGTATAGCATGTAGCTTGGTTGTCCAAAACAGCTGTGTTGATGTTGATGTTGTTGTCGTTGCCATAACGTTTGCCAACAGAGTATGAGAGCATGTGGAGAGAGAGGCTTGGGTATAAGAAACGTCACAGAACCTATGTACATTTTCCACGATATTATGTAAGATACTCCAAAGTGGCGAGAATGCAGGATTCAAGTTAGGCAAGACATTCTTCATTCTTCGTGGTATTTAGATCCTAGCATCGACCCGGCAAAAAACAAACACTCCTCCCAAGAGCAACATGGCAATCTGGTGCGTCTCTCATGCGAACATGGGGAAAATAAAGAGAATATTACAAATTCGTTGATAAAGAGAAAAGACAGAGAGAGAGAGAGAAAGATAAAAGTAAGAAATCAGTGTACCGCGGTGCATTACTTACGCAACTCTCGATACTGATGCAATTTTGTGTGTGTGTGTGTCTTGATATTTGTTTACCAGCTTGGACACGTAGATAACAACGCAAAAGGGAAGCAGAAAAAAAGATAAATAATATAGTAGTACAAAGGGGATATAAGCAGAAAAAAAAATCCATACCGGAGACGCCTTGCGCGAATTAAAAGAAAATGAGCAGAAAACACCAGAAAACCCCGATGCAGAGGGGGCCATGGGCGACGAGACGAGGCTGATCGGGGGTAAGTATATGTACAAGAAGCTGGGAATGGGAGGGGGGGTATAAGGAAGCATCAGCAATTGTCGTTGATGCGTGCGTTGCAAAAAATAAAAATCGTGGGGACAAGATTAAAGCAGGGGAGATGGGCTAGCCAACCGATCAAGCCAGTTGAGACGGAGGCGGAGAGAGACATTCTAGTATGGCGACTTGGCAGAGAGATCGTCCATGTGGTTTACCATTGCGACGAATAGGTCGAAGAAGAGTTTGCCGCCGTTCTCCATTTCGTTCTGCATGGTGCCGCTGCGCTTGAAGGTGTGGCGCGCGCGGATGATGAGCGCTAGGTAGTGTGCGCGCAGCTTCGAGTCGCTGTCGGGAGTATTGGCGTAGGCGTAGCGGGCGGAAGTCAGGATGGTTGAGCACTGGATGCCGGATTGAAGACCTTGCTTCTTCAAGGCCAGTTTCTTCAGCTCCTGCAGGCCGTACTTGTCGGCCTGGCAGTAAATCACCGTGTCTTTTAGGATCGGGCCCACCGGTGATTGGATGACGGGCTCGTTGGTATTGCCGCCGTCTTCGAGGTTCCAGCTGTTGCGCTTCTTGTCGTACTCCATGCGCGGGTAGTAGTCGCCTTTGTACAGGTACTCGAGGATGGAGGAAAAGACCTCGGGTTCTTCGTCGGGCAGGTCGATGCGTTTGGTGTTGGTTTGGAAGAACTGGCCGTTGCAGAGGCTCTGGAACCAAGGCGAATGAGACAGGACATCTTCGTGCGCTGCAAAGAGTCGTTGTTCACGGCCGACAGATATAGTGATGATTGCACTGATGAACATAAGCCAAACTGTCCAAGCGATTCCCTGGGCAAAAACTCACCTTCCCAGCGACGGAGATGTCTGGTTTGACTGTGGTGAGGACGCCTGCGCCTGTTGTGCCAGTCTTTCTACTTTCCTGGATGAATCCTTGAATGAAGGGTTCTTCTTGGTCGATTTCGACTTGCTTGCCCGGTGCTTGGAGAAGCTGCCCTCCTGGTGTCGTGTTCGGCCTGACGAGAACATGGTGAATGGCTCGAGGACCGTCTTGTCACTGAACAAAGGAATACTTGTAGATGCAGCGTAGGCAGCAGGCGTACGAATGGCAACGCGCAAGCAGGTCAACGAGGCAGTTCCTCGGGCAGCTGTATACGCGGCGGGATGGGCGATGGCAGGCAGGTATAGAGCGGCCGCAGCCATGTATATATACCTGAATCCTCCCAGGAGGGCGCTATCTGGCCCTTTGCCGGGGTGAGGGTGAAGGTGGACGCGTATTGGACGCGTAAATGAGCCTAACACGTTAACGCGATATCACATGTTGCGCCTTTCCTGTTTTGGGGCTTAAGAGTCAGTCGGCAACACCAGGCTAAGCCCCGGCCCTGGGTCAAGCAGCACTTCTGCAAGGTTATGAAACCAACGCGGGACAAAGAGCTGAGCATCCTCCTCGAGTGCGCCCGGGGGAGGTGCGGCGAGCAATTGCCATGGCTAAGAGCTGAGGCTTCTCCCTACACCTAGTCTACTTGCGACACACCACTCCATGTTTTTTTTTCATTCTTCTGCGCCAGATCCCAACAAGTACACACACACACACACATACACGGAGCGACGGACCAAGACATTGATTCGTGGCATTCCTCAAGGCAACACGCTTTCGCCGGAACAGCCCCAAGCTTTGGCCAGCCTACCCAGGAAACTTTGGCAAAAAGCAAGCGAAGCCGACGCCGCGCAACAGCCAGCGCCCGCTCATCGCTTCCATATGCGCATCGACGTATTCCCCTGAAGAGGCAAATCCGGCGTTGAAGGACCGATGAGCATCGAGCCAGGCAGCCAGGCAGCCATCCAATTTTGGCGTGGCAATGGAAGATGCGAAGGGACAAGGCCATGCTGCGACCATGAAAATGATGGCTGACGGTCACTCATAATTGAGCCGTGAGAGAATGCAAGGGGGATGAAATGGGCTTTTGCTGCAACAAGAGTAGCATGCATGCATCCATTGTTTTATTTCATTTCATTTCATTTTTTTGGCATATGCCAGGAAAACAAAAGATGATTTTCTGATTTTTTTTTTTACTTACCGCGACTTGCACACTGGCCCTATTCAAGACGCGGGGAAAAGTACGTAGAAAAGCGCATCCTCGATGCTCCTTTTTTTTTACAGACAGACAGACAGACACATACTACCATGACATACTTACTGTCCGGGCTTCTCTTTTTTCTTTTTTTCTCTCTTTTTGAATGACAATCAGCTGTTTTTCAAAGTCTGAGTCTTTTTGTTACGGACATATATATATACGGCCTGGAAAGCGAGGAAATGGATTCTTCACGCACAGTATGTGTTAGTGTGTGTGTGTAAGTGTAAGTGTATATAGCCCACAGCCAAAAGCTGCGTGTACGTATCGATTTGGTGGGTAGTCAGGTTCAAAAGTGTCAAGTAAGAAGCGGGTGTACACCTATGTGTGTGTGTGTGTGTGTGAAGGGAACCAGAAGTGTGGTAGGGAGAGGGGTTGGCGTAATTTGGTTCAGTGGAGGGGTAGGTACATACCCATAGGTATTGATGTGTGGTTCCGGGGAGTTGGGCGATCAAGGAGTGTTATTTATTTCATCACTTCCGACAGGGAGCTGGCTGGGAACCTTCCTATGTAATACTCAAGCCAGGTATACTTGTATGCATGACAGAATATACCTTGCGTGTAGGTGTAGGGCTGGAAGGCAGCGAGCTCTGGGAAACAAGCTGGGTATGTATGTATGCGGCAGAGCCCTGTGAAATGACTGGACCCCTGCGAAGACCAGGATATGCCGACAAAGAAAATAATAGATCCATGGCAAGGGCAACAGCAAGGTGGTTGGTGGTCTTGGGTCTGGTGGCGAGGCCAGGGACGGATTCGGCGAAATCCGTATGTACAAAGTGAGGAAAGCTTGCGGGACCTAGTGTGTGTAGGTACACCTATTAGATTTGCTCTGCAGGGTAGGCTAAAAGCGGAACTTCGGGCCCCAATTCAACAGGCTTGGACTGGTTTCTGGCATGCGAAACGGTTGGGTCGCAGACGGGGGGGGGGGCGTCGGCGGGCCAAGCCGGAAAGGGATACTTGAGTGGTAACGTGATTTCCGACGCGACCGCGATGAGGGGTGTGGGCGTCGTGAATGCCAGGGCGCACATTATACGTGTATGTGTGTGTGTGTGGTATCAAAATGCTGACTTTCCCCCCCCCTCCCCCCCTCATGCACGAACCTCACCTCTTTCATGATTTCATGCAACAACCTCGCCCTCGGCAAATGCTCTTCCAATCTCGCGTGCTACACCGATTCTCAGCACGGCAATGATATCGTCGGTCTTTGCGCCCTTGGGGAAGCCTTTTCGCCAGTCCCAGCCGCGCTTGCTGTCGTCTACATGGCCTCCCTTGACCAAGATGGTCGAGTCGTCGACGTTGTGGCCGTCTGCCGAGCCAAAGTCTGCCGAGCCAATCATCGAGTACTGGCTCGAGGCCGTGGTGAGGTTTGACGTGGATTTGCTAAGTAGATTGTGTAGGTTGGGTATTTGCTGTGACGAGTTGGGCTCGTGCGCAGAGAGTAAAGTCGTGTTGAGCACTTCCTCGCATTGCGCGCGGATCATGCTCGGGGCCGTGTCTAGGTCCTCGATAGCGGCGAGGAGATCGTAGAGATGGCGAAGGGTGAGAGTGCGTTTTGGCTGGTTTACAAAGATGAGTGCCTCGCCTAGGAGCGGTAGCAAGACATCAACGGGAACCACGGTTTCTGTTTCGGGATCATACAGTCCGCCCCGGATGCTAGAGGCTGCACTCGCGATGATGACCGTGAGTGCATTGGCAGCAGCCCGTTTCCGGGCCATGGGTCGATGGGCTGCCTTTTGTCCGCTCTTCAGGTGTACCTCTTCATCTCGAAGGTCATAGTACTTGCGTATCGTCGCGTAACCACTGAGATGGTTGGAGAGTAGCGACGCAGCCTCAGAGTCTGTGTTGGCAAGCTTGGTCAGGGCTTGCTTGGGCGAGGTGATTAGCAAGCTGAGAGATTCGTCCAGTTCGTCCAAGGGAGGGTAGGCCATTGATTTCACGAGGCAATGGGCAACGAGTACGCGAAGCACTTCCTGGATCCTTGCCGCATCGTGAGCGCGAGCGTAGTAAAGCAGAGTGTCGCCGTAGCTCTCAGTGTTTGTGCGGAGATGATCGGCGTATTTCTATCATGGTTAGCCTTGACATTGAAGGTTCTGGGCGACAACGTACCTGAGCAATAGTGACTGCATGTTGTGAAAGACCCAAGTTATGACACAGCTGGGTGATCTTGTCGACGCGAGCTGACGACTCCAGAGGCAGGTCATTGAGTATCCGCTCGATGCGCTCGTTTGCGCCGATAGTATCATCAAGCCTTCCCAGGACCTGTACAGCCATTTCCCAACCCTCTTTCGACTCCTGATCTTCTTTGCCGGTGATTTGTGCCCTGGATGCCAACAGGTCCGAATAAGCAACAAGCAAATCGTCCTTGGTCACACCCTTGGGCTGCTGCTGTTCGCTATAGCTCAAGACCATGAGGTCGTCTTGGTCAAATTGATCCAACAGCCCCTTTGCACCCTTGAACCATTCCCCAGCACTGGCAATCTCGGCAACTGCAGAGGCGATCATGAGCGACCAGCCCTGGAGAATTTGAAGTGCGCCTTCAGCGTTATCGTCCAGTACGCACGCTAGACCCACCTCGAAGCGGTCCACGGCATTGATGCTGAAATCCTCGTCGCTGTTTTGTATTACCGCCGCGAGCGCAGCAGAAAGCCGTTGAGTGTATGCTTTGACTGGTGTCACGTCGACGGGACGGACCCGTTGCGACCGCATCAAGGAACGCCGGCTGGCTGCCAGACTGCCCTGTGCAAGGTCCTCGTCTTCTCCATTCCACCAGACAGTCAGGCCTATTGTCGCTTCGATCCAATCCGCTGACAAGGTAAGAATCTCCTCTTCGTTGCCTAACAGAAGCTGGTACATCCGTTGCAGGTTCTCGTAGACCGACCACGGTACTTTGCTCTCTGCCTTGCGGCTTGCGACACTGAGTTGGAAGCTTGCCTGAGTTTGTGAAATGCCAAAGTGTGCCGCCTGGAAAGGTTGGGATATCGAGTGACGGCTCACACTCTCGCCTTCGGCAAACTCTTCCAGGTTAGCACATGTTTGTTGGACACGCTGGCGGAAGATTGTCCAGTCATGTCCTTTGATGTCCCAGTCTTCCGAGGCAATAGCCGGGCACTCACGCAGCAGGTCAAGTGCTTGACGGAGCGCGTGGTTTGCGTACTGGAGATGGGTTCCACTGTATCCCGCACGTCCCAGTCCGTCATGCTCGGCTGTCTCTGCATTTTCAAGCTGGGCGCCCTGTAGCAGCTGTAGAGTCTGTGAAAAGTTGCCTCTGGCAATGGTAACATGCACGACCTCCCAGAAAGAAGGATGCCTAGAGTATCCGCCTTTTTGCTTCAATACCTCTGTCACCTCGGAGCCGCCGTCGAATGTGGCATTCAGCCAGTCGAGTAAAGCCTTGGGAACTGGGGTGTACTGTTTCGACTCGGGTCGCGTTGATACCAGTGCCAGGGCGGAGGCTCGCTGGTTCAGAACGACTTGGGGAGGGTGGTGCAGCGTTAGCAGAAGCGCTGCCAGTTGAGTGCTCTGCGATAGCTCGAGTGCGCCTTCGGCTCGGTTTGAGGATACACTAGCGCGCGGGCCCGACTTGGACGCGGCGCGCCATGCTGCAATCAGCTCGTGGGCGACTGTACCGATTACTTCGGCCCTCTTTTCTGGCGAGTCTGATTGCAGCGATTCGTACACCTTCTCGACCAAGCGCTCCGTGTCCAGGATGACATGATCGGGTTCGCGAAGACTCGATGAGCCGGTGTCTGATGTGAGGCCCTTGGCAAGGGCCAGAAGGTCGAATTGCGTCTGCTTTGCGCCAGAGCGCACCAAGGCAGGGCCCGACTCCATGTCGGTTGCGCTTGTCCTCGAGGCTACCGACTGCGTGAACCTGCTCTGTGTCTTGTTGCGGCGCTGTGGGGAGAAGGGTTCTTCCTCGTCCTCGTCGCCCTCGTCCTCGTCGTCTATGTCGTCCTCGTACTGGTCCTCGTCGTCGGTGTAGTCATCGTCGTCGGTGTCGCCTTCAGCGTCCCGGCCGGGCGCTTGATTGCGCGTTGAATTGATGGCGCGAAACTGGCCTGAGCTGGTCGCACGCCCTCGCTGGGCCTGGGGTCGGCCAAAAGCGGAGGTGCCTATGGAGCCAGAGCCGACGCCCTCGAGCAGGTCATGCTTGGGCGGCGAGCTTCCAAACAGCGAGGTGGCGCCAAAGCTTTCGGGTTTGGGGTCGAAGGCGGGCCGCACCGAGCCAAACAGGCCGTTGCTCATGCCTGGCGGCGGACCAGCGGGCGTTGACGAAGGGAGCCTGGCGCGGTCGGGCGGAGGGCCTGCGGGGGTCGACGAGGGGGGCTGCTGGGCGTGGGCGTAGTAGTAGCGACCGGGCGTGGAGGGTGGTGATGTCGGCGATGGGACGCGAAACATTGCGGGCTCTGGTGCTGGCGGGCGGGTGCTGGTGTGCTCGCGGCCGGCGTCAGACAGGCTAGAACGGTGGGCCACGCCGAGAGCAGTGGCACTGGGTAATTTCGGCACGCCCGTTTCACGGCTGCACGACTCACAGCATGTGCGCGGCGCGGGCAGAGGGGGGAGAAGGCGGAGCAGCTGGGGGGAATGCGAGCGGCGGCTTGTTTGCGTGCCAGTGCCAGCACCAAACAGAAACTTTGGAGAGCTTCGGAGCGACGCGCCGGGCTCAGCAGCGAGGCTTGGCGCGTCGGCAGCGCGGCGCGCGGCGGCACAGTTTCTCCGGCGCCGGGCGAGGCTGGCAGCGCGCGCCAGGCCAGGGCCAGTGTCAGCAGGCAGGCGGCGACGACAAGACAAGCAACGGGCGGACGGGGATGGGCCCTGGTCGTCGCTCGTCTAGCAGTGCATTGCTGTTACTGTCACTGCCACTGTCACCACTACGTGCCCGTTGATTCACCGCGCCCGCGCCGCAGAGCCACGACGACGACCCAGCCAGCTCCTGGTTGCTTTTCTGCTGGCGCTCGCCCTCGTTCCTGGCCACACACAGCCGCCCCCCCCCCCGCCAGCAAATCACGCGCCGCCCATGGTCCGGTCAACAAGTCCAAGTCGTCTCCCGGCCTCGCCCAGCCCGCTGCTCGCCCGCTGCTCGCCCGCTAATTACTCGCTGCACCCCCTCGCCCGATATCACAGCACAGCAGCAAGTGTTCCTCCGAGTCGTGAGGCGCAGGGGTCGCTTACCTGGGGGGTGCGTGCCCAGGGTGCTATTAACATATCCGTACTACAGGGGCGCCACCGCGCCTTAGCTTACAGCTGACGTACCGCGGGACTGAAAAACGTCGTAGCCCACTGCCCTACCATTGAATTCCCGACACTTCCGAGTCCTGCCCTGCCTTTTTGCCTTTAACCTGTCCCGCCGCCGGCTGTCTTGGTGCCCTCTCTGCATCCTCAATGTGTAGCCACTTTCCAGCCCATACCTAGCTCCCTGGCCCGCCTGTGACGTAGCGAGCCACCACCCCCCAAGGCCATCGCCAGCATGGCCCTCTGGTCAAAGACCAAAACACAGTCCAAGGCTGGCTTCGACAAGGTCTACAACTGGGTCGACAAGCTCGGCGCCCCCGTCAACCGCCTGTCCAACCGGGTCGGCTCCGAGGCCTTCTGGCCCACGACGCTCGACATTGAGGCCGACAAGGCTGCGCGCATCCTCAAGAGTTTCTGCAGTACGTCGCCCCTCGCTGTGCTCCCGCCATCGCTGACCCGCCTGCAGAGGATGGCTTCTACGAGGAAGAAGAGCAGCCTGCCACGGCAAACGTCCCCAACGGAAAGCAGAAGGTGCTCAAGAAAATTCCCTCATCCGTCATCAAGAACGCCAAAGGCCTCTGCATATTCACAACCATGCGCACCGGCTTCTGGGTCTCGGGGTCTGGAGGCGCCGGCGTACTCGTCGCGCGCAAAGACGACGGCACATGGTCACCGCCCTCGGGCATCATGATGCACACGGTCGGCGTGGGCTTTTTGGTCGGCGTCGACATCTACGACTGTGTCATTGTCATCAACTCGGAAAAGGCACTGGACGCATTCCAGACGGTCAGATGCACGCTGGGGGGAGAGATCAGTGCAGTTGCAGGCCCCGCAGGCGTTGGAGGCATGGTCGACACCGAGGTCCACAAGCGTCAGTCGCCCCTCTTCACCTACATCAAGTCACGCGGATTCTATGCCGGCCTCCAACTCGACGGAACTATTATTATCGAGCGAACCGACGAGAACGAGCGCTTTTACGGAGAGCGCATAGGCGTCAGGGACATCCTGGCGGGAAAGGCGCGCCACACACCGCCCGAGACAAGGAGACTGATGGAAACACTCAGGGCGGCCCAGGGCGACACGGATATCGACGAGTCGATGATCCCAGACGAGGCTCCGCCAGGAGACTTTGAGATTACAGGCCCCGGCGAAAAAACGTTTGGCGTGCCCGACGCCATCGACCCCGACCCCTACGGCGTCCTTGCCTTGCAAGAGGCCGGCATGGAAATCAGGGAGGCAGGGACTCACAGCCGGCCATCGAGCGAGCAATTTGAGTTCAAGCCAAGCCCGACGAGCCCCATCTACAACACCTTCAGAAACTCTACCTACCGCAGGAGTATGGATCGATCGAGCTTTGCCGGCAGTCGAAGGTCGAGCTGGCGCATGAGCAGCATCAGCAGCATGCTCGAACCTCGAGCACCAACCGTCGACATGAGCACGCAGACGGACGATCTGCCTCCTCCGCCTCCGACGGCCAAGAAGACACCCCCAGCACTGCCACCCAGGACCAGTATTGCACGTGCGCCTACCCCTCTCATGATAGACATACCCGAGACCAAGATTGAGCAAGCAACCCCGCCACGAGTAAAGAGCCCTGTCAAGCAACACGAAGAGGCTACTCCTACCGCAACCGAAGCAAAACCAGACAGGGCTGCCGATGACAAATCCAGCGGCTCGCCCCGGAACGCACCATCACCTGACGAAGCAGACAATGACGATGATAACGAGGACAACGAGGATCTCGAAGAAGAGCCTGTTGTTCACGAGATCCACCAGGCACCCGCCCCGCAGGCCATTCGCGCACGCGTTGTGCAGGTGGCTAAGCCGGTTGCCCCGGCTCTGCCTGCGAGAAGCCCTTTCCGCAACCGCATCTCAACCAACTCGGACGGCTCGCTCAGCACGGCGCACGAAACATCGGCGGCGCCCTCGCCCACGGTCGCAAAGCATAGCCCAGACTCGACGCCTTCGCTCGTGCGCGGAGACTCTACCTCGTCGCTGTCATCGGTAGAAGACAGCAGGCTGGAGCAGATTGGCAACCGACTCAAGCCAAAGTACTCGCACGAGGCGTCGCCAGAGACGGAAAAGGAGGCCAAGGAGGAAGCCTTCCACTCGCCCCCGGACTCGCCCATCAAGTCTATTCCTGGTGGTTTCAACTAAGACGCCCATGTCGCCACGCTTATGACGCTAATTTTCAATATTTCCCATGTCGTATTTTCGGTGTTATTGTTTCTGGCTGAAAAAGGCAGCCATAATCCCAATACCCACATCACACTATTGTAAAAGTTTGCTCTGACAGTGCTTACTGCATACTCCTGCATCTGCCACTTCAGCTCGCTGGCCAAGCAATGCGCCCATTACCGCTTGCTTGCCCAGCCAGCCCAGAAGCATCACCTCACCTTTATTGTTTCCTTGTGCCGTTTGTATTGGCTGCATCCCTTCTTCCAGTCTCTACGAATTACGACTTGATTGATATCCGCATTTTACTCTACCATTTGCTCCTACACAGCGTTAGAAATGTAGTACGACTTGGCCAACCAAGGATGGAAGAAATACATCTCTGTTAATGATTTGAGAAAGTCGTACATTTGGGTGACATAATCAGCAATGCTGCTGACATGATGCAAGTGCAGGTCTAAGTGCAAGTGCCCTTGAGCCGTGCGCCTTGAGCCCTGAAGCCCAGCGCTGGTGACGGAGCCAGACGCGACCGTGCCATCCCTGCCAAAATTTCGTGAGTGCTGGATACCCACCACCACGACCTCACCCGCCTGCATGCATGTAAGGCACCCCACACGCATTCGCTGCTCGGTTCTGCATTCTCAGCTGAGCGCTTGACCATTGTCGTCGCGCCCAAGCCTTTCCCGCCAAATCTACACCAGACGAGCAAGCCCCATCGCAAACCCGCCCGCAGCGACCCCAATCGACTGCGCAAACCCACACGACACAGCATGGCGCCCACCGCGCCCCAGCCCACCAAGAAGCCCAAGCCCATCCCGAAAACAATCGCAGAATTCACTATTCTGCCCCTCACACTACCCCCGCTGCCCGGCCTCCCAGACCACTGCAACAATGCAACGCACTACCTCTACGTCAAACCACATGCGCCCAGCATACCCAGCGTCTCGGACGAGCGCAGCCTCTTCATCGTCAACGTGCCCATCGACGCCTCTGAGCAGTCCCTCCGCGCATTGTTCTTGGAGCATCTCGGCGGCTCCATGGTCGAGCGCGTAGACTTTGATGCGAGTGTTCCCGCAGCGCCAATGCACAAGCGATGGAAAACGGATACGCCTCGAGCACCACCACCAGGCACAGACGGAGCAGGCGGAGACGCAGCAAGAGGCAAGAAGCGGAAGAGGGCAGACGACCCGGCGATTGTAGCAGAGGGCGTGGTTGAAGACGCTGAGAGCGCGCTGCCCAAACTATGGAGCACAGAGATACGGCGGAGCGGCAGCGGCACCGTCGTTGTATTTGTCGATCGCAAGAGCGCGAGAGGCGCCTTGAGAGAGGTCCAAAAAGCCGTCAAGGAAGGACGTAGTATCGTGTGGAAGGGAGAGCAGAATCTCGGTGTTGAGCGTAAGTCGAATCTATTCCTTTCTCCGATTCCCCCTTCTACTACTACTACTACTACTACTACTACTACTACTACTACTACTACTACTGCTGCTGCTGCTTCTTCCCTTGCAATCGTACACCCGGAAGAAGAAAAAAAGAAGAAACACAACTAACCCCACCCACACAGGCTACACCACCCACCTCACCCACACCTACCCCACCGCCTCGTCCCTCCAAGCCTCTCTAAACGCCTACCTCACGCAATTCTCCGCCCTCGAATCAATGCGCTCCCGCCTCCGCAAAACAGCCCGCTCCGCCCCAGACGCAGACGGCTTCGTCACCGTGTCCCGCGGCGCAGGCGCACGCACCGGCCCCGCGCGCATCCAAGACGCGCTCAAAAAGAAAGAGGAGCTAGATCGGCGCCGTGCTAATCATAGGGCTACCGATGACTTTTATCGCTTCCAGAATAGAGAGAGGAGGAAGAGGGCGGAGGGCGAGTTGAAAAAGAGGTTTGAGGAGGATAAGAGGAGAGTGCTGGGGATGAGGGAGACGAGGGGGAGGGTTAGGCCTGAGGTTTGAGGGTTTGAGGGTTGGGATTTATGGTGGTGCTGATGGTGGTGGTGGTGGTGATGACGGTTATGGATGGGAAAATATATACGTAACTCGAATAGCCAAGTTTTTTTCTCTTTCTTTCTTTCTTTTTTTTGGTGGCGGTGGTGGGTTGGGTTGGGTTGGGTTGGGTTGGGTTTGATTTCACTGATGCTGATGAGTGTCAATGTGCTTTTTTTTTAAAAAAAAATCAAGACAGGAATGAATAACCGTTCATTCATTCATTCACAATGCCGACCAGAAACTCGACTCTGCATTCAACCCTATTATCGTCGACAATACCCATGGTCGCACACATGCGCACCCGCCTTTTACCCTGCCTAAGACATTCACGAAGATGATCAAGCTGCCGCCGCACTGTTGTACCAGCACAAGCACGAGTCTGAGTCCGAGTCTGAGTACGTGTAGTAGGAGTAGGAGTAGGAGTAGGAGTAGGAGGAATGATACTAGGAACCAGAGTCCGAGTATTGCGACTACACATGCAAATCCAAGCGGAAGTGCATGTGCATGTGCAAATGCGAATCCAAATGCAACTCTTGTGCATGGCAAGACGACGCCGAAACAAGATGAGTTTATCGGGGTTGTAGGACGTGGTGGTGGTGGTGGTGGTGGTGCTGATGCTAATGCTGATGATGATGATGAGGGTGCCGCTGTTTTTGCCACGGCATTGGTATAGTCTTTGGCTCTTTTTTCTTAGAGCATTGCTGTCGTGGCCACGTAGAACCAGTTCTTTTTTTTTGGGGGGGGGGGGATAAGTAGTAATGGGTTCGCCTCGTTTGATGAGGTTGATGATATAGGACTCGTTTTTTTGTTCTTGTTCTTGTTCTTGTATAGTCATGATTCTTCTTTATGGACGCCTCGGCTGTATTGCGTGTGTACCTTTTCCCACAGGAGAGAGGGCAGGCCGTGAGGGAATGTCTGAGAGGCCTTGAGCGTGTTGCACTCCCAGTATAGCTGCTCGCCTAGATAGAGGAAGCGTCGGCTGAGCAGACGGTCCTGGAGGACCCATGCCCGAGTATCCCAGCCTAGGTTGGGTGTGGCAAGGATGTCGGCTGGTAGTCGAGGAGTCGCAATTGTGGTTGTGTCGGAGCGTTTGTCTCCAGCATTCTCGACCGCGCATGCATGGACATGCTGGTCGAGGACAATGGTGAGTGTCGCGTTACGGAATGTCGAAGACATGTTTGTGCACTCGTGTTCCCGGTCTTGCTGGGAATCCTGGAGGACACAGAGAGAGTCGAGCCAACAGTATCGGAAGCCGAGGCGCTGCACTTCGGAAATGGCATTCCTGACTGCCAGAGGCAGCGTTTGTAGGCCTAGCTCGGTTTGCATTCTCGGTAGCGAGTCGCTCGAGAGGAGAGGTTCTGCGTCACTCCAGGCGTGACTGAGAGCAGCATATTGGACTTGCTGCGAGGTTGCTTCGAGAGCGTCGCCGTCGACGATCCGCACATAGGTTCCGGCTTGACCCTCCGGAAGGGTATCAATCAGGCGTTTGGGAAGACCACCGGAATCGCTTATCTTCTGATGCTGCTGACAACCACCATGGGTACACAAGCAATCATCCAGCCAGGTCTTTGCACTATTGTAATTGGCACGCTCATGAGCATCCGGCTTGATGTAATTGTCAATGCCAGGCTGGTGCGCAAACTTTTCCACTGCAATCAGCTCCTCATGCGGTCCGGGGAAGGTCACCTTGTCGTTTGGCCAGTTGAGGCAGCATGGCGCAGGAGTAAAGATCTTGGTCAGTGATGCAGCATCCGGTCGCTCATCAGGATTGGCGTTCAGCATAGTCTGTAGTGTGCGCACTACGACTTGTTCTGTTGCATTCTTGGCTTCGTCCAGGAAGGTGGCAAGTTTGGACTGCACTCCTGGTACGTCCTGCCAGTAGTAGGTGCCTGTCCGGCCACTGAATGCTTTGCTGAAATCCAACCATGCCGTGTTGTCTTGACCAAGCGGAACGGACGTCCACAACAACCACCGTCGTTCGATCCACGTGGTGGCCATGACTCCAGCCAAGGCAACGGTAGAGGCAGCGGCCCCGCCGATCCTCCACCACAGAGTGGCTTCTTCCACTTCCAGCTCTCACAGCTTGGTGAGAGCCAGCGGTATTGTGCGGACCCACTTACCAAACCCATTACACTTTCGCCGAACATCTCTCTGTCATCGACCTCACTTGATTCAGCCTTACTTGCCGAGTCGATTGAGCGACAAACGTCACATGAAAAGCACATGGAGACAAAGAGCGACTACGAGATTGCTCTGGCCGGAGATGCTTTCACCCAGTTCGTAAACGAATATGGACTGTCGCCGCGGGATGAGCAAATCGACTCTCGTGGCTTGGAGCATACGTATGGAGTAAAGGTTGAGGATAAGACAGAGACTGGAATGCTGCGACTCGCCTCAGCGCCTCTTTCAAGCCAATTGGGAGCGACACTGGATGAACTACCCACTGGCGGAGAAACTCACACTCCTGAGTCCTTGGCAAACACGATTGCGACAAGCCAGCTACAAGCGCCACAGATTCCAAAATCTTCTCGTGCCTTCCACAGCATCAAGCTTCTGGGCGCAGGAGGCTTCAGTACAGTCGATGAAGTCATGCACCAGCAAACAGGCCTGCGTGTTGGAAGAAAGACACTCAAGAATCGTGATCGCACGGCTATTGGAGAGCTGAAGAAGGAAGTCAGCGTCCTACAGAAGCTTCGTCACCCGCACATAATCCGCTTCCTTGGAGCCTACTCAAATGGCGACAAGATGTCAATTCTGCTCTCACCTGTTGCAGACACAACACTCTCCGGATGGCTCGGTCGGGCTGCACTACAAAGGCCGACCAACCTGCTTGATACTATTGTCAAGATGTTTGGTTGTCTCGCTTCGTCAGTTCGGTACCTCCACGAGCAACGACCTGTTGTTAAGCACATGGATATCAAGCCCCAGAACATTCTCATCTTGGAAGGCGACCGTGAGTTTCCACACGTGGTGCTCTCCGACTTTGGTGTCAGCTCTGCAGAAGAGCTATCCGACGATCAATTCAGGCCATGGACGCGCCAATATGCTGCACCCGAAGTATTTGAAGGCCTCACTCGCAAGCAGACAGCTGACATCTGGAGTCTGGGATGTGTCTTTGCCGAGATGGTGCGTTCCGTCAAAGCCATCCCCACTTGGACGGTCGTCGTTGTCGTCGTCGGTGGAATCATCGTCGTCATTGTTTTCGTCGTCGTCACGCCAGTCAAGCATGCACTTGCCCTGCTTGAAGTGGTCTGCAATGTGGTCAATTCGCTCCTGTCTCGATGCGAAGCGGTGGCGACAGAAGCCACATTTTCTTGGGAACTCCGTCTCCGAGTACACTACGCTTGTCTCCTCGTATTCATCGGGGTCCACATTGGCATGGATATTCCGGAAGTGTTGCACGAAATGGTACTTGCGGTAGCATGGCTTGACGTTCTCCACGCCCTCACTGATGCACAGGCTGCAGACCCATGACTTGCATGGGTAGCCTTCTTCCTCCTTTCTCTTCCAGTCATTCTTGCGTCCATAGCGCTTACCGCACTTCCTCGTACACTGGTAGATCTTTCTAGGGTCCCTGCTGAGCAACTCTAGGTCATCGGTAGGCGTGCAACGCTTCTTGCAGCCTCTTGTGGGGGCGACTAGCTGAAGGGCTATAGCAGTGTTCTCACAGCTGAAAGAGACTTCCGGAGTGGTGTCTTCGGGTAACAGCTGTAGTGGCTGAGGCGGCGAAGCCTGCAGGAGCTGTGTCTGGTAAGTGTGGTCGTTCCAGAACGACTCTTGCTGCAGCATGTGTGAGGTTTGGGACTTGTAAGCGGAATCCCCCAGGCCCCCCTTTCCCATGCCCTGCTTCAACAGCTGGCCGAACCAGCTGCGGATAGCATCAGCCGGCTCGCCAGTAAGCTGGCTGAGCGAGTCGATATGCCGGTCACTTGAGTGCTGTTAGCAAGCAACGTGCCATGCTTGGCGGGAATAGACGTACCCAGGGAGCACATTGTACTTGGTGAACCATGTCGCGCATACATCAGCGGCTTCGTCTGAGAGACCCTCTACTGCTGTAGATGGCGGGGTCGGCTCCAGGCCCCAGCTAGAGGTTGTGGTTGCGGGTGGTGTGGGAAACAGAGGGAAGTCTTGACTTGCTTGGCGCTTCGACTGGGGGAAGTCATCGGCTTCAAGCTGCAATGGGCGCTTGCCAAAGGCATTGAAATGTGTGGGCATAGCATCGAGGAAGTGTGGTGTGGGGGTAGGTGGGAAGTAGCCCGCAGTGTTATGGATGGGCATATCGAATGCGCCCTGGTGGGGAGTGCCCAGTGCGAGGGGGTCGATGAACGACGAGGTCGTGGTATCGATACCCTCGTCGGCAAAGAAGAAGCCAGAGGTGTTATCCGCAGGCTTGAACAGGGTTTCGGGCGTGGCCGCGAACATGTTGGCGAAGTCCATGTTGGAGTCAAAGGCGAATCCTGCGCCCTGATGATCCATGAGCTTGAATCTACTTCCTTGTATGGGATTTGTCAGAGGGCGGCGTCGGTCGATGGGCGCCCTGGTCTCGTCTGGCAGTCACGGCGTGAGCAAGAATGGCGAGGAATGAGTGATCAGGAGCCTTGAGGCCTGGTGGTGAGTATTTCAGGTCAAAGGGCGCTGCGCCCACAAAAGAGGTGCGTTTCGTCGTCGGAGTCATTCATGCAGCCCTTCCCGGCGCTGAAGGCAAGGGCTGAGCGATGTTCCAGGGTCCGAGGGTTTAGGCCACCGGTCAGACGAATGGCGGGGAGCTATATTACCGCTGCCTCGAGCCTGTACCTCACGGCGATGCCATGCCACCACACACTATTCGCGCGAGCCGGGCGCGGTCAAGAATGGCTTTTGCTAGCGGGCGCGCTGGTCTATGGAGATGCGTCTCCCGCTTCCACGCGAACGACTGCTCTGCGCGCACGCTGGGCCGCGTGCTGGTGGGATAGCCCAGGTGAAGCAACAGAAACGTGCTGCGGTAGAAAGGCGGCGCTAACCGACTGCCGCGCCGCCCTTTGCTCGACGAGAAGGGCGCAGCGGCGCCCAAAGAGGCTAGCGCAGACAGGGCTGTGCAACCAGTCCCATGTGGGGCACGTGTGGCTGGGTTTCAACAAGTCGATATCCACCAGCGCAGGCGAGCAATGTCAGCTGTCTTCCGCTCGTCTCCGCATCTACCTCAAACGCCACATGCGTCATTGCGTAACAATTGTTCCAAGCATCAAACATCAAGACAGATATCACCAAGTCGAGTCGGGCCGCGTGCTTGCGAGCACTCAGCGACGAGGAACAGCCGAAAGGGCACCCAGGTACATATCTGCAAGTGGTATCATTACATTATTCACTAAGCGCTTGATTACATGCTCTGCTCGTCATCAATTCTGTCGCTCGTCTTCCACGCCTAAAAGGCAACCATCTGGCTCAACCCCGCGCTCTCGCGCTCAAAGTTCTTGTGCTGCGAGATGGCATACATGTACGCGCTCGCAAAGTCCTTGGCCTCCTTGGCCATCGACACCACCTCCTTGAAGCTCTCGGCGTGCACTTTGCTGGCAGTAACAACACCATAGCTGTTGACCACGTCGCCCGAGGCCGAGAACTCCATGCCGGGCAGTTCGACAGCCTGCTTGATGAAGGACACGGCCTCGCCGGTACCGCCAATGGCCTTGAGGTGGCCGAATGCCTCACGGATCCAGTGAACAGCACGTCCATTCTTGCTGAGCGTTTCGACAGACTTGGCACCTCCGGGAACGAAGATACTGTCATACAATGTCGAACGCTGTCCCTCAAGATGGTGGTCAGCAACCACTCCCGAGCCGCTCCTGTCCTCTCCCTCGGCAAAGATCTTGTTTCTCCTTGGGGAAATGGTAAAAGGCAGAGCGCCAGCAGCCGTCAGAGCAGCCTTCATGCCAGTGTAGGCAGCCTGGTCGTAGCCGTCGGCAATGAGAATGGCCACCATGCGCGTGGCAATGGTAGGCTTCTCGGGCATGTATTCCATCTGCGAAAGACCCTTGGCCGTCTTGTTGTGCTTGGGCCGCGTCTGCTTGGTTGGCTGCTCGCCGCCAACCATTTCAGCAACGCTCTGGGCCAGTCCAAGATCAATGTCACACAGACGCTGACAGAGGCGCTCGTACACAACAGCGTCGTCGCAGTGGTCGAGCTCAAACGCGAAAGCGTCTCGCATGTGCATCTTCTCGTTCTCCGACATGGAGTTGTAGAAGAGCTCCGCCTGGTTCTTATGCTCCCGGAACTTCTTGCTCTGCATGCGCGTCTTGATGCCCGCCGTCTTCTCCGGGAATTCAACGTAACCGCCCTCCTTCTCCGTCGCCGGTGGCACAGTCTGGAACCGGTTAGGCCAGTAGTTAACCTTGCCCTTTGTAATCGTGTGTCGCATAGCACCGTCACGGTTGAAGTTCATGACAGGGCACACTGGCTTGTTGATGGGCAGCTCTTCCCAGTTGACACCGAGACGAGACAGCTGAGTGTCTTGGTAAGAAAAGTTGCGGCCCTGGAGAAGAGGGTCGTTACTGAAGCCGATACCGGGGACGATATGGCTAGTGCAGAACGCAACTTGCTCAGTCTGGGGAAAGAACTCGTCGGGGTTCTTGTTGAGCTCGAGCTGACCAATGTATCGGATAGGAACAAGCTCCTCGGGCCACACCTTGGTAGCGTCGAGGATGTCGAAGTCGAAGTCGTGCTCCTTGGATTCGGGGAGGACCTGGATACCAAACTTCCACTTGGGGTACGCACCGCTCTCAATCGCCATCCACAGGTCTTTGCGATGGAAGTCGGGGTCCTGCCCAGCAATCTTCAGTGCCTCATCCCACACGAAGCTGTGCACACCAAGCTCAGGCGTGAAGTGGAACTTGACAAAATGCCGCTCTCCCTTGGCATTGACGAGCGTGTACGTGTTGACACCAAATCCTTGCATCATACGGTATGAGCGAGGAATGGTGCGGTCAGACATGGCCCACATAAACATGTGCGTGGCTTCCGGGTGCATGTACTGAAAGTCCCAGAAGTTGTTGTGTGCAGATTGTGCCTGAGGCACTTCGCAGTCTGGCTCCGGCTTGCCAGCGTGAATCACATCGGGAAACTTCATCGAGTCTTGGATGAAGAAGACTGGGATGTTGTTGCCCACAATATCCCAGTTTCCTTCATCCGTGTAGAACTTGACGGCAAAGCCGCGCACATCGCGAACGGTGTCTGCAGAGCCGCGGCTGCCCAGCACTGTGGAAAATCGCACAAAGACTGGAGTCTCGCGTGAAGTGTCTGTCAGGACACCTGCTGATGTGACGTCCTCGGCCGATTCAAAAAGGGTGAATTTTCCAAAGGCACCAGATCCACGCGCGTGGACGACACGCTCAGGAATCCTCTCATGGTCAAAGCGGTGGATCTGCGAGTGTTAGCCAACTCGCGTGGCGGGGTGGGTGGGTACGGTGAAGCATACCTTCTCACGAGCAAACTGATCCTCGAGGAGCGTAGGGCCTTCTTGGTCTTCGGTGGCAACCCTCAGCCAGCCGTCTGTGTTGCTCTGCTTCACACCGTAGTCGCTGGTGATTCGCCATTTGTCATCGTGGACGTCCTTGGTGACGGCAGCAAGCTGCGCCATCTTGCCCGTCTTCTCTCCAACGAGGTCCTTGGCCTTCTCCGAAACATTGCCTAATATTTCTGACGCCATGTTGTCTGCCTGGAAAGTTGAGTCGGCTGGCGGTTTCGATTGTCCAAGGGTTTTGCCTGACCGCGGGCTTCCTTATGTACAGCAGCGCGTTGCCAAAGTGCCTGTTTACGTCTTGACGTCATGGCGACGTGAATCCACTGTCGTTCCGCATTGAGATGCCTAGAGCCTCTGTCACACAGCTCTAAACGGGTCATTGACCGCGCTTTGACGACACGCCGCAAAGTGGAGTTGATGCAGCCGGCCAATGGCAACGTTGATGATGTTCGATGATCGCGGTTTGTACGATTGCCATCGACTGCCGAACGACGCCGATATGCGATGCGCGATGCGAGATTCGACTTTGCCATGTGCCACGCGCTCGAGCCCAGCCGTTGTTCATTCCAGATTGGCATGCTGAGCAATCGCACATCTATGACAGCTACCGGTCCCTTCTCCTGCTGTGCGTCTAGCCATAGCCTCTTTCCCGGCGAACGAACCTCAGTCTGCCGACCATGGCGAGGTGGGCTGCTCGAGGATAACTCGTTGTGACGTCATGCATATGACGACTTGAAGCCCTCCACGTGTGTGCCCCGCACCAGATGTCCTCACTGTGACGGGCAATGGACATAGGGGAAAAATGATAATCTGCGACTGGGTTACGCACCCACCATGCGCAGCCTGAAAGTGTATCGATGTACTAAGTGCGGAGGAAGGAAAAAAATAAGACGCGTTGTACTGCATAAGAGGCCGGATCAACCGGGACAAAAGCCCTTGCCGCAGCCAGTAATGCAGGTTTCGCTATCGGGCGCCAGATGCCATTGAGAGAAGTCTCGGCCGTCGTGTGCTGAGAGAAGTCTCGCCAATTTCAAAAGCATCGTCTGCTCGAGGAAAGCAAGTCACAAGTGCTGTAACGTGACGCGTGTCGGAAGCCACCGTGGAGATTCCGGAGGCTACTCCGCACAAAAGACTTCGGAGGGAAGGCTCATGCACATGCAGTTTGCGAACCACGCTCCAACGCTAGTGCATGCAGCTGCTCTTGTTTTCCCTAGGCCAAACGGTTTCCAAGATGTTGCATTGGTGGCCCGCTTTGTAATGCAAAAGCGACCAGGATGCTGCGGAAGTCGCGAGAGCGCGAGAGCTTTTGGGCTGGACAGTGCCGATCCACCAAGGGGATCTGCAAGAGCAAATGGTAGCAATGGCAGCGTCCCTTGCAACAGTTGCAAGCCGCGGTTGTACGGATAATCTGCCACCAATGACAGGGCCCGTGTAGATCTTTCAATGTACACGCTGCGTATTGGCATCAGTGCCCAATCTTGCATTGGGTGATCTGCTGCTCGTGTGGTACGTAGACTGTGTACCTTGCATTTGTACCTCAGGCGTCCGTATGTTCCGGAGGGAATTGGGACGGAGCCAGTGGACTTGGCGAGCAGGCGAGCAGGCGAAGAGAAACAGAATTCGTGGGCTTGGTGGTTGCAGCATGTCTCGGATCGTTATCGTTGGTTGCCATTGAACAGGCTTCTCGGAAGAGAACTCGGCACAAAGAGACCGGCATATGTTGAGTGTCATGCGTTAAGGCATCATCTGCGTCGGGGTCGTCGGCTCATGATAAAGGATATGCAAATCGCTGATTCGGAGCCAGCGCTTGCACACGTGACGGCCTACTGCTGCGGGTAGTGGCTTGAGATGCCCCCCCCCCAGTCTCCTTATACATGAGCGTGCCGGAAGCTGGCACATGTACGCAGGGAATTGACGATACTTGGACCAGTAGGAGTTGAACAGCTGCAGGATGAATTCTCAAGCGGGACAACATGACTCCGGCAAGTACCGCCCATGGCGCCTTGTGGGCTCTGTAAAAAAGTACTGCACTCAGATCAGGCCATGCCTGTCACTGTGCAAGCGTACTGTGTAGACGCGCCTGGCCCAGCTAGCACCACGCATCTCGGACGCAGATCCTCTTGCAGCAAATGGGCCAAGAAACAGACCTCAACAACATGCAGGATTCGCGTGCTATCGTCGGCAGCAGGATGAGTAGCCGCGACAGACAGCGCAAAGGTCCTTTAGTCAAGACACGTTTTTTCCTTGTTCGGAGGCGGGGCAGACCCAGTTCTTATCGTCGCTGCTGACGCGACCCTCGCCCAAGGTTGACGTACGATGGATGAAAGACAATGTCAGCGGGGTCGGATGGCTCTCATGTATCCATGTCCAAGTGGAGCGGGGCATGCCGTGCCTCTTTGTGGGCTTTCCCCTCATTAGGCTGAGTAGCTTCCATATACGAGGCCTGCCCGATGCGAGACATAGCCGTGAAGCGTCTCGATAGGATAGCGAGCGGAGGAGTTGAAGGGGGGTAGGGGAGGGTAGGGGGAGGGAAGGGCCGCTGTCACAAGCGCAGCGCAGCGCACTGCTGGCGGCATGGGCGCAGCTTGACGTAGCGCTTTGCGTACGGTAAGCGCAGCCGAGACATGGCATGCTGGAGATCGTCGGCAGACTCACTTGTGCATTTTTTTTTTTAAATTGCTACCATCTGACAGTCGCGGCCGCTAGGCGGGCTCCAAGGGCGCAATGGAGGCCCTGTGTGTGTGGCTCTGTCGAGCAACCCCACACTGCTGCGATCTGCCCGTGTCTGACCAAAAGAAAAGAGCAAAAGGGCAGATTGCCGAAAAAACGCCGGACCGCATTGCTGGTCAGATGAGGCTGCTGTGATGCGGGCGATGGGGCCATGGGGCCATGGGAACAAGCCACATGCAGTGCCGCAGGAGAAGCGAGCAGCCCTCATGTGCAGGGCGCTCAGTGCAAGCGGCCAAGCGTGGGCGGGCGAGGGAAGCTTCGAAACAGGGCCTGGCTCGCGGCGACGAGGGCCATGGGGTGCATTGAGGCGCGACAAGAGTGTTGCAGGTATACGACGTGTGTTGCTTTTTTGCTTTGCAGGCCAAAGCCAAAGCCAAAGCGCGCGATGGGCGCGGCACGGATGGTGCTGTTGCGTGTGCCAAAACAACCCAGGCCGCGTTGCTTTTGGATCATCGACGGCGCGTCTGCGCTGTGGAGTTCCTGGTCGCACAGGTCGATCAGGTAAGAGCGGGCCGAAAGGCTAGAGCGCTTTGGGCAACGTGTCCACCGCTACCCCTGCCGCCGTTGGAGAGACAAGGGACAAGAAATCTGACAGGCTACACAGCAGACGCCGGACCGCCCTTGTATCTCCATCGCGATGCGCCGCGCCGTGCAACCACTCTGGCCGCCGCCCGCACCCATACAAGACATGATCACAATGGCACTCGACGTGACGGCTGCTGCGTCTGCCGCCGTGTCGAGGCCGGCACCCGGGCAGTCACATCTGCTGGCGACGGCGACGGGTCCGTTGCTCGCCCTTCACTATGCGTGTTTCAAGCGATGCTGACATTGCGAGGCCAGCTTGGCAAGCGCATGGTTGGTGGCTCGTTTTGCACTTTTGTGCCGTTCATTTCCTGGCCGAGCCATATGGATGTCGGCGGATGTGCGAGCAGTTCCGTCTTTGACACGCCCAAGACAGACGCCGATGCGCCGTGTGCACCTATGTATCGGCCATGTGCCGATGTGGTAAGAACATCATGACGCTTCACGCTGGCCGGGCAAGACGCGAGAGAGAGAGAGAGAGAGCCATGACGGGCGGACGGGCGCGAGGGTGGCTACTGTGGTATGCAAGGGCGGGCTTCATGATTGTCCTCGTCCATGTAGCACCCGTGTTTGTCCGCCATGGTGCTTTTGCTTGTTCGCCGCGTCGAGCAGTAGCCGTTGAGACGACCGGGGTGCCATGTGCCAATGGTGTGCATCCGGGACACGAGCCAGGGTGACTTCCTCAGGAGTCCGGCCAAGGCGCGTGTGGTGAGGGAGCGACGCTGCTGCTTGAGTCGAGGCTTGAGTCAGCCGGCACCGCCAGACTCGAATTCGTCGTCGCCAATAAATGCTGGCTGGCCATGCCGGCCGCTGGCGTGACAGGCGACGGCGCAGCGGTGCTGGTGTTGCAACCTGTATCTAATGCGACGGACGGCACGGCGCCGTGCAGTGCCTATGTATGTACATGGCGGGCGGGCAGGGCGGGCAGGGCAGGGCCCATTATTGCAGGCCGATTCTGCAGCCGCCGTGGTACGAGCCGGGCAGGTCAAGTCAGCCCTGTGTGTTCGTCTGTCACGCCAATGCCAGAGCGTGACGAGCGAGCGAGCGAGGGTGGGTGCTGTGGGCGTCCAAGGAGAGGAGGAGGGAGGGAGGCTGCTAGGCTGGAGACGACGATAGCGTTTGCAAGCGGGTGAGTGTCGGGGCCCCCCGTGGCCCAAGGCCCATGAGCGGCGTGGTTTGGGTGAGTGAGTTTGCGAGGGGAGGGGGGGAGCGAGGGAAGGGAAGGGAAGGGGACTGCACATGCACAGTGGCGGTTGGCTGCACTCGGGCGGGTGCCGGGCGAGGGTGCGGAGACCCTGGGCTGGGATGGCAGAGCTGTATACGCATGTGTGTGGACGTACCGCTAGGAGGATGGATGGATGGATGTGTCTGTGTCTGTAGTATGTATGTGTGTGTGTGCGTGTGTGTGCGTGTGTGTGCGTGTGTGTGCGTGTGTGTGCGTGTGTGTGCGTGTGTGTGCGTGTGTGTGTGTGCGTGCGTGCGTGCGTGCGTGTGTATGCACCCAGGCTGCAGGCGGGGCGGGCGGTGGTGAGGAGAAAGCGCGTGGGGCGTGATTGGAGTGTTTGCGGGCATGGGCGGGCATGGGCGGGCTGCACTGGCGCTGGGCAGGAGGCGGGATCACCCTGGCTGATGCGCTGCAGGCGTCGAGGCTAGCAGCTCCGCGTATGTATGTCCTGGTCTTTCCGCACGGAGCCAACGGCTGTACAAGTCTGTCGCGCCTCGTTGCAAACGGGAGCGAAGGGCAATCTAACAATCTTTCGACGGTTACCGTCAGGCTGGCTCGCTGCAATGCCTCTGTTATAAAACTCTCTTTGCTGCCCGCCCGTATCCCTTTTGGACGCTCCGACCAATTCCCTCCCCTCCTGCTCCTGCTCCTGCTCCTGCTCCTGCTCCTGCACCTAGCTTGTGTCCGTCTGTCTGCTGGCCTGCCTGTCGATGGGAAGCGGGGAAGGCGCGGCCGCTCGGCGGTGGCGGGGGAGGGCGACGCTGCTCGACGAGAGCAGCAAGGCGGGGCGGGTCGTGGGCGGCGGCGGCGGTGATTGGCGGACGGGGGGGCGGCGAGCTCTTGCCTGGTGCAAACGGCAGCTGTGGCAGCTTGAGACGGGAGACAGCAATGCGCAGCGCAGCTCGACGGGACACGGCTGCTTCTCACGGCACGCGCAGGGGACGGAGCAGAAGGGAACGGGCGCGAGTGCGAGGCTCACGATGGATGGTGCGGGTGCGGGCGCGGGCTGGCCAAGCAGGCGACGGAAGAGGAGCAGTGCGAATCGAGGCGGATGGAGGCGAACGGTAGGGCGCCAGACAGCCAGCGACGGGGACTAGGCGGGGGGGGGGGGGGCGAAATAGGCAGGTGGGCGGATAGGTGGGTGGACAGATGGATGGATGGATGGATGGGTGGGTGGATGGACGGATAGATGGATGGATGGACAGGCAGAGGTAGTAGGTAGACGAGCAGACCGCCACGCCCGACAACATGTGCACCAAGGTTGTACACAAGTACGGCTGCGGCCACGAGATTGCAGAAAAGGCCCCATGCGCAACCTCGAGGACAGCGCCGTGCGGCGTCTCCAACACCAAGACGGTCAAGCACGACGAAAAGTGCGACAGATGCGACCATTGACACACACGGTACGCCCGCCGCCGCCGCCGCCTCCCCTACCTACTCCCCTACCTACCCCCAACCCCACCCCACTCGTGCTCGCCATGGCTAACACGTCGCCCGTCTAGCGCGCGCCCCTCGCGTGATTCGCGCAGATGCCGTCTCCCTGCTCCTGCTCCTGCTCCTGCTCCTCCTCCCTCTCCACACCTCTCCATCATCCACTTGCACCGCTGCGTGCCTTGGCCACTGCGGCTCCATGCTGCTCCAAGCACCGCATGGCTGCTCCTCTCCTCTGCCACGCCATGAGCCTCGGCCGCCGTTTCCCGCGAGCACTTGGCCGCCCCTCAAAGACTACACTTGACGGCGTCACGGCATCGAAAATCAAAAAGTTTGGGCGTTTTGGGCGCACGGGACCTTCCTTGGACTCTGGGCTTCCCCAGGTCAGGCGTTTTGGGATACAGGCTGGTGTTGCAAAACACTTTCTCACTTGTACTACTCTACAGCTTCTCTTTGCCCTGTCTCTCCTATCTTTCCTCTTCTCTCTTGTCTACTTTCATGGATACCACGCTTTCCTAATTGGGTCGCGCAATGCGCCGACGCCCGGCCACATGGCTGCTTTCTTTCTGGTCTTGGCATTGCTGCCCCCGGCACTGTTAGTATTGTTGTTGTTGTTGTTGTTGTTGTTGTTTTGCAGCCTCTGGCCCCGCAACGTTCACGAGAGAGCAAGTGCAGTTATACGAGCAAGTCAAGCAAAGTCAATCAATGCCTATGTAGGCGCCCGCAGCAGAGCCCCTTTGGCTTGATGCAACGGGCAGCCGTCTTAATCCACATGTCGAGCTCCTGTTTGCATGGCGCGACTGGCGCGCATTGCGACACAAAGCCAGCGACCAATGACGCCGCGCTGATCTGCACCACAGTCTCACGCCCGCCAGCAGCCACATGCACTGCCGTTTTTCGCCAATCTTGCTTAGTCCAGCTCCTCTGGCGACGGCTTTGCACCAGCCGTCGGCCGCGACGCCGTGTCAGATTCACGAGCCCAGGCGCTTCGTCGCTCGTTATATTGGCCCTGAGCAGCTTGTCAAACACCATGGCCCCAAAACCCTTGTCAGGCGAGGCCATCGGGCCAGGGCGCCGTCTATTCTTGGACCATGATAGGATGATGAATCAAACACAGGTTCTGTCGTGCCGCACACATGCAAGGGCCTAGTATCGGGCGTAGCACCCGACATGGACAGGAGGGCAATATGCCAGACACTTGGTCGCTGTCCTGCCGAGGCGCGGGCCGTGGCAGCTCCACGACGGCTACCAGCTCAGATGCTGCAGTGAGCAGCGTCCAGCCCAGCATGCTGCAAACTCGACTGTCGAGCCACCGTCGATGCGCAGGCAATGAGCCAGCCGGCCAGGACAGCAGAGTGCCAAGGCCTTCTGTATGCTGAGGGCCCCCGATCGCCAACTAGCCCGACGTGACAGGTATATGTGCACCTGATGCAAGTCGAGCTGGGCATCGCCTTATCTGCGGCCGCGCTTCTAGAAGACACGCGGGCTGACTAGGTGTAGTGTACTGTCCAGCACTTTGCAACTGGGGAAGCGTTGGCCCAAAAGTTGAGCCACACACAGACGTGGCCGGGCGGGCAGTGATTGCGGTGCATCCTTGACTCGCGCAAAGTACCCAGACACCCACTTCACATAAGTAGCTGTCCAAGAGCCCACAGCCGTCGCGCGGAAGCGCTTGAGCGCGTGAGGGGCTTTGGCGCGCCCTTGCTCCGCGTCGTCTGGCTTAATTAAATGCCCTGTGGCAGATGGTCGGCATTGGCTCTCTCGGCGAAGAGGATCAGCGCCATGCGGGCTTCGCAGCCGAGAATCGAGTCAAGCGGGCACAGTGCGGTGCGGAAGACAGGGTGTCAATGCAGACGTGAGTGCGCCCGTCACATCCAGAGGTTGTGTCAAGAGTGTGAAGAGATGAAGAGCGCCAGCCATGACTTGGGGCGCAGGGCTGCTGACTGGCCCGCCGCTCGGCATCGTCGCTGGCACTGGTGCGCCCGGCCCGGGTGGTGGCTGCCGCATTCGGCCATGGGCCAGCCGCACCCGTGTCTTTTCTGTCGTCAACTGATGCCCGCCCACGCCCGCTCAATCTCCCGCCATGTCGATTGACATCAACTGGCACACCATCACCGGCGGCGCAGAGGGCTCCGCTCGTGCCGAGACGATCCGCGCCTTTATCCATGACCGCTTCCAGCAGGTGACGCTGCCGCGCTTCATCCGCTCCGTCCACGTGCACTCGTTCGACTTTGGCACCGTCGCCCCCGAAATTGAAATCAAAGACATCTGCGACCCACTGCCTGATTTCTACGAGGATGATGCGGATTATCCGGACGACGCCGAGTTTCCGGCCAGCGAGACGGGCGCCGACCCCAAGGCTCCAGCACCACGACCTGACGACAAGCTACGCGAGTCGAGAGACGCATCCGCCCGTCCACCAAGGGACGGCCATTGGAAAGAACGGGGTCGTGAGACAGCACACGTAGAGCAACCACTCCACCCTGACCATGGCCGAGTACGCCCTTTGCAGCCCGCCGCTCGCCCCTCGACCAAGCGGGCGTCATTGGCTCCCAACGAGATAGGCAGCCCATTCTTTCCTGGCTCCCTCACACCAGGCATTCCCGGTGGCACCTCCAACATGAACTACTTTCATCTTCCTCTGAGCGCAGGCCTGTCTGGCGCTGCAACGCCGCTGGCCGCCGTTGCTGGCGCACAGTTACACACCTGGCTTGACAATTCTCATGGCCGGCCAGCAACACCGACCAATATGCGTCTCCGGCACGCTGCATCTGTCAACTCGCTAACGCTCACGCCACAATCCCATCCAGACCCTAGCTCGCGCCCTTCTTCACGGCACCAGCACGACGACGGCAAGAGGCAGTCGTTTGCTGGGTCAGACGATGGTGCTTCTCAACAAGGCTTTGCCCGCACGCCATCAGTGTCTCCCCACCGCATGCACGAAAAGAGCCCTGATGATATCCAGGTCGTGACACACGTGCAATATTCGGGCGATATCAAAATGTCCCTGACTGCAGAAATCCTGCTAGACTACCCCATGCCAAGCTTTGTCGGCATCCCCCTCAAACTGAACATCACTGGCCTCACGTTTGACGGCGTTGCCATTCTCGCATACATCAAGAAGCGGGCCCACTTTTGCTTCCTGTCGCCTGACGACGCAGACGCCTTGGTCGGCACCGACGCTGGGTTCAACGGCCTCCAGACCGACGCCCAAGGCCAGAATCCACGCCCGGTGCCGCGACCCAAGATTGGAGGGCTACTGGAAAACATCAAGGTCGAAAGCGAGATTGGCGGCCAGGGCAGCGGCAAGCAAGTGCTGAAGAATGTGGGTAAAGTAGAGTCATTTGTCTTGGAGCAAGTCCGGCGCATATTCGAGGATGAATTCGTATACCCAAGCTTCTGGACCTTTCTCATCTAGTCTTATCAAAACAAGACCCTGCGCCATTGCCACTAGACCAATGTGCCCCCAAATTGCCTTCATTACAGCATAGTATCGAGGCAATTCGTCACGGCAAAAATAACACGTCGCTCAAGGCACACGGATAATCACTCAAGCACAACAGTTTCCTTTCGGCGTGCCTTGGGCAGCTCTACCTACGGTCACCAGCATGCGTAGACGCTTTTTTGCATGTTACACAGGGTGTCCATCCCCGCTTTTGAGCGACGGTTACTGCCCAAGGCGAGTGTGTGCCCATTGCAGCATGGAACATGCACTGCAAGTTTTTCTTGTCCATCAATCACGCAACGACTTTTTTTTTTGCAAGGTGCATTCCCATTGACATGGATTAGCGCCACTGCGTTCGGATGGGTATTCGCAGAAGCGATGAAGGACAGCATTTTGACAGGTATGTTACTTGACAGCGGGAGTGACAGCATCAAACCATTGTCGTACCACCTCTGGACAGAGTACACACGAATCAGATGCTTTGTTTTGCGTCACTCGGTGCAAGTGTTACCTGCCTGTCAAAAATCAAGTACGTACCCGTCCCGAAACCAACGCCCCAACACAACAGGGCGACGTCGCCTTGCATGCACATGCGCCCTCTTCTGTGAGCTAGCCGCATATACTATTCACCAGTCCCATCTTTCTTGCTCTGCCGTCTCCCGTACGTGCCCCCATGTCCCATTGCTGGATCATGGTGTCAGTGTTCTTACTGTGACTGGCACTGGCCATTTGACACACAGCTGACCGGTGAGCAAAGCCTTGGATTTGACAGGCCCTGTACTAGCATCATGGAATCGCCGATAGCCAGCACTACTCTCGATGAATATCATGTCTTGATACGTTTACAGTAAATCAGTGGAAATGCTACGTAGAACTATCGAAGTGGGTGGGTGCCTCCAATCCAATCATGATGTGCCAACAAACGAACCTCCTGCACGACGGCCGAATTTTTTTCTTTCTCACAGAACTTGCGCTTGGCTCTGGATTGGACTTGGTGGTAGTAGTGTATGTAGGAGTATACGCGTTCGCATCCAAACACGACTAGATAATAACCCCAAGACAAGATGGGAGGTTTTTCGGCCATGAATATTTACACAATCTATTCCTGGGACGACCACGACCACTACTACTACTTACTACTACCCTTGTCCTGCCTTCAATTGCTCATTCGTGATCGGCCGATAATATCGCTGCTACTGCGGTTATTCTTGCCCACATACACCCAGACTAGGGAAGGGGGGGGTGTCCCCCTGCCCTGCCCTGCCCTGCACTGCACTGACGGCACAATGCTTACGTGTGTAGTAGTGGTCGGTTACACGGGAACCACCCCTCCCCCTGATGCCTCCCCGCGAAACACTGAAACAGAAAAATCTCTCGGTCTTGGTACTGTAATTTGGTGACCGTTGAGTCTAATGTTAGATCGACGACTAGGGGGGTGGATATGTAATCTATCAATCTGTCAATCTGTCAATTAATCAATCAATCAATCTTTTTTTTTGGGGGGGGGGGTATTGGCATTGGCATGCGTGCGTGCACATGCCAAGTCATTTTGTGAATCAGTCAGTCAGTCAGTCAGTCCGTGCCTCTATCTATCTATCTATCTATCAATCTCCTATACATACATACCATTATTCCTCTCCACCAAAACCTAGGATACATACATCACCCAAGTCATCATTTTCAAACTTCTATCCGTGTTTTATCTTCTTAGCTATGAAAATAAAATCAGAACATAATAAAATCAACCTAAAATTCAATCTTACATGTATATATATATATATATATGCGCACTGATCAGCCTGTTCGTTGGATTCAGCTGCATAGCGTGGAGTTTTGACTTGATTCCTGCATTCTGCATTCTGCATGCTGCACCATCGAACAACCGACCGACTGACCGACTGACCGACCGGCCCGATGCCAGATTGATTGATAGATAGATATCTACACAGATAGATAGATAGGCAGTAGTAAACACAGCCTCAGGCTAAAGTATTCAAGTACGGTGGTAGGGGGAAGCACATGAACAGGCAGTAATCCGGCCAAATGTTAAAAATCGGGGAAAAAAAAATACATACATACATACATAAATGAGATGCATTTGGGGAAAATGGGGCTTGCGTGAGGCTATTGCTGCAGCGTATTTGTAGGGCGTGTGTGTGTGTAGCGTGTTTAGATGTGCGTTAATGTTAGGTAGAACAGGGAGAAAAAAATGGGTCTGGCTATGCGGGCGTAAGTAGTAGGGTAGGGCCTACGTAGTACTTAGCCGCCTAAGGGGATTAGTTGGTAGGGGTATGGATAGGGTTTTGTATGTATGTATGTATGTATGTATATATGTATGTATGTATGTAAGAAAGAGAGAAAAAAAGAGTCGCAATTTATGAACACGTAATAGTCGCACCGAATCCATACTATGTCCACGAAGAGGGGGGGGGACTTTTCTTTTCTCTTTTTGTTTAAGCAAGTACATAGCTAGCTAGCTAGCTAGTTGGATGATTAAACACCCCTGTTTTTTTTCACAGCTACTAGCATAAAATGCTTATCGTCTATGTAGGATTAGATATGTGTGTGTGTATATACGAGGACGGTTTGGGTTTCACCGCTGCCACTGCGGAATTAATTAAAAGCACTAGAAATGGCGCTGGTGGGCGGTGAGTGCAAGGGAGCGAGAGACACATAGCGAGGGAGAGGGAGAATGACGAGTTCACTACGACTACATATGACTATGGCTATGACTACGCCTATGATGATGACAAGACAATCATATGAATCTCCCCCTCCAAATATCGACCTTCCTACCCATCTACACAACCCTGCATATACGCGTTATCACCATCATCATTATTATTACCATGCTTATTCCAGCCTTCCAACTCATGTCCACGGAGCAAGTTCCGAACCCATAAAGCTAATCCTAAAAAAAAGTATGGCCCGCATATATATAGCATACCAATAGAAAGATGGATTTTTATAGTTTCGAAACAAATACGCCAAGGAAATGGCAAGTGGGAAATGGAGGGGGGATGAGATACTTAGATGAATGTGGGGCCGTCGCCGATGGGAAAATATAGATTAGCGAGATTTGGGTGCAGGGAGGTAGGGTTTTGGATGGGAAGGGGGGAAAAGGGGGACGACAGGGAGTTGGAGGGTGAGTGGAGTGAACTGGAGGGCAAGGGAAGAGAGGGAATAGAGAGGGGAAAACTGTGTGTGCTGTGTGAGGGCGTTTCGCGCGTCTACATAACTCGTATCACATCGTATGTTCTTACCGTTATCGCAATACACAACTAGCTAGCTAGCCAGCTAGACATATAGATAGAACCGTATGTCCATAGATAGCTAGACACACGAAGCCATGTACGGACAGAAAAAACGCATGCATTGAGAACATGCGCATGGGGTGATACGAGACACACCCGTATGCACGTGGCACACGCGTGGATGGGTGCGGGTGAGATATTCCCTCCCTCTCTCTCTCTCTTTACATTATCCAGGACACACCAACACCAACACCAAACAACACCAAAAAAAAATTCGTCCGTGTAAATTGATGGGCCTGGTGGGGCTTCGGGCGGGGCGGGACGCAGGTGTAGGGGGGTTAGCTGAGGAAAGAGAGACTAAAAAGAGAAAAAAAAATAAAAGGATGAAGAATTGAGTGGACTAGTGTTTTGATGCACCTCGTTGCGCCTCGGCTCGGCCTTAACGATGTTTGTAGGTATCGACTGGGAGATACCCTTGTTTTCACGGAACATGGACAGGCATGGGTATGGATCAGGGGTGGGGATGTGCGATGGGTGTATGGATATAATCCTTGTTTGATTTGGCTTGTCTTGGTTTTGAGGGGCCGAGGGCAGAGTGAGTGAGTGGGTTTGTGGGTTAGGTTGAATCTAGAACCTGTGTGTTTGTTTAGTTTTTTGTTTCAAAACTTTTGTGTCTGTGTATACACACAGAATGGCCCTTGCTAGGGTGTCACACGATTGGTGGGACTATGCAAGATGCCTTTTTTTTGGCTTTCTCGCTTGCATGGCGTCATGCGACAATAGGATTACTTGCCTTTTGTAGGTATGCAGATTGTATGCGCCGAATTGGTATCGTGTGGCATGGGCCGGTTTCATAACACGATTATGGCAAGGCGAGTGCTTACGTGCTTGGTGCTGGGATGGCGACATGGTAAGGTTGAGGATTGAGTTTGGAAAGAGCAGATACGATGGTGCCAAGGTCAGTGCTTGGGTAAGCGTCTGGCGGTGTAAGGCGGTGCTTGCTGGGTGGATGAAACATTGGCAGTACTTGTGACTCGAAGGTGTAGACGATTTTGGAAGTAAGTGTGTGGGGTGCAATTGCAAATGTTTGGTAGAGTTGAACGGGCGTGTATAAAGCCGTTTTCTGCAGATAGCTTTTGGTACAGATATTGTGCTGAACGAAAGAGCACGATTAATGTCCTAGACAGGACTTGAGAATGGAGCTTTTGCTACTATGGCTGAGAAATTCTTGTGCTATGCTAGCACACTTCATCAGTGGACGCTATTTCACACATTGTTCGCTATGGTGCTTGATTCTATTTCCATGGGCCTATTGTTCTCCAGTAACCTATCCCTCCAGAAGAGCTGAATGGCTAACAAAGAAAATATACTGGTCAAACTCGTGGCAATGGTGCTTTGAAGCAGTAACACGGGTGTCTGTTATCGAGAACTGGCAGGATACGACGAGAGCATCTGATGGAAAGCATGCGGTGCCGTTTGATGTGCATAAAGCTAGAGAAACACCTCTATGAGTGTTGGCATCGCCTCTTATACCCAGTATGGCCCTGGAACCACACTAGTATCTACCTTTACAACTTATTGTGGTATGCCTCAAGTTTCGCATGACGAGAATTGTGGAATTCCAACTGGAATGGTAGAATTGGCCTTGGAGAATGTTTGCTACAAAGATGGTAACCTAGGATCAGAAACTTGACAACGGATGAATCATATTACATACATAGATCAAAGTTGGCTAGTATGATACTATCAAGAGTACGAACACAACAGGCTGGGGTCAAAGTGAAGTTGGTGTGTATGATGTGTCAACATAGCTTGCAGTACTATATTGTGGGAATATACCATGTGGATAGAACTACTAACTTCGATTAGTAGGGGATCCTTTAGTCACTTTCGCTGAAGATTAACCTGCCCTATCGTCTTTTGGTTTCCTTATGACATATTGTGTTGACAAAAAGTCAATATAAAGCGTGATACAGACAGAGGAAAACGGTCTACGTTCTCTCAGAAGAGACTTTTTGCTCTTCATGAAATTCATCTCTTCTATCAATTGTTGGCTATTTCCAGCTACTTACATCTGTCAGAGACTAACTACCACATTTTTTGGGTCCTTTGCAGCTCATGACATTATAGAGCAACAACAGCCAAAACAGTTCTGTCGACAGAATCAAGGCAAGTTATCAGAATTTAATGGGAGTCAAAATGAGTAATTGTAAAACATGGGGTTTTCTAAACGAGGGTGAACTCTCGCTGTACTAGTTCGAATACAACGCTTGTAGTCTGAGTACTTTCCTCTGTAGTTTGGAGAGGGACAGTAAATTGTTATGCGTAACACTAGCGGATGCTCTGATATATAGATAGAATGACGGCCTGACAATAGTAAGTCCGTGTCATGGTTAAGAATTGCATTTGATTCACAAGCAAGAACCCTTTACTATACCTAAAAGGAAAGGAAAACACCGTCACTCTCTATCATGCCTATCCCTAACAGTATCTTCTTGGCTCAATAGTGTTACAACACCTTACTTGGCACGTTCAACTGTTCTTACCGAAATACCCATATCCCCTCTGCTATTTTATCAAGACTAAAAGCTAAAAGTGTCTCACGAGTGAAACCATTAGCACGTGAAAAACAATAGTGATAAGTTAGCAATTTGAACAAGCGTATAGAAATTAGCAATGACATAGTACATAATGAAATTCAAATAACAATCACTTTCTACAAAGCAACGCCAAGTACACTTCCAACTTAGTATACGGCGCAAACTTCTGTATGTTTTACAACTACTGTATCCTAGGGTAAGTGTTGTAAAATGTAGGCCGCCTTTCCGCCACTTTTGCCACCTATATTATCTCTTACTCTCTTTTTTTTCTTCTTAAATTAAAATAATATAATTTTAAAAAAACTTAGTATTTTGAAGATATATTTAACTTATAATATTTAGAGAAAAAAAGATATTTTTTAGAAGTAATAAGGTAGAATTCTTCCCTTGCTGCTAGTAAGGCTAACAAAACCCACTTTTCACAACACTTATCCCGGGATACAGTAATCCCACGCTTACTCATCAAGCCTATTCATTTCTGAATAGATCACTCCGCTTGGTGTAGTTGGTTTATCACGTTCGACTGTAATAGAAATTGTTATCGAAAGGTCCCTAGTTCGATTCTGGGAGCGGAGATTAATCTCATCTTTTTTTGCTGAGTTTCTGGCAAGGCTTAGTTGAGCTGGTGGTAATAATTTTTTGGCGGTTGGTGTGGGTGGGGCTGGGTTGTGCGTAGCGAGGAGCGATGGATTTTGGGACAACAGGGTGCTATGCAGTGACTGCAGAAATGGAGCAGCTGGTGGTATATCTCTGTTTACGTACAGTACGTAAAAAGGCACCGGTTTGTGAGCTTTAGTTTTTTTTATTCGGATGCAGTACGGCACATGTGTACGGTAAACTAAACACAAAAACCGGATGTACGGTGCAAAACCACGACAGTTATTTTGAATTAGAAACAAGAAATTCGACTAAACACCACGAATTCTGTAATTCATATGCGATTTCAGCTATGCCCAATACCCAATCAAAGCCATGATAGCCGCACCAAGAAACACATATGCGAGCATGAGACCCAGTCTCTGCATATTTTTGGTCCTCTCCTTGTCAAACAAAAAGTCCTTTGCAAGCAGCTCGACTAAGCCACTGTAGATCAAGAAGCCGGCGCTCACGGCATTCAGGACGCCTTGGAAAATCATGCTGACTCTGCTCTCAGGCGCGTAAGTAGTTCTGAGCGCCAGGCCGACGGCAATGGAAACCGGGGTGGTGAGTCCGTAAAGCGCACAGAGGGCCCAGGGCATCCAGGATTTGTCGGCTGGGAATGCTATGTTTGAGAGGCGGGCGCCGATGCCGAGGCCCTCGAAGGACTGGTGGAAGACGAGGACCGGGTACAGGGTTGTGAAGGTCGACGAGGCTACGACGCCGAGGTTCATGCCGATGATGACCGAGTGGAATATGATTCCAAATTCCAGGACGAGGAAGGCGCCGATTTGCTGGGCAAAGGAGAGTCGGGCTGCGGTGCATGTCGTGGTGATGGAGGCGTTGGAGAGACTTGCGGTATCTTTTCCTGGGGCGTCTTGATGGGATGGCTGGGCTTGGGGGCCTGCTTCTGTGTCTACGATGGTTGTAGCGTCTGGCGCCGCGGTGCGGACGAATGCACTCGAGGTCGCGTCTTCTGGCTTTGTGACACCAAAGCGGCGTTCGACGTATACTTCTGCGCCGAGATCGACGCAGAAGACGAACATGATGGAGGCTAGGACGATGGCGGCGCACCAGGGATACACGGCCCATTCTCCGCTGGCGGCGATGCAGCTGCCCGGGCCAATGGCTTCGTATGCGGGATCCAGCAGGTGGATGAATGCTGTAGCGACGATGACGCCGGAGCCGAAGAAGCGCGCGAATGTGTAGAGGCCCATGGGAATCTTCCACGAGGGCTTCCTGCGCGCGACAACGGGGAAGTATGTTACGAATGTGGAGACGAAGCCGATGACGAAGATGGAAGATATCCGGGCTCCCAGCAGACCATTGTATTCGTTCTTGCCAAGGGAGAAGTAACAAATGACGTCTGCTTGGTTGACGGTGGTGAGATCGACATGTGTCGGGTCAAAGGCCGATGCTGTCGCCATTTTGGGGTATAGTACTGCTTGAGGTTGGGAAGGCAGCGATTTCCAAGCCGAGGATTGTACAACGTTGGATATCCAACGCTGATTGTTCCCATTCATTGAAAGGGTTCATGGAAATGAGATTGACTGGCGGCCCTTTTACGTCGACGTTAATGCACCAAGTACCATGTTGGACGACTGGCGGCGAGTATTACGGATCTAGTAAAATAGAAAGAATTCGACACACGCACGGGCAGAAGACATATAGGTACTGACACCGGTTGCGCTAGGCTGTCATTTCTTTCCAAGAGCTTTGCTTAGGCTAGCTCGTTTGCTGAAATCGTAAAGTAGTTTTAGCGTTGTGAGTACGTTGGGCTTCACCAATGGTCAGGTCCGGCAGCTTTTTTTAGTAGAAAGGCAGCATGGACCCGAGGTATGCCTGTGAAATGATGGAGAGACTTTCTTGGACGAAGACGAGTGCTGATTGCCTTGTTCACCATTCAACAAAAGGCCATACATGGCCTGTGCGTCAATCGCCGGAAGACATTCGGGTGTTCGCTTCTAGGTACTCTCTTGAGGTGACGCTGTGATTCAACAAAATACATGCTCTCAATATAAATGAATAAATATAGATCTCATTACTAAAGCTTACGAAGGAACTTGCTGATGAGCATTACTTTGTGCTTTGATTCGCACATAGGCTTGGTAGGCCGTACATTAGGTTCTGCTTCAGATGGCCAGCTTCGTCTTTGCCTCTTATCTACCGAACCACATAACCAACAGGTGGGCGGCGGATTGAGGTCCTTTTATAGAACAGGCTCAGATCAGGCCGTTGTGATTCCGGCGGCGGTGGCGGTCTTGGCGGCGGTATGGGAGATCGTCTTGGCGCCGGCTTGTCTGATAGAGCATTGTTCTTCAGCGAACCCATAGAAGATTTGGTTGCTAGCATGCTAGACTGCGTCGAAGGCAAAGGCCCTTTGACCATGGGCGAGCTGCTTTTATATGAGTTGTAGGATTCGTAGAGAGTGGCATCAATCGTGGTACCAGACCAGCGCCTGGAATGTCTTGATGTGGGCTTGAGAGGACGCGAGTACGGCCATTGCTTAAGACAGAGAATGCAGACTATGAAGACAGCAAGTGTAGTTTGACCCTGTGTGGTAATGACATAAGGTATAGATTTGAGGGTTGGGTCTGCGTCGCGATCAAACGCTGGTTCAAGGTAGATGACGCGAACGATGGATGCTGCGACTAGGCTTCACGCTGCTGTTAGATTTGGCCAAATATGAAATGCATCTAGAGAGGAGGTTCACTTACATTAACATCGGTGATAGAAGTAATGTTCCCAGCGTCCTCTGGAGATACGATTCGTCCAATCTCCAAACACTGTATGTGCAGAGAATGAAAATGGCCGTGTCCAAGGCTGCATCCACTATGATCAAAGTCATCCAGAATGGAATCTGCCCACCTGTTAGCATATATACGGTGCGTTTCCAGTGCTTCGACTCACCAAGGGTATGCACGTGCCGTTCCATATATTCCAGGGCATCGGCAATTCACATTGGAAGACCATGCCAACTGTGATACCAATAATCCATAGCAAAACCAGTGTGCCCATGACTATGACAATTGCCCTTTGCTTGACTGTCTCGGCTAGACGGTAGAGGAACACCAGCGCCCCGGTCTTGGTTATGCTGACAGTCACGACAAATAGGATTGTCGAGATGAACAACATAAGCTCGATCATCTCTACGGCATCATCGCTCAATAGACATCTTGCCATCCCGAACCCCAGCGTGACGGCGATGGTGTTGATAACGGTGCTCCCGATAGCACAGCAGAATGCGACGAATATTATTACGTCGTCAATCCACGGTAGCCGACGAAGACGTTCCGATCTGCATCGTGCGACTGCTCTTGTAATTGCGGCAATAACCTGTATTGGTGAGTGAGTAGGTCAACGGGCATGGTGACAGAGTGCCTACCAGCAGGCTCGCAAGAGACCAAGCCACCATTAGTAGAAGGGTGCCATGGTTCTGAGCAGAAATGAGCGCATTCTTTTGCTCGGGTTGGATGTCACACATTATGACTACGGTGCGCCCGGAAATTGCATCGAAGTGGGCTCAATTAAATTCTGGTCGAAGGAGCATATCTGTAGCAACGTGAACATAGAAGAGGTTAGGAGTGTTAATATCTGGTGCTATAAGGCGCAAAATTTGTAATACTTTGCGAAAATGGGCTGCACCGGGGTCCACGCGTCTAGACATTGCGAGTGATAGCTTTTAGTCGTGGAGAGTACGTGCGGTCCGTACAGTTTCGCCCCAGATATCGGGACATAGAACCGAGGGGGATGGAGCTACGGAGATGAGCGAATGAGACAAAACATGGGCCGGACATGGAGCAGTATTACGCAGATCGCTAGCATCCATGCCCGGCCCCAAGGCGGAAGCCTGTCGTGAGCCGGTTCCAGATTCCGCAATCTTGGTATCTCGAGTGGCGCCACAGTAGCACGGATAATTCTTGTGTTCCGTGTATGCCAGGGTGCAGAAGCGAGAGTCGATGCCTCAGGACTGGTTTCAAGTGTGAGGAAGAAATTACCTGCCCATGTGTGCATTGACTAGCCTCAGGCAGACGAATCGCGCTGGGCATCCATGCTCTGCTAGGGCAAGGCGGGCAAGGGCAATCGTGGGCTGTCATGCAGCACGACGACAACGAAAACCGCTGTACGTAGCCACTGTAGGCCCAGCCCAACAAGACGGAGATGAAGATGAAGAAGAAGCTGTAGCCGGCAGAGTCCGGTGGTGGAGGTGGTGCAGCCCGGGGCGGCAGTAGACGTGCAGTGCAAGCATGGAGCTTGACAGCGTCGTGTGAGGGTGAAGAGCTTTCTGATATGGCCCATGCCTTGGGCCATGTTCGGGACTCGCGAGAAACAGCTGGAGTACTACTTGAGGCTAGGGGCCTGCTGGGGAGAGGGCATCGTGATGTCGCGCAGCGGCTGAGCGGGCGCCCACGTCGGACGCCATCGCATTGAGGCTGGGGAGGCCAAGGACGGGCACGGGCAGACTCCAAGGCTGATGTTTACGCAGGCGCAAGTGAGAGGTGAGAGGTGGGACAAGGGCTGATGTGACGGGTGCGAGGCGGTGGTACGTTGGTAAGGCAATGGTAAGGCGTCGCAGGCACTCGGCAGTGGGGCTTCCGGCCATGGAGTGCTTATCGACAAGGATTTTGCACCTCCCGCGCGCGCCAGAGGCTCTGCGGCTGCGTCCTTGACTTCCCCATACTCGACCGCACACCTACCCATGGTATGTCTCTTGCACTTTGCCATCCCCTCCCCGAAACCTAATTCACCATGAACTCCAGGCCCCCATCAAGAAGCGCACAACAGCACGCGCAAAGTCGGCCCGTGCAGCGCGCCCTGCAACGGCACTTCTGCCCAAGCCCGACGACATGATGGCTTTCCCCTCGTCCAAGCGCGACAAGCAGAGGATCAAGCACTCGTCCTTTGTCTCCAAGATTGAAAAGTCTTCGGCCAAGTCCCAGAAGAGGAGGCGCCCCAACAATAAGCTCATTGCAAATCTCGAGTCGCTTGCCGATGCGCTTCCTGGCGCACACGAGCATGGCGACGTCGAGGTTGCCCAGGCGCGCATTGTGCAGCCAAAGCAGAAGATGGAGAGCATGAAGAGGACAAAGGGCGCCAAAAAGAGAAAGGAAAAGCTGGAGAAGCTGGAAAAGGAACGCTTCAACGCAAACCTGGCCCAGCTGACGGCTGCGAGTGCGAATGGGCCAAAGGGCGCCCACGCGGTCCAGGATCGATGGGCTGCATTGAAGAGCCACGTGCAGACCAACATGGAGGTCAGGCCTGAGTTTGCGCAGCAATGAGCCGAACCTGCCAAAGACGAACGCCCGCCCTCATCCAGGGTTCGTTGAACCAGTCCGGCACATTCAGACCTCCCGCTGGCAGTGCTTTTACACCCACCTGCCACCATTCGGAAAACAGTTGGCCATTGCTGACGCTAGAGCGTGGCTTTAGCCTGAAGCCCGTTGTCATCTGTAGTGCATCCAACAAGGATTTTGCGCCGCTCGCGTCATGTATACGCACGAAGCTCAGGCCATGGGTTGAAAATCGACATGCAGATCGCTGCGATAGGCACAATGTATGGATGGACGATGTCGGTGCAGAAGAGATGGAGCAGCTGAGTAGCGCAAAGAGGGATATTGCAAAAAAGTTTCCAAACAGACTATGGTGGTATATCCATGTCCAACAACTACGAACAAAACCATATTCCTCTCGAAATCGTACATAGAAATGCGATCAGATATCCCGGCCGCTTCCTCTTGCCCCTTTACCACAACCCGAGCATCTTCCTCTACCACCCTCCTTGTCCCTCGCAAGCCACGTCTAGCTGTCCAGGGCAGCAGCAAATCATACATCACGCAGCGCTGCCCCCTCTCAGCCCCCAAACAACAGCTCCCAGCAGCATCCAAAACAAGCCATGATCCACTCCAGCTCGGAAAACAAAACACCACCAGAACACGTACATACTAACACCGTATCATCCCCGTGGCATCAAGCGAGGCTAGCTGACACCACCACCGCACGCAGTCCAGCCAATGACCCGGGGGGGGGTATTTCCAACTATCCAGATATGTGGCTTGCTGCCAAATCCCATTCATTACCGGGGTCCCTACCCAATCCCAAGAGCAAAACCAAACTCACACTCGATGTACTGCACGTAGCCATTTCACACAAAACATGTGGGTCTGACGATGTGAAAAAAGGGTAAGTAAGCGACAATGATCTCTTACGTTTTGAAGTGTATGAACCCAAGAAGACGGAGACAAACAAGTGGAGATACCAAGGCTTCTAGAAGCTTAGAACGAAGAAGATGATGAGAAAATAAGAAAATAAGAAAACAAGGCTTATGCAGATGTGGGTATGTGTGTATGCGTGTTGAAACAAGACACACGAACCAAGTCAATGTGTACATCCAAAGCGGGAAAAGGGAGCGAAAGAAAATAGGGGGCGGGGGGGGGGGGGGAGGAATTTGTTAAACCCCAAGGCTGCTGCTACATCCGAACCCGAAAACACATAGACACCCCGAACTATTCCTCTTTTGATTATACACAAAATTTCCTAATACACCTTTTCCTTTCTATCTCAGCCTCTTACATTTTTTTTTCTCTAGCTAGGCTTGAAAGTTTACACTCCATTCGCCACAGATTACCAGCCACACACACACAGACACACAGACACTTAACATGCGCGATGCATCTAGACCACAGCAGCACTCTGACTCTGACTCTGACTCGCCTTGCGCTACCTCGCCTCTCTACACATTCATCGCAATTCATCGCAACACCATATACTTTTCCACCCCACCACAAAACCTCTCCTGCTTTCAACACCTACCTACTAGTTTCACACTAAACACCCCCCCGCAGCGCCTCTCGTGCAGCGCAATACACTTCATTCTATCTAATCGCATCTCTTTTTTTTATTGGTGCTTACTTACATTGGGATATTCTAGTACAATCGCCTTATATACAAACACACACACACACACACACACATAGACGTTTTACATTATACTCCATCATATTATCCTCCGTCGTCGCTATTTTCTTTTCTTTTCTTTTCACTAGGAGCTCGGAGATACCTACCTACCTAGTCAACCATACACCGAGCAAAAGGAGAAGAAGAAGAAAAAAAAGGGGGGGGATGACGCAGGGTGTGTGTGTGTGTGTGTGCGGGAGGGGAAGCGACAAAGCATGCGGCAAGTAGGAAAGATAAAGCCAAAGTTCACGAGGTGTAAGAGAAAAGGGCAAAAGCAAAACAAAAAAACTAACGTATTCCATCACCAAGCGGGCCACATCACCGAGTGTGCCACTTTTTCTTGGCATCACGAACTTCACGTACGAAAGATAATGCCCCAACAATAGAACGCAATATTAACTTAGCAAGAAGGTAGGCTTACTCTAGCTGTTTAGGCCTATTATATAGGCTAGTTTAAGAGCATTTAACGCGCTGTAGTAGCCTATAACGTTTATTATTAGCAGATCTCTTAGCAGCTTTAAGGAATTACCTTTTAACCTATAATATAGCTAAATTACTAAAAGCTAACTAAGTCTAAAAAGCAAACTATTATACAATATATTCTTAACCTAGACTTATAAGGATTTGCCCTCTATCTATGTAAAGTAGTAGATATAGCGGAGAAACTACTACGCAAACAAGATAGCGAGCCTTTAGGCAAATATGTTACAAGTAACAGCAGGAAGGATCCTCTCCCCAGGTATGACAGCGGATGGTTGGGAAACCACTGGGGATCCCAACGAGTGGAACGATCATCGCGGGGCGAAGATCACGTGACTTAGCATCCCGCCAAGACATGGCCTCCGGGAGGCCACTGAGGATAGGGAAGCCAACGTCCTCCCAAACCTCCCGCCAAGATGGGAAGCCAGGGAGGACAGGACTGGAAGCAATGAGGATATAAGGATGGATAGATTTCATTATTTACTCTCGTTATAGTCAACTCAAATTGTACTTTCTTACTAGTATCTTTACTTAACAAGATTATTACTTGTTAGTCTATAGTAATACAAATTAGACTGTTAATTAAACCTTTAGTTAAATCATATAACTCTTTTCTACTAAGATATACTAGACACCTCCCACAGAGCTAATCCTACAAAGGCTCACTCGCCCTAACCTGGAACGAGATTAGAGAAGTATCAGCAATCCACCCCGTGTAACACTTTGACCACCCTTGTCTCTTGTAGAAGGATTAACCAACAGGTCGCCTAATTAAGATTCAAGATGTCTTACAATTACTCTTAATCCCAGGCAAGCAATAGTAGGCTAGTACAGGAACCCGCACCAGCGCCACAACTAGCAATTGACGACGAAATGCTGACCCTAAGTGACGACGAAGAGGACGACGAAGACGCACGAAACTTACGAGAGTTGCGGAATCTTAGGCGACAGGCCATGATCACGCAGCAGCAGATGGCTAGCATGCAAGATATAATTAATTAGCTTTTAAGCCAGCTAACGGCCACCTTAAATAAGAAAAAGGTGTTAAAGAAACCTAAGATGGCGCCACCCAAGAAGTACGAAGGAGGAAGACACGAGCTACGACCATTCCTTACCAACATGGACCTATATTGCGAGTTCAACGAAGTTCCGACCGACTAAGGAAAGATCCTTATAGCCAGTACCTATATGAAGGGAAGGGCAGCAAATTGGATCCAACCATACGTAGAAGATTACGTATCGAACAGCGCAGACTAAGGTACTAGGGCTAAGACACAGTCCCTATTCGCCAGTTGGAAACACTTCAAGGAGGAGATGGGACGCATCTTCGGGGAAATAGACGCCAAGAACCAGGCAGAGAAAGCGATAACTCGCCTAAAGCAGACCAAGTCAGTCTCAACGTATACGGCGGAATTCAAACAGCTACAGGCAAGAATTAATTAGGATAATGCTGCGCTACGAACTGTATTTAAGGCAGGTCTAAAGGAAAATATAAAAGACAGTCTTGTACACCACAAAAAGCTAACAACACTTCACGCTCTAATAGAGCTAGCCACGCGAATCAACCACAGGCTGTGGGAACAGTACGAACAAAAAAAGACGTTCTAGCCTACGACGGCCAATATGAAGAAGCAACGCAACCACAAAGACAGAGATGGAGATACCATTATGACTAGCAAGGTGCAAGAGAACAAGAACTAGAACACCTAAGGAAGGGGCTAGGACGGCCTTTCTAAGGAAGAACGCCAAAAGCGTTACGAGAAGAAGGCATGTCTCTAATGCAGTGAAGTAGGACACTTCTGCAGAGATTGCTTAAGAAACAAAGTTAGGCAAGGTTAAATTAAGATTAGGATAATCAGGAGTGGGACGCCTTACCCACCAATCACGGAACCCAACGACAGCCTCAGTGACTTGGACTTGTATGAGGAGGCGCGCCAAGAGAGCGACGAGGCCTTTGAGATGGTACAAGAAGCTTTAGGAGCTAAGAATGTCTAATGGGACATACCACAGGAAATAGATTAGAAGATTAACGGGGCCGAGATTTAGAGCCGCCTAAGGAATCACCAATGCTGGGTCTGCGGAGACGCCGCACACCAGGCAGACGATTGCCATTAGCAGGAATGTATCATGATTACGGGCCCTAATGCTAAAGAAATTGGGTATTAAGCGATTTACGAACAACCACGCTTTAAGAGCTCTAAGGCTTAAGTTAAGGAATAAGACCCTCACACGTTTAAGACACGCATGACGCGGCATAAGGATTTGCACTAGGTCAACTACAACTAGAAGCAATGCAAGACGCATTACTAGGAGAAGCAGATATTAAGGAAGAACGACAATAACTGTTGCCACGCACACCTAGAGACAGACGAATGTCTAGTGGAACAATGTCATATCTATGAACCTGAGAAGCAAGATCGAGCTCACCAATAGCTATGTTGGGTGAACTGCGATAGCATGTGTCGATACCATAGGATGCAGTACAAAGAAGCCTTAAACTTGGCCAGCTACTACTACATAATAGTAAATGCTGAGGAATGTAATGCAATAGAATGTCGTATGCACCAAGAAAAGCAGTTGAAAGTCACAACATCTTGGATGCTAAAGCAACGAGTTAAGGATAGTGAAGAGCGTCATGAACTCTTACACTAGTCCTTCTGCTACAACGACTATTGCACGATACACCAAGACGCCAAGTACGGCGCAGGCTACTTTCCTAGACAGAGGAAAAGTAGGTCGACAAAAAACTAGGATGCCGCCAGGGACAGGGTCACGCTGGTGAAGGCAGTCCTAAAACGACCCTTAAGGAAGTCAAGAGCGTAGGCACGCAGGATCTTAGACTTCG